GACCTGAACGCCCTAGCTGGAATGCGACTCTCAGTGTGTGGATTCAGCAGAGGGCTTGAGGATTCAGAAGAGCTTCGCGCCGGTGGACTGGATCTCCCTGTGGAAAGCTTGCCGTTCAAGTGGATGGATCTTCAGCTCAACGAGGATAGCCGAACTGCATCCAAGGCGGACTTGATGGTCTGCAGTGAGGAAGCTTTTAGACGTCTCGGTCTGTCAGAGACTGGAGGTGTTGATACTCCGCTCGTGGTAGTCTGTGGCAATGCCGAATCTGCCCAAAAACTGGCGACTTCATACAGACGCTCCCTTCGACACGAAGCCGTCATGGAGTTCATAGCCCAGCCGTAAGTCCTCTGCTCCTTTCCAAGGACCGCAAGCTAACCGTGATTCAGTACTGGCCCCAGAAAGGTTGCAAAGGCTCTGGCTTGTGCACTTGATCGGTGGAAGCAAAGACAGCCTGCGAAGACGATATCCGTCAGCCCCCTGTCGGATGCCTTCCCAGGGCCTGCTCCATCACCACGTGCACTTAAGTCAGATGCCCTATTGACGAGACCACGAGCGCAATCAGAATCGGTCAAAACGGTATGGGTGGCCTCGCCTGCTACTGAGATCGTATCTCAGTCACCGGGAGACAGCTGGATTGCCAACACCAACGATTCCAACTTTACTCTGACGCTCCCCTTCCGCCCGGCTGCGTCAGCAGCGGCGCCGGCTACCTCGACAGCTTCAGCTAGGGGCAATATGAACTCAAGCGTCGGCCCTTCTCCTGGAACCGTTAAGTCACCGCTAGAATTTCTCTTGGTGGACGATAATCCGATCAATCTCAAGGTTTGTCTATTTCTTGGGGACGATGATGGCGCGTTCAGAGGCTAATAGGAACAGATTCTATCGGCATACATGAAGAGGCTGCAAAAACGGCATGCCACTGCTTCCAACGGCCTTGAGGCACTGCAGACGTACACGTCTGATCCGCAGAGGTTTTGCTGTATTCTCATAGGTATGAGTCAATTTAACGGACGACAGACAACAGCCTTGACTAATAATGCACAGATATAACGATGCCTGTAATGGACGGGCTCGAAGCTACAAGGCGCATCAGGAAGTTTGAACGGGCTCACAACCTCCCAGCCGTGACTGTTATTGCCATCACGAGTCTGGGATCGGCCGGCGCTCGACAGGAGGGTTTCGCAAGCGGAATGGACTTATTCTTAACACGACCAGTGACCATGACAGAACTGGTCAAAATATTGAAACAGAGGAAACTCGTGGACGAGGCGGCGGAAAAAGAGGGCCTATCTTGAACAGGCAAGGGGGGATTTCAGGCGTTGTAGACGGGCGTGACTTGCGCATTGGGGCGATAATATCGCTGTTGCATGGGTTCTCTTTTTCTTGTTGGTTGATCAAGTTTCGCAAGGCGTTTGGGAGGTACACGATTTGATGGATTGGTCCTGCATAGGATCTAGAAGCGCTCAAAAAGGGGGATATCTTTTTCACGGCCACTGGTACGAACAAGTTTGACGAGGGTTATGGCGCCGGTGGGAGGTATTATAGTTGATGATTGGTACCGAGATAGTACAGGAATGCTCGGTACGCAGGTAGTCGAAATGAACCGCCGGCTCAGCGCGTCGGTATGAACATTCTGAACTTGATGTGACCTGGGGATTCGTGAGCATTTTCAGTGTGTTTGGCGGCCCCGGGTGAACGACATCGCGGGATCGCATCGTGCACAGTAGCGTACTATCGACTTTGCTGATATTTGACAACCACAAGTAAAGTACAGTTCTGAATAGAATGACGATCTTCTGGCGCCAAATTGCCCTTGGGCTGAGAAGCGAGGGATTGGGTCAAGATCTTGACGGATTCTTCAAGCAATCTATCTGACCTAGCGTCTTACTTTGGCACTTGCTAGGACTGTGTCAGTCATCGGGAGGCGCCGATGGCTTTTTTTTCTGACAGCTTGCTGTTTAATTATGAAGATAATTACTTGAGCGGACAGGAGAGATAAGAATGGGAACAGGGGGGCTGAGCGTTGGTGATGTGGACGTGCGGGACCTCGGCTTTTGCCCGGCATGTTGAGAACTTTAGGGCCCTTGGGTTTGCCATTCTGGATGCGATTCATTCTACTGCGATGGTTTAAATAGGGGTTTAAATGGTCTTAGGCACTTCAATGTAGGGAGTGGTTAGGGATGGAATGAAGATGTCAATTGTGGAATAAAGAGACATTCGAGAAAGGGCGCGCACTGCGGACTAATGGTACCTTTCTTCGGAGTGAAAGAACAGTCTCAATCGGCGTTCAAGAGTCAACAAACTCGAATCCGACATAAGAATCGGGCCGAACGATGTCGAGAAGCCTTACCCAATCTTCCCATTTGCCATGCTCGTCGCAGTTCGCACTCCATCAAATTCAATGGCAAGGGGAAGAGCGAGAGTCCACTGATAAGGCTTCACTTCGCCCGGGACACGGGTTGACCCCTACGCGTCCACGTTGGGTCTCTTTCGTTATCTTTGGTGGGTGTGGTCAGGGGCGCATAATGAACGGTCGTTCCGGGATGCAGAGATAGCTACCCGCGGGCTCTTGTTCTGCGAGTATGCACTCTGAAGCGGTCTGTTATTGGACGTATAGAGGCTGGCTGGTCAGCTCACCTCTGACGATTTGTTTCCTGCTCTCCTCACTTGCGATGTCAATTACCACCAAGGTTTCGCGATGTTTGCTGTGTTCATTCGAGGCCACGCTCCCTTCCGAAACCCAGATTTCCGCTTCCGAGAAGAGCCGTCTCTTATCATTAAGACGTGTGGATTCGGGATCCATTTCTCCACTGCGATTGTATGTGTCAGCGGGGAGGGGGAAGGGGGGGGCTTGTGGGCTGTGGGCGAGCCCAATCTTGCGGGGTTGGACTTCCACGTTGAGGAGCATTGCCGGTGTAGACATCGCGAGGAAATCAAGGTGAGCTTCTTTGGATCCAATGGACAGCAGCTTGCGTTTCGGGACTGGCATAGAAGTCTGGGAGTCTCGTAGGACGACATTAGAACACTGGAGCCATGGCAATCTAAACCATGTGCCCGGGTTGCCCGACCTGCGTTGTCCAGAAAGGGCATCGTTCTATTGCCGGGGGAGGCGTTGATTCGAAGGCATGGTTCGACAGCCAGCTGATAAGATTTTGGGGGTATTGCAGAGACGACGAGACGAAAGCCAACGCGGTACGGGTCGTGATAGGACGAGATAGTCAGTGGCACGACACCCTCTCCTCCATCTCCTCACTGCTGGCGTTCTTCTGCGGACGCGAAATGCATGAGCACCGCTGCACCACGTGAGCACAGCTATCTCCAGCGCGCTCCCTCAGCTCAAGGACCCAAGCATCCATTGAACGCCGCCAAGCCCGTTTCCCCAAAGTGATCGACCCTTTCGCTCTGTTGCAGCGAGTGTTCCATTGCAGCCAACGCTTCCAATGGGCTTACCCAGGAGAAACCTAGAAGGAGGAGGGGGGGAAAGGTGCATGATAGGGTGGGCAATGACATCACGGGCTACACGAGCTGGAGAAACAAGCCTTTTTGGCGAGGTGACCATTCTCTCGCCTTGTGGTTTACCGCGCTGTGGTTTCCCTGTAACCGATCAATTCATGGGGAAAAGACGGACTGCTTGGAACGTGGGCGATGGGGTTTCGACACCTTTGGAGGACGCCAACACCGCGGTCCCGATAGGAGGAGTGTTTAACCACCCTCTATGCTTCTCCGAGTTACCCGAGATCTGGTCACGATGGTCCTCCGTGAGCAAACAGCATTCGGTTATCTTCATCCTCAAAATGAAGTCCACAATAGAGAGTCTCGCTAGGAAGAGGAAGATAGAGACGACGAAGTCACTGATACACAGAGTCTACACACCGCGGTTAAACATGATTCAGCATCCCAGCCATCAGGCAAGGCGAGACTACCAGAAATGGGTGTGTCCTGGTGCTGTCTGGGTTAACGTCCTGATACGCACGAACCAACGAACCAAGCGGCGCCCCGAAGTGGTGGTGCCCGTCTGGTGGTTGTGGTGGTGGTGGCTTGACACGCACAGGCTTACCACGCCCCAGGGACGCCTGAACTGGCCTGTCATCGTAATCAATCATCAAAGGCCGCCCCCGAAGCTGTCAGTCTGCCAAAGATAATCGCGGTCCCGGAGGTGGGTGGTCCCCCGATCCAGGTTCTCCCTCCTCGAGGCTTGTTACCGGCTGGCTGCACCCAAAACCGCCCCCGTCTGTCAAGGCGCCACAATCGGGTTTCCCACTTTAGATGGTGGGTACGTAGATAAAGACGATCATTTTGAGTGAAGCATCATTTCATGCCATTGACGGATTGGGAACCAGCTGTTTAGGCGTTGTCGAAGACTCTGAGCGCGGTGTAACCATCGACCAGGCGTATTCTTGAATTTGAACATCGCAAATAGCCCAGACAACTCGGCTTCAGCCCAAGAGGCTTGGGCAAGCTGAGAGATCCACTGATCGTGAGCTGTGCATCTCGGCCAGTTTCCACTTTCTCTCCTCACTTCCGTCAGGTCGTTGCGGGGCGTGGGGGAGAAAAAGAGGAGGCCCGAGGCGGACAATTCGTTCGTCTGTCTTTCAGACTCTCTCTCTCTCTCACTCGGCTTTCCTACTGGCAGCCTGGCAATTGTCAAATAGAAGAGGAGCAAAAGATTAGCGCATCGTCTTGAACGAGAGAGCTCCATGCCCAAGGCCGGGGTCCCCCCTCCCCCCTTCTATCCTACCAGTGCCACCCCCGGCCGCAGCCAGGCCCTCCCGTCCGTTTCTTGTCGCATTGGACGTAGCCGCGCTTCTGTGTCATTTGAATGTGTGTGTGACTCGCCCCGTCCCCGTAGATGGTACTGGGCCGGGCCTGGCTTGCTTCAAGCTTGACTGCCGGATAGACTAGTCTAGTCTGTACCCTGGACCGAGACCACTCTTCTTGCGTGTGTTGAACGTGGTTTAGTTCTAGTCCCGTACGAACAAGTTGATGGAGACAATTGGGAGAGAGAGAAAGTCTGGGCTACTAAAGAATGGCTTAGTCCCCTTTTTCTCACCACACACCTCGGTTCCCATGTAACGCACGCGGTCTTTTTTTCTTCACTGCCAAAAAGACGCGGTCCCCTACCTTTTCTTCGTGGAGTGCGTGTGTGTCTGTGCCAACATTTTCAACATTTCCATTACGTTCATTTAATACTCCTGCTCCTCAATTGCCGCATCTCCAGACTCCTCCCCCGCAAACTCGTCCGTCTACCCCGTTCTCCCCGGCGAGAAACGTCACCGAGCGAGGCTGTCCGAATCCGGGGTTCTACAACTACCAACAAAGCCATTAAGTCATCTACATACCCCAATCGACGTCGTACCGGTTCGATTGAGTCGTCTGCCACCCGTGGACTGACACCACACGATACCCTCAACCACAACACTCAGAACCTCACAATCACCACCGACTAGAGACCGCAAACATGGAAGCACCCCCCCGCGTCTCCGCCGACCAGGCCCTCGCCAGGCTGGGCTACAAGGCCGAGCTCCCGCGCAACCTGTCCATGATGTCCATCCTCGGCCTCTCTTTCGCCATCATGGCAGTTCCCTTCGGCCTCAGCACCACAATGTACATCACCCTGACCAACGGCCAGGCCGTCACCGTCCTCTGGGGCTGGGTCCTCGTCTCCATCATCTCCCTCTGCATCGCCGCCTCCCTCGCCGAGATCTGCGCCGTCTACCCGACCGCCGGCGGCGTCTACTACTGGTCCGCCATGCTCGCCCCCGCCGGCTGGGCGCCGCTCGTCAGCTTCGTCGACGGGTGGCTTACGCTCGTCGGAAACTGGACTGTTACCCTGAGTATCAACTTTAGCGGTGCGCAGTTGATTCTCAGTGCGATTAGCGTTTTCAACGAGGACTTTGTCGCCAATACGTGGCAGACTGTACTGTGCTTCTGGGCTGTCATGTTGGTTTGCGCCGGAGTGAATGCGTTTGGATCGCGGTACCTGGATCTGATCAATAAGGTGAATTTGGCATGCTATGAGAAATCAGCGTTGGAACAAGAATGCTGACGAATGTTTTTATAGGTCTGCATCTACTGGACTGGTGCTTCCGTTCTCATCATCATGATCACTATCCTGGTCATGGCCCCCAGCAAGAGATCAGCCGAGTTTGTCTTCACCCACTACGACGCTTCTGCCAGTGGATGGGCTCCCGGCTGGTCATTCTTTGTCGGTTTGCTCCAAGGTATGTTCGCCATAACTCTATGCTCACGAATATACCCCAATTGACACTTCTACTAGCCGCGTACACCCTCACCGGGTATGGCATGGTCGCCTCCATGTGCGAGGAAGTCCAGAACCCCGAACGCGAAGTCCCCCGCGCCATCGTCCTCTCCGTCGCCGCCGCCGGCGTTACCGGTGTCATCTACCTCATCCCCATCCTCTTCGTCCTCCCCGACGTCACCATGCTCCTCGAGGTCGCAAACTCCCAGCCCATCGGCCTCCTCTTCAAGACCGTCACCGGCTCCGCGGCCGGCGGCTTCGGTCTCCTCTTCCTCATCCTCGGTATCCTGATGTTCGCCGGCATCGGTGCCCTGACCGCCGCCTCCCGTTGCACCTACGCCTTCGCCCGCGACGGCGCCATTCCCGGCTACAAGCTCTGGAGCCGCGTCAACCACAAGCTCGACATGCCCCTCTGGGCTCTCGGTCTGTCTACAGGTGTCGACATGATCCTCGGCTGTATCTACTTCGGCTCCAGCGCCGCCTTCAACTCCTTCACCGGTGTCGCTACCATCTGCCTCTCCACCAGCTACGGCGTGCCCGTCCTCGTGAACCTGATCCAGCGCCGCCGCGCCGTCGCTAACTCGCCCTACCCGCTCGGCAAGTTCGGCACCGCCATCAACTGCATCTGCATCGTCTGGATCTGCTTCGCCGTCATCATCTTCTGCATGCCCGTCAGCTTGCCCGTCGACGCCTCGACCATGAACTACGCCTCTGTTGTATTTGCCGGTTTCGCCTTCATTGCCATCACCTGGTACTTTGCCTACGCGAGAAAGAACTTCCACGGACCCCCGGTCGCCAAGGAGGAGTTCCAGCCTGGGCCGGAGGGCACGCTGGAGGGAAAGATCCCGGGAAACGTTGACTCGGAGACGACGGCGAGTACGGAAAAGAAATGATCCTCTTTTGGCTTTCTTTGTTTTTGAGATTTGAGTAGAAGCTGATTGGTTTGTGGGATCAGTTGCGTGTACGTAGTAGTTGATTTGCCTTTTGTTATGATACCAATTTGGGGTGGCTCTCACACATCCTAACAATCATTCATCCATTGAAAATTATTCAAACTGTATTGTCCCTATCAAGTCATTTTGCAAGATGTGAGTGTGGCGCTTGGTTAACTATGATTTATGAGTCTATGAGGTTACGCTTCTGGTGTGACCAAAGTAAGCCCCTTCGAGCATGTAAACCGGACAGGGCTCGTCGTATCAGGAGACCTTTGACAGATTTTCGATCCATATGGTCCGGCACATCGTGAATACCGCCCTCATGTCCCACCATCATCACTAAATCATCCATTGGGTAGCCTTCGTATCGCCGAGAGAGACTTGTTCGTGCTTTTCCTAAGAAAAGCTGTTCTCACCCCGTGACCTAGATATGCGTGATTCTATCAGAGGGACCATTCCCATCAACACGACTTCAGCACGCTAGTCGTCCTGGTATTTTTACAGGGAGCTCCGGAAGCTGCTTGGTCCAGTTGAGGTATTCAGTGTTAGGCTCGCCACACCTGGGACATTTGAAAGCCCTCTATGAAAGACCCGAGCTTTCCATCAATAGCATAACCTTCGGCTTCTAGTCTCCTACATTCGACGTAAAGGCTGGTCAAGGGCAGTGAGAAACACTCGATGAATTCCCCTTCTTCCAAGCGCGGCTTGGGATTGCGATTTTCCTCTGCTTGCATGTCTATATCAACATGGACTATGACAGAGCAGGAACTAGATAGAGTCAGCATTTGAAGGCCAGCTGAAGGCAGCGACTGAGCGTGACACACTTGGAGAAACCAGGGGCTTGAGAAGTATTAGCTTTGGATGTTTCCGAAACATAGATCAATTTGCGAACTGGTCACTTACCGCCGAAAAGCTTCGGGCTGTTCCCATACGAATCCGGCTTGATGGTACCGACGTAGCCAGTCTCTTCTGCGAGTTCGCGAATCGCGCACTGTTCGACGGTTTCGCCTTTGTCAAGCAGTCCAGCGGGGAGTTCGATACAGATTTTGCCCACGGCCGGGCGGAACTGTCGCTGGAGTAGAAGCTCTGGGCCTGTTTCTTTCTTGAACACGGCAACAATGTGGACCGCGTCGACTGAGCCGCCTGTCGCGCGTGTCTTTCTCTCGACTCCTTCCCAGACGCGGTCTTTACCATCCACGTCTCTGTACTTAATTCTAGACGTACGGTCAGGTCCATTGAACATCGAGGTGTGTTTCATCCAAGTTTCTCATCAGAGGGGTACCGACTTGACCAACGTCATCCATCTGGCATCTCCAATCTCCTGCGCGTTCATCCACGCATTAGCCGTTCTTATTGAATCAACGTGTCAATTGAATTCTTCGCAACTTACCAGTGGCTCGGATGTTACCACATGAGGCTTCATTTTGTCCTCCGTATTGAGCACGTAATTAATTTGACGTATGTAAACCTAGATTGGTTGAAAGTTACGATATTGTCTCTTTTCCTATTCACGCTGTTCAAGCATGGAGGGGTAAAAGTTGGTGGGGTGGAGGGGCAATCGAAAAGTGCGGGGTTGCATCTTCACTCACAGCAATGAGACGCGTTTAACCAACTCTAACTTACTAAGTAGGAAGTCGGAATGCGAATTGCTGGAGTTTTGGAGATTGGGACGCGGTACTCGTCTTCGCCCATCTCCTTGCACTCAGCCCCAGACAGACTTGTCAAAGCCATAATTCTAAGCGGCTCGAGACCTTGCTCTCCCCGCTGTTTCGCGTCGGTCTTGCGCCGCAACATATCCAGTGTCTCCTCCCACGTACCCTGAACCATCTCAACAGAGCTAGGACTAAGTTCTATCTCTCTATCGCCAAGAAGAACGGCAAAGTCTTGAGAGCTGAGACGCACGTTCGAAAGTGTGAGTCGTTGGAGATTGGGCCATGGTTGCGTTCGGACAAACCAGTTGAAATGCCACGGCTTTTGTGGTCCGATTTCGATTGTGTCTGCGTCGCGGCTGAACTCCTCCAAGTCGATCGAGATGCGCTCTAGACTGTCCGTCGTGGTAAGAACACTGAGCAGCTTCCCACAGCCTTCAAACTCAGCCGCATCGTGGAACTTCGACCAGGTAACCTGAGGTCTTCTAGAAGGGCCATCGCTGAGCGTATATTTGCTCGTGAATTCGAAGCACCGGAGCTGTTCAGTAACCCAAGTGTATTCATCTAGTGTCTGCTCATCCCCCACTGTCTCAAATGCATCCCAAAAGTGCATCGGACTAACTCGCACAGCAAATCGTGTCAGGAAGACGCCAGTAGCTCCAAGAATTCCTGGAATGAATTCGAAAGGCCGTCGAGCGCTCATGAGGTCATCTTCAAGTTGAGCAACCGATGTGGCTACGTGCTCCCATCGGTGAGGAGTTATGAGGAACTGGTAAAGTTCGTCGTCATTGACGAGGGCGTCTCCCTCGGGCGGAATCCACTGCGATTCAAACGAATCGCTCATCTCCAGTCTCGTCGCATTCGGCATTCGCTTCATTGCAAATGATACAGTATCGGAGAAGCTGTGCCATCTGTCATCGCGAAGGTGCTTTTGCTCAGCCTCGAGGCGAGTGTATGTATCGTAGGCTTTCCCAATGAGTCCTCCGTGAAATGCATTTGAAAGCTCCTCATCCCAAGGCTGGTCGTTGGTGAGCCGATCCAAAAGATCGAATGTCGCCTGCAGTTACTCTTTTGCTCCGTCTGACAGCATGTCCTTACGCGTCATCCCATGCGAGAATTCCCTCCGGAACTTGTTCCGGAGCTCGTGTTTCGCCAAGAGAATGAAGTTTTCATGTGCGAATGCCGCGAGTGCATCGTAGAAGCCCAGCGGGATGCGGATGCAGCGCACGCCTCGTCCGATGGTCGCATGCTGGGAAATCGCGTTCAGACGATCGAGGGATTTCCGTGTGACATGGACCGCAATGGTAGGAACCAAGTAAGGGGATGCTGCCTCACAGAGACGGCGGCAAGTCAGGCGAAGGGACTGGAGAGTTTCGATGTCTACTTTTCGCCTCTTGTGTGGTTGCGCCCAGGTGAAATCGGTTTCGCGTGCCGAAATGGTGTCGACTTGAGAACAGATCTGATCCAGGAGCTCGAAGGGCAAGTTAAGAAGCCTGCTGTCCGTCGGGTTGAGAATGCCGTGAACGTGTGCGCGAAGAGCAAATCCATGTTCGATTAGATCCGAGTAAGGGCCGAGCTCGTTTGTCTTTGCCTTCGTCCGCGCTTTCCAGTTCTCCAGGCTAAGTTCGGGGTGGTGGTTGATGATTTTCTTGAAGGTCGGATCGACCTCTGTCAACCGCCGGTAAATTGCAGCGAGCTCTTGCCTTGGGTTATCGTTCGTCTCTCCCATCTCGGTCCTATTGAGGGCCCTGGAAACATTCCGCATATCAAACGTGAATGGCGCCATTCCTAGGCATTCTACGTTACCTACGTTGGCTGCGTTGCCTGCGGAAATTTACTCCTTGCCTTTGAAAGAGCGTAACGCGGGATAGACTCACTCAGTACCCGGTGTCAAGGTTTCCGTATTTGGGGTACAGTCTCGACAACTTGGATGTCTTTGGAGTTGTGAACAGGGAACGGCAATCTGAGTCTGGGCAAGGCGGGATCATATCGCATCTTTGACGCGTGACGTCACGTGGATTTGCTATTACTGTGCCATTTTGTGAGCAAGGTTCTCGCCAGCAAACGATATAATGACCGACAGAAGTCGAACCTCAAAACCGACACGACCGAAGATGGTGACTTCACAGATGAATACTTGGTTTGAGGAAATTTACTCACGCAACCTTGGCGAAGAGCAGGCTGCAAGGAAGACATTGAAATCTGCAAGATAAATGGGCGATGAGAGTTGCTTTTCCGTCTAAGGAACGTTGAGAATAATGGAAAACAAGCAGCAAAGTTTCAAATCCAACCCGAGCATGCTAACGGATTAATGTTACACATAGACATTCCTTCTAGTACTTCGTCGCACCTAGCGTTCCCTACCTATACCGGCGCGTATTGTAACGCACCTCCCACTCTCTGTCGTCTTTATTATAGAAGGTTCCATCGAAGTCCGAATCAGAGTCGTACTCATCCATGTAAGCCTTTATGTCTCTCCAGGTTGGCGGTCCATAGAACCCACGGTTTCGCCAAAAATTTATGACTCTGAGCTCCTCGCCAGGGACATACCCACTGGGGTTCTCGCCATCCTCCCATTCGCGAAACCCGTCGATGTCACTCCCTGAGTAGTCCTCTTCATCGTCCCCTTCGTCAAATTCCCCGTTGGCCCCGTTAGGCCAGTCCCTGCTCACGGGTTCGCTGTTTGTCGGTGCATTGATGATTGAAGCTGCTGCCGTCAAAGGTATAGGATTTTCTCCCAAGGTACGCCTGACGTATTGCAGGGCTAAACTCGGCTCTAGAATTTTGGGGCCAGATGGCTGGCCAGGACCCGGTTGAAAGACGCGTTGCAGCTCATCGACGCTCATCTTAGTCCCGATCAGGCCATCTGTCGGCTTGTCCAGTTTGTTGACAAAGACAGCACCTTCAGGGTTGGCGCCGTTTCCCCGGACAGACCGAACTGACTTCTCGCGGAGAAATTCGAGCGCATCTCGTAGCGTATCCTGAACGATGTGCAAGTTCTTCAGATCCAGACACATGTCTTGTCGTCTGCCATTAAGAAGTCTCTTCAGTCCCTGAATCGTGGTGTTGAAGAATGACAAGTTAATTTCTCGCAGATCAGGCCAAAACCGGAAGTCGAGCAGCGCAGAAAAGGGCGGCCATTCTGGTGTTCCCATGTTTTCGTGGTAGCGAAAGTCAAAGGCCTTGAAACTCAGATGCAGTTTCAGGAGGCCAGATGCCCCGCGGAAGAGAACGTTGATATAGTTTGCAACCGGCGACAAGAACGTGGGCAATTCTTCACAGTCTCGGGGTACCGGATCAGTTGCAAAAGTCTCGAGGGCGTCGACACTATCATCCGAGTGGAAGTTGATTGTCAACTTTTGGAGACTCGCTGCGAATTTGGTAAGACTTTTGGTAAACTTGCCACGAGCCGGGTCGAGATGTGCATAGAGATCCTTTTTGCAAGCACCGACGCCGATGGAGAATTCCTTGACTTGGACGCCGCGATTCGCCAGCGCAGCGGGCAACTCTACCAGCCAGCGCTGAGAAGGGAAACCTGGCATGGCAAAAGTAGCGTTTGACGTCTCCCAACTCATAGGTGCCGTCATCATCTTGAATAGTCCACCACTGAGGTAGGTTGAGTTGCAGTCCGAGTCGGGGTCGGGGTCGGGATAGTCGTCGTCATCATTGATATTGAGGGCTTGTAGGTTGGGCATTCTCGCCAGTGCATCTGCGATCCATTTGATGAGCGAGCTGTGGGAGACACTGCACAACTCCCTCTGCTCTTGGAATCGACGCCTATACTCCGCATGCACCGAAAGCATCAATCGGTGGTGAGGCCCCTTTGGTTTTCGTTTGCGGGCAGCCTTCTCCACGTCGTTGCACTCGGTAGTCAGCTGGTCTAGGAGCTCCTGGGTACATGGAATGGTACACAGCCCTGAGGGTATTACGTCTTGAGCCTTCATCTTCTCCAACCTTTCTGCGACCTCTTTCTTTCTCTCTTGTGCAAGGGCACGCTGATACTCTTGAAAAGCTTTGAAATTTTCGGCGAGCCCCTTGGAGAAGGAGGCCAAGTTGACTTCCACCACCTCGATACTGGCCGCGGCATCGGGATTTTGTGCAATGCTTTCGAGATTATTGAACGAGTGGGGGTTTAAAGTGACGTGGACGTAATTAGGGTATGCAGAAACCAATTCTCGGAAGCGTTGACAGACGGAGCGCAATACTTTTGTCTGTTTTGCGTCTCTGGAAACAAAGGGATATCAAACGTTGTTTTACTCGACCACTTGAGCGACATGGTCGAAAATGTGGCCCAGGACGTCATCTGGCAGATCCTGAATGTTGACAGCTCGAGTCTTCGCTCCTGCAGCCATGGCGATGAGAGACTGGAGCAGAGCGGTTCGGTTCCTCAGTCTTTCTCTGATATCTCGGAGATATATGGCATCTATGGTGGTGCTGAGGTCACGATCATTGTACGTCGTGACTTCTGAAGTGATACTATCCACCTCGGACCGCTCATTGTGGAGAGTGGTTAAGTCGCACTTTGGAAGGCTGGAAAGCGGGCGTTGATGCTCAAGTTGCTCAACTTTGTAAATGAGCTGGGCAAGGCGTTCGGTGATTGCTTCAGATGTCTTAGCTTCTTGAGGTGGAGCCCGCTACGGCTTCGGACTTCGGGCAGGCAATATCTTTCGAGCAGGCTGCGCATCTAGCGAGTTGGAAGACGGGGCGGGATTCTGGGGAACCGAAGAGGGGGCTATTACTGAGGAGAAGCCATTGCTGCTCCAGATAGTCGGGGTGGGGGGCGCAGGTATCGGCGGCTTCGAACCGAAAACGAACGCAGAACGAGAGGTTGACGTTTGAGTTGAGGTATTCATGTTGCCGGGATTACTGTTGATTTGCTGGCGGGAAGCCTCTGAGGAGCTGGATTTTGAGCCCTTCTTACGAGACTCACGGGACTCAAGGGCTGCTAGCTGCTCAGCGACCATGGCCTCTGCGGCGAGAATGACGTTGGGAGCGAACAATGGCATGATGAAGTCAGGCTTCCATTGACAGCCGAGCCTCAATTCCGGAGAGTTGAAGTTGGCGAAGTATATGGGAAGACTTTTCGGGCGAGCAGAAGACTAGCTGACTTCCAAATGTTAGGAGATGACGGAGGTGCGATTGAAGCAACTGGGAGAACGGGAGCGTATTGACACTGAACTGGAAAGAGATAGGGTAGCAAAGTTCCGCGCTTGGTTTATCACACAGTCGAGCTATCGGCGCTTTCTTTTTCTTGACCGTTGACGTAGTCAATTTAATTTATTACCCTGCCACAGTGCCACTATATACTGAATGTTCTCGTGTCGCGCGGAACGGAAAGTTTGGGGAGACAACCAAATTAGCTGGCGGTACCTGACCGCGCTCTTTTCGCGACAGGCGCGTCTTATTGCGAGCAAAACCTGAAGGCCGAGAGAGCATAGCTTGGCAAAGCTCGGGGGTTCGGGCGCTGTGAACTCTAATGCACCCTCTCACAATGGCTCTCATACATACAATACATCCGTTCACTCCACACGAAGCGATTTCTTGGAGATACAATGCCGAATCTCTGTTCAAGACAATGCCGAGTCTCTGTTCAAGAATTTTGTTTTGATAGACGTGTATGATCGATCGACCAAAAGAAGATATAAGAAAAGGAACAACGTTACTGGGGTTGATTTATTGCTTACCGAGATGAGTTGAACTGAGTTTGAGCACCGTGACCCGTAACTTGCCTGTCGTCGCGAGAACGCAACGATCAGGATATTGCCCAATTTAAACATGTACCCTCAACTTGAGTCTATGTAGCAAAAGGGGGAGCTTCAACCAGCCCAGCCTCTCATCAACTTGCTGTTTTCCCTCCGCCGACACCTCATGATCATCCAACTGAATAGGTAGTCTTAAGAACCTCCTCCAGTTTACACAGCAATCTCAGTCGAGACCACCAATCCTGGTTACAATGGTTTATCAAGTAAGATCCCGCAAAAGGGAAGTTCATGTGCACGGCACAGGGAACCCCAAGAAAACACAGCGCCGCGAAGACATGCGCGCCTACAAGCTCCGCGACTCCTACTTGGGAGTGTCTGCGGATGAAGTCTCGAAAGAATCGGCTATGTTACAGCGATGGATCAAGGAGCTTCAGAACGCAAACCCTGCGTTGGGACGCACGCCGACGCTTATCGGGTACCGTGGGAAAGTGAGGACTAGCGACGTCCGGCTCCTTCTCCATCTCCGACGCTGTCGCCAACGCCTCTGCAACATCATCACCAAAGCTTCAAGTTCTTCATCAAGATCTTCGCTGCTCAATTTGCCGGCCGAGGTCCTCGACCAGATTATTTCCGAGTTTGGCAATCCTGAGGAAGGACCAAACTGGCACCAAAAGCTAGGACGTCGACATTCATCCTCAACTCAGGCCATCAAGAATTTGCGCCTGACATGTCGCTTCTTGAACGAAAGAGTGTCGCCTCTGCTTGCGCCTGTCATCGTGGTAGAGGATACGATGGAATCCGTCGATCGACTGTCCAAGTTTGCCGAACGTCCTCGACTCAGAAAACACATCAAGCGTATCCATATCAACTTTGTCTTTTACTCACCCATGTTGGCACGCGATATAAAGTTATATGCTGCCTCATGTTGGAAGGACCTGGCACAGGTCATGAGTGACGCCAGTGACTATAGGGCAATGGACGTCCCCGGGTCTGAGCCAATAGACGACTGGAGTCGAGCATGTCCATTCGCAGCGCACAAACTGGCCCAAATTTGCGCCGGCTGTCAGCGCATCGCGACTGCAGACACATGTGAAGTCAAGTTCATGGCGATGCTTGATCATGAACCGCTTCTCGTGAAGTGCTTCGCGGAGCATCAAGAGCATGTCTTCGAACAACAAACCCGCGATCACTTCGAGTGGGCCATGGCTGTTGTGGCGGCTTTGAGGAAGTTCGAAACCCTCCCCGAGACTGTTTTAACGGACGGATTTTCGCAGCGAACTGCTGCATTCCTTGCCTCTTCTCCGTCAAACAGACGCCCACTACACGAAATTGCCAGTGACGAATCTATTTCCCGCTTGATGGCCCATCCCAGTATACCAATGTCGGATATGAACGAAGAAGATCTATGTGCCAGCGCAAAAACGGCAGGTCTAGTGTTGGATCTTCTGAGAACTTTGGATATTCACGAAATCCAACCTCAGTACCTCCATGTCAACTTCATCCCGCCACCTACGCACGAAAGCTTCCTCCACAATCTTCAGCTCACAAATGGCATCCCGCCGTTCAACAAATTGATGCAGAATGTTCGGGCCTTGGCAATCACTATTCCAGAGGAGAAGAACACCATCGACGAACACAGACGCTGGCGAGGTGAGGGGTTTGAAGAGGTGAAGGATTCCCTCAGGAGGTTTTTCGATTGTCTCACTCAAGCTCCACGTCTTGAAGATCTCTTTCTAGGAGGTTCAGGAATCGAATTACCATTTGACGAGGAATCTTCCGAGACTGAGCGATTCCTACCCACTTGGAATGTAAGCAATGTCATCCAGCCGAAGGCCTGGCCATGCCTCCGAAAGCTGTCCATTGAGGATATTTGGATCGAGCCCGAGACCTTGCGAGGCTATATCGGGAACAGGGCATCGCGCCTTAGTCTGTGTTATGTCATGGGAAGAAGGATCGACGGCAGCACGCTGAAGATGTTGCGAAAAATGTCAAGGAAGGGGCGACTAAACGTCACAAGCCTAGGGGCTGATGGCGTCGAGATCAATTTAGAATAGATAACGCTCGTGGCGGAGAGACGCGGCTTAGCCAAAAGCCGCATCTAGGTCCTTTCCTATAGGCTCCGGGGGGAGAAGATGTACGATATCAACCGTGGAATCAGGGACGATACTGCACTGGCATAGGTTCATGAAGCTACAACGCGGTTGTCAATCAGGGAGCTCAACATTATGGTGCCGGGCTGTACTGTCTGTATTATTAGATTTCAGTCGTTTCGTCGACTGTCTTGTTGGTTCATGTAGTTCAGCGCCTTTTTATTCTGTTGCGGGCAACGCCGTCTTTGTAATTTGAATCTCTTCGTACATGTATCATAAGTACTCAAAATTTCATTCTTCACATTGGTACTGAGGTATACCTGGATAGCCAAGGCAGAAAGATGTGATTAGCAACAAGCAAAGAAAGGGAAATATTTACAGCGTCACACTCAAATTATCATTCAAGTTAACTTATTCGGCATTTCCCCGTCTCCTTTCTCACCCGCCTCATCCATATACCCACTTCAGCAGACGCTTGTCACACACCTTTGATTATAGTTGCTTGTGAGCCGAACACGTTGATGAGCGCCCACCTCAGTCTCAGACGGTGAGAAATGGCATGACCCTAAATGACACAGCAGAGCGCTTTTTCTCTTTTCGTGCAGAGCACTGATGTTGCTACTTCAATTTAGTTAAAACTAACATAGAAGGTGTTTTAGATAGCACGCGACTTCATTACAAGTATAGTTTGACTGAGGAGATCCAGTTTATGGCCCTATGGTGACGAAATCACCAGAACTAGTTGCGACGGTCGCAAGAGGGCGATTCATCTTACTTCAAAAGATTCATCCTTAGGTAACCGGTGTGCCTTGCTGATGAGGTCTATCCGTCGATGATCGACACATCACGTATGTCAGATGAGGAGACTCGAAGACAAGACTTAGCAGGTCTTGATTTTTATACACTGATTTGGCAAAAAGTATTTACAGAGAAGGTGGTAGAAGAAGGCAAGCTCTTCTCAACATCCCGATCCTCAACCTCTCCATCCCTGAATCTCGTCAAGAGTGAGGACATACTCGCTCTCGTAGATCTATGAGTTCAGATGTTAGTACCAGAGGCCTAGCGCGGGGCAGGTAGGGGTTGGCAATGCTACTTACTTTCTTCAAGTCATCGACACTGTTCCATTCGGTGTTGTTGATGAAGCCATCGCTCCAGACGCAGAAGTATAGCCAGTGGGCCTCGTACGCCTGGAGAAGATCGGGGAAGGGAGCGCTGCCGACCTCGGTAGCCGCAATGAGCTTCTTGTCCTGGCCGAGCGTGATGAGGTCGTTATACTGCGTCGTCATGGGCTGTGGTCATGTTAACAACGGATTCAAAGGAAAGAAAATGAAAATAAGCTTACGCCGTGGCCTTGAGCGTAGACATCCGCGCTGAGAACGTCGACGGTATCATCGCCGGGATACCAGTCGGCAGCAACAGAGTTCCAGATCCAAACGAGGTTGTTCAGCTCATGGTGGTTGGTGAGACGGTCGTAGACCAGAGCCCAGAGCTTCTTGCACGCCTCGGGACCCTTAGCTCCCCACCAGAACCATGCACCTTCGGCCTCGTGAAGCGGGCGCCAGAGAACGGGGACTCCGGCATCCTGGAGCTTCTTGAGCTGGACGGCGATGGCGTCAATGTCGCGGATGATGAGGGTGTAGTTGGCGTTGGTGGTGTCAGCAAGGGCAGTCGAGACGTCAAAGTCGGTGGCGCGAGTGTAGAAACCGCTCCACCACTTGTTCTCCTCGGTGTCGTACAGACCGGTAGGCGCGTTCCAGTGCCAGAGCACGGAGACGATACCACCTCGCTCGTGGTGGGTGATGGCCTCCTCGACGGCAGTACCGACGGTTCCGCGCTCGACGCGGCTGGGGGAGTAGTCCATCAGGTCGACGCTGACGAGGGCGGGTGACTTGCCGATGGTCTCGTTGACCCAGTTCGCGTAGTTGAGTTCCTGCTGACCGGAGAGGATGTTCTTGCCGTAGATGGAGCGGAGGTAGGTGTACAGGGCGTTGGCATCAGCGTTGGCCTTCGCGTTGACGAGAGCTGTGTTGACATTGTGAGGACCGCGGGCTTCGGTGGGCGTGAGGGTGATGGAGTCGATGAGGTACCATCCCCAGTGCGTTACAATGTCAAGCGTGTTGTTGCCCTCGTTGAGCAGCACCTGACCGGCGGAAACGTTGGCCCAGGTCTCGGTCGCGGCCAAGAGCACCTCGCTAGCGGCACCGCCGTTAAGGATGACATTCGTGCGCTTCTCGCCGTAGATACCAGCGTATCTGATGTTGAGGTCGAATAGCTTCTGTCCTTCGCCCTGGCAGTCCAGGTTGATGGTTACCTTATCGGTGGCATCCTCGAAGCCAGTTACGTAGCCGGTGCCTGTGAACCACCAAAAGTCAATAAACGATGCGATCAGTATTGAATGATAACCGTGCCATACCTGTGAAGCCAGCTTGCTCCGTCGCGACGGTGGTTCCATTGAGAACTCCATTTTCGGCCTCATAGACCTTAGCTCCGGTGCTGCCGATGCAGTTCTGCGAATACACGCCAGCGGCAAACGCGAGGACGGCACGGAGCGAAAGCGCCGTGGATCTCGCCATGATATCACGGAAGATCAACGCGGGGATGTTACAAGAAATGGAAGAGAATTGAAAAGATCGGCTGAAACGGCATCGTCTCGAGAGACCAGAGGACTGGCTTGGCCGGTGGGATATCAATGTTTATTATAAACGACAGTCGGGTGGCTCTCCCTTCGTCCCGAACTGTCCCCCTCGTTGTGTCAATCTCGCCGTGTGCCGTAGGGGGCTCACCGGGGAAGGGTATGGCGATCATTAAGATTCCAGGGGTGACGGAGGTTAATTTTGCGTCTCCACAATCCATCCCGTCTCTCTTGACTGAGCATGTTTGCCCGGGCCTCAAAGCATCGAACCGGGATGACGGAAGGGGGCTTGGCCTTCATGTATTTGAAGACGGAGTGTGACGCTCCGTGTACTGCAAAAAAGGGAGCCTCCCCCGCGACTCGGCACTTGCTTGGCTTAGATGCCAGATGACGGAAGACACATCCTTTTGCAGACTTATGCCACACAAGTTGGGGCGTCAATCCACGCAGAGTGGTCTCTATTTCCTTCCTCTCGCATCCTCGCCGTCCGAAGTGTCTCTTTGGCACATTTGGCGGGCGGTTCATCCGACCTTGACGGTTCCTTATTCATGATGGGGCTTGTCGATCACGCAGCCGATGGTCCGCCGCCAAGGGTTTTACATAAACATGGTTTGGCCCGGTTCCACGATCCACTTTGGCCTCACTTAGATTCGAAAATTTTGGTGCCCTGAGTCTAGGGTCTCGACAGTATCGTGCCCCGTCTACATGATCCCACCGACGAAGGCGCCGCTTCAACAACCAGCAGTTGTTTACAACTGCCCGGCTAGCTCAATCGGTAGAGCGTGAGACTCTTAATCTCAAGGTTGTGGGTTCGACCCGTAAGCTTCATTCCACGATCATCAGCGTCAGTACAGCAATTAACAATCACCAGCCACGTCGGGCTCAATTCCCGTCAGCGATCGACATCATCTTTTTGCTCTTCGACCAGTGATTCAAATAGTCAAAGACTCGCATCTTGGATACCCTTTTAGCTGCAAACTTTAGAGTCTTGGATGTCGCTCTGCTGCTAGTGAAATTGATTGCTCGTCTGGCCTAGATTATGAGTCTTACTTAAAACATCTCAGCCCCCTTTATGCTCAAAGCCAGTCCCCGAGTTCAAACCTTCGTACGCTTTCGCACCTCAACCTCGGCCCCGAAATTCGGTTGCACGATCATTTTGTTGATCTGGTTCGGTGGTCTCTCCGTCGCCTTACCGGCACTACCCTTCAGATGGATGTCATAGTTCATCAACAACTCAATGAATATGCACTTGATCACATAGACAGCGAAGAAGCGTCCCGGACATGCGTGCGGGCCATGCCCAAAGTTGAACGCATCTGGTCCAGTTGTCGCAGCTTGGTGCTTCATCTCACGACCTGGTTGATCTCGTAGGCGTGCGAAACGGAAACCGTCGAATTCGCTTGGTGGTGCATTGCCAGTCTCGGCATTATACTCTGGGCTGAAGGTCTTTGTTGTGGTAGAATTACTAGGAGTGTGTGAGCCTCGCTCTGATTTCAAGTTTCACCCGTGTTCTGGCATCGAAGCCTCAAGGCATGTGTGACTTACTATACAGCCCACAATGGAAAGGAGATGGCTGTTCCAGCTGGCAACTTCATGCCATTGGAAAAGGTCTGATCTTTGCGAAGCCTTCTGGAGGTGCCGGCTTTTCCCTGAGGTGAGTTTTGAACTCGAGTTGATACTAGAATGGGAGTAACTTACCAAAGCTCAATGGACTTGTGCGCTGACTTTCCTTGATGAAGCTATCGAGCTTCTTCAACTTGCCCATGGAAGATTTTGAAAGAAACACTTGCCCATTTTCGTCTTTCTCTACACCATCTTCCTTGATGACTTCTGCGATCTCCTCACGCAGAGGCTCGATATACTCGGGGCGGCCAAGCAAATCGTGCAGGGCCTGAGAAACGTTAGCTCGAACTTTGGACCATTCAGCATGTAATTCAAGTTCATACCAACGTGGTTGTGCCGGAAGTTGTGTGAATGGCAGCAAACGAAAGCAACATCTGGTTGGTCCCCATTGTCTCTGGAGTCTTTTCCTCGGCAGTCAGATACTTCATCATCCATGATACGAAAGCCCCAGGAGCGCCTGGTTTTGCCGGCTTTTCTTCAGGCAAGTTCTCACTTCGGAGAACCTCCTTGACCAAAGGTCGCATCTGCTCATTTGCCTTTTGAAGCGCTCGGCGCGTATGGCGCACCTCAGGAAGGAACGGGAGGACAAAAGGCCTGATCCACGGATTCCATCGGAGGGCAGCCATACGACTTTTGCCCACATCCGTAGCGAAGGTAATCGAAGCCCGGATCCAGTCCTCCTCGCGACTCAAGGGCATGCCAACGAAGACCCGGCCAGTCATCAACCCAATCATGCGGAGAACTAGATGGTAGCTATTGAGAGTTTTCCACTCTGCCGAATCCCCAATTAGCTGACTCAAGCCGAATTTAGCTTCCTCCTGAATTGGCCGGAGAACACCAGACATATTCCTCGTCAAGTCGATTCGTACGGCCTCGATCACCTCCCATCGACTCTCGCCGACGTGGGTGTAGCGACCGAGGAAGATGTCGTAAATCTCAGCAGCGAAGGACATCTCAGAGTCTGGTGCTTGAATAACCTCTTGGTATAGGTTCATTGGAAGCATGACCCTTGGGGGGTCGCTTGGAACCACGAACGCCGTGTCTGGATACTGTCATTCGGGTCTCGGTTAGTTGACAATTCAGTAGGAAGTACAGGAAGACTGGCATAATCACCTTTTGATAGCCATCGATAATAGCGGAAGACAAGCTCTGTTCATTAGGAGATCCAACGAGTGGAAGCCCGTAATTCGGCTTCATCTTCTTACGCAGTCGATCGACTGCGATGATCACAGCCGCGAGAGCGACTGGCGCCCACAGTAGCCACAGCATATTATCGATGCTTCAAAGAGAACACACTGATGATGGAGATCGACGAGATCGATAAACAACTCAAGTTTGACTTGCGGGGCAGTCGGATCTTTGTACGCTGTACGACCCCAGCTGAACCCTGAACGTCGCACTCTGTCACACAGTCCGAACGGACTACGGATTCCACGAACGCCTTCTCCGCGTTCCCACGTGTCTCTGGGACCCTTTAGCCCTCTCGTTTTCGCAAACTCTAGCGGTGACGTGCAACCAAGGGGTAAGAATTCGCCGACGGAGGCGGAGGAAAGCTTACTGAGGGACCCTGCTACGCTGCCGCCTAGGATCCTTCGCGTACGAAATGCTGACCGTGTTCGGTAAATCGTATCAGCGCTAGAGCCACTAGGGTGTCGCGAGGGCGTAAGCAACCTAATTCTCGCGTGCAAGGAAAAGGAAACATAGTGGCAGTGGAACCAGTTGACTGTCAAATCATTTCTTAGATGAAGATAAGCTGCTGAAATACGCGTCTTATGTTTCATGGGATTGCCACGTTAAGCTAGCGGTCAGATGGTTGGCTGCTGGGCTGCATATAACTCGTCAATTTGGCTGGGAGGATGCCCGCTAAGATGCTGACACCTGCAAGGAGCGTCTTTTAGCTCGTGTGACAATCAACCTGGAGAGAACGAATTGGTCGGCGCCGATGGGAGGATTGACTGGATCATGGGACGCTTGCTGGCAAAACTTTAAGATCAGTTATCACTCCCGGAGCCATTGACATAAAACGACAATTGGAGCATTGAATCCATCGTGAGATACAGCTGGGATGAGGAACCCCCTGGCGACTGGCATTCCTTCTACTCCTGATGTTTGATTGAGTGGGATGTGGTACACGTCATTTCAAGTAGGTACTCTGTGGATTGCCGGACACTTTACAGTAGGTAAGTACTCTCAGAAGTAAGATATCATCCCAACACAGGTAAAAGATTTGCAGTGATCTTTGTACACTACCTATCTTTTCACAGAATAACAAAGATGTGTATGATCAAGACTGTCGCTTACGGAGAGAAATTTCACTAGCAATGGATCGTCTCACGGGTGACGACTACTGGTAGGCGAAGAAGGGATAACATGTTGAGGTCTTATGCCCTCGTTCTTATAGTTTCATGATGCAACTAAAGCACCAGAATAAAACACTGATTGACGATTATAGGAAGTAATGAAAGGGCGTATGCGGCCCGATGTTGTTATGCTCTAGTTTCAAAGATTCATGTTCGGTCCAAAGATCTTGTTGTTGCAAGATGGAATCAGGGTTTATCAGGAAAAGAAAGATCTGAGAGAGTTCAAGATTATAAACAAATAATGTTTTCAATTCCGTTCAGATAGCCCCACGACTATGAGTGTTAGCCACTGGCAGAATATCCGCTAGGTGGTGTGAATGGGCCCTTCCGTCAATGTTGGAGACCCTGGCGCTCTGAGGTAGGTAAGATGCCGTCTGATTAACTGATTAATACAATCAGAAACAAATAGCAGTAATACAATCAGGGAACCTTCATGGATCTGGAAATAGACTACGGTGTATAATTGTCCTTGACCCTTGTGGGTTGACGGTTCGATAGCCCGATATCCCGAATCAAGCAGTATCTAATATCACGTGCACAACTCTCCATGGCTAGGAAGTCATGCTTTTGAAACATTCAATCTTAGTGCCGTTGTGTTACAGGCTCAGAATGGAAAGTCCAAAAGGCCAGTTGTCCAGAGGTGAGCGGCCAGGTACGTGGCTCCGAATTGGGAGTTCGGAAGAGAAGCCGTCGGTTCCAATCAAGGATCTTGGCCTAGCTCGGCAATTTGAGCATCTTGTTATTTCCCGACAAATCAGATCTCAGCCACCTGCCAGGGACGGCAGCCGGAACCCAACGATTGTTCGGCCTGCAATCTATTTCTCACATTTCACCATCGCATACTGCATCGAGTCAGGCGCTTTGCCCTGGATCGTGCGTCGATCCTCTCTCAATTAGGCTTCTCGGACGGAGAACTGGGTTGACGGCCCTTGGGTTAATCATAACCGTCGCATTGTAGCGAGGCGCCTTTGGCTCCGTTCTTGACATGGCGACGTTCAATCCGGTATGGGAGAGATACTGCCGTGGCAAATGTGATCACTGGACCAGCTCTCGGGGTATAAGAAGCAGCAAGTTGGCTACACGGAGAAGCTATTGCGAATGAGTTGATATCCACGCAAGCAAACCCGCCGGTCGAGTAGCTGCTCGTTCAGACAATCGTCAAAATGCGTTTCGCTTCACTTCTCACTCTTCTTTCCACCCTGGGAGCAGTATCGGCATCACCTCGCTTTGGTACGAGAAGGCATCACTTCCGCCGTGCAGGCACCGGCAACGACACAACAAATCCCTTCGACGGGAAGAAGCTCTACGCCAACCCAGACTGGGCCAATAAGCTTGAACAGACGCACGATGCCTTCGTCGCCAAGGGTGACACCGTAAATGCAGGCAAGGTCCGAACCATTCAAGATATCGGTACATTCGTCTGGGTTGCAGACGTTGCTGGTCTGGCAAATATCGACACGGCCATTGAGCGAGCCCGTGCCGTACAGTCTAAGACGGGCGAGCAGCAAATTATTGGTCTGGTACTCTACGACCTCCCTGACAGAGATTGCAGTGCAGGAGAGAGTGCTGGCGAATTTAGTAGCGAGAACAACGGGCTTGAGTTGTACAAGGAGACCTTTGTCAAGCCATACGCAGAGAAGCTGGCTGCTGCCAGTGACTTGACCTTTGCCGTTGTTCTCGAGCCGGATTCCTTGGCGAACCTTGTAACGAACTTGGGAATCGAGTTCTGTGCCAAGGCGCAACCGGTGTACGAGGATGGTATTGCGTATGCTATTTCAAGCTTGCAGTATGACCACGTCAACCTCTACATCGATGCTGCTCATGGTGGATGGCTAGGCTGGAACGATAACCTAGAGCCTTGTAAGTCTCGTGATTGAAAAATACTCACTTTCAGACGACATGAATTACTGACAATGATCATAGCCGCGAAGCTCTTCGCCAAGGTCGTCCAGAAAGCCGGCAATAACACCAAGATCCGCGGTTTCTCAACCAACGTCTCAAACTACAATCCCTTCCACGCCAACCCCCGCGCCAACTACACAGAATGGAGCAACTCGTATGACGAGAACAACTACGCGCTATCCCTTTCTCCGTACTTAGAGGCTGAAGGTTTGCCATCGCGATTTATCATCGACCAAGGCCGTGTCTCCAACAGCAGAGCCGAGTGGGGTGAATGGTGCAATGTCCATCCAGCCGGGTTCGGTATGCAGCCTGGCACGCCGGTGAACAACACCCATATTGACTCCATTGTGTGGGTGAAGCCAGGTGGCGAGAGCGACGGACGCTGTGGTCTTGAGGGTGCACCTAGGGCTGGTGCTTGGTTCGATGAGTATGTACAGATGTTGGTCGAGAATGCTGACCCTTCTATCCTTCCGAGTGACGCTTGAGGAGCAGTGTCCGTCTCATTGCCGACGACAACTTCGCAAGTATGAGCCGTCACCGTGGGATTCCCTTCATGTTCATAGTTATCATTAGTACATAAGGCACACATTTAGCAGAAATCATAACTCACTAGAGAGCAAAGTTGCGAACATACACCCACAGCCTAAGTTAACATGTGATTTTGAGACCTATTCACCTTACTTATCACATCTTACTTCACGCACCAACTCATAAGAAGAGATGTAATTAAAAAAGTCACCAGAGTTTCTTCCACCGTACCTTGGCATCGCGATCCGGAGGTACAGCAGCTGTACCAAAGTACCGTTCATCATCCACAGGGGGTCGATCAGACTTGGACCCGTCCAAATTTGTCCACTCAACAAACTCCATCTCGAACTTTGTGACTAGGATGGCGATTGTGAGAAGAATCTCTTGTTTGGCAAAGAACCGCCCTGGACACATGGATTGTCCACCACCTGTGCATGATGTTAGTTCAAGGTACTTTATCATTGTTGTGACATGCTCTTAGTTATGGAAACTCAGGAGAAAGTCCACTCACCAAATGGGATGAACTCAGTGGTTTTTCCAGCCAATACAAACTGCTTTTCGGTGGTAAGTCGATTAGTACCTTCTTCTACTTTCTTCACATGCTTTACATGTCTCTCTGCCCAGAACTCAGAAGCAGAATGCCCTTCCTGGCTCCATATCTGCTCGTCCAAGTGCACAAGATGCGTCGGAGCCTGAATCATTGAGCCTTTCTCCAAGCGGAAGCCATGAAGCGTGGTCGTCTCGACGACTTCTCTGGAGAGCGCAATGGAGACGTGGAGACGCATGCACTCCGTATAGATAGACTGCATCAGCGGCATTGAGATGAGCTTGGATACATTGAAGGTCCGATTCCCGGTGACGGGATCCACATTGAGGGTCTCGAGGGCCTCGCTGCGAACTGCTTGGAATAGCTCCTGATCTCGCAAGAGCTCAATCATCGCCCATGTGGTGATTGGTATTGTATTCGCGTTTATTCTGACAAATTGACATCAGTGCACCTTGTCAACAAGAAGCTTTCAGACGTACCCAAATATCGCAATCATGTAGAAGCCGGCCTGAGTCTCCGGAGCCATATCTGTGTCGTGTAGCCATTTGGTCATCTTGCGGACGTAGCTTGATCCGAACGTGGGCTCCCAGATGGAATCAACCGCAGGACCGTCCCAATCGAATTTTGCAAAGGCTTTTCCCAGATATTTCTGCGTCATGCCGTTCAACTTATCGCGTTCATTTACCGGACCGCTGTTGATCCACTTTGGAAGCCCATACACAACCTGAAAAGCGATGCTGTCGAAACGCCAGAACTGCTCAACGTAGTCCGGAAACATCTCCAGTAACTCGGTGCCGCAGAACGACCTGATGGCGCTCGCACACATTTCTTTCTTTAAGAATTCCAGAAGACAAACGGTCGCCCACTGGCCCACAGGCTGCTTTTCCAATGCCTCGTTAAAGAAGTTTGTGTAAGTCTCTGCCAAATGAGCAGTGGGCTCTGCGCGTGATAGATGCTCAACGGTAATGTGATGCAAAGTGTACCAATATCGCTCCTCTTGCGGTGTGTTTTCGTAGCCGGGTGCAGGTACCCTTTGCCGCCCCGAGAGGTCGTTTGCGAACTTGTCGACGTCTTTTTGGGCGGACCCTTGCAGGTTTCTCATAACCAGTAGAATGAACTTGTTCGAGCTGATGCTGGTAGACGATCGAAACATGGCTTGCACGCTCTCTCCCCCCTGTACAAAGTATACGCGCATTGGTCCTAGGTAGAATTTGACGATGTTGCTGTGATTCATTGAACGGCTTACAAGCAAATAGTCAGCGACGCCTCAATATACGGCACGACCTGCCATTTCATCTTGACGAACCTTGCACGCTCCATAAGTCTTCTGATATCCGTCATGTATTGATAAGTGTTGCTGATGAAAGGCACGACCTCGGGAAGTGACGGTGGCTCATCTTGACCTGGCCGGCGGAGGCAGACTAGCAGTATTACGGGTATCAAGAGTGCGATGGCAGCCGTTGTAAAATGGGTAGAGACCCACTCAAATATGCTCAATACTTTTGAAGGCATTATGAGCATGAAGAGCGCTGGTTTGACCAACGGGGAGGTGTTCAGGTCGTACGTTGTGGAACGCAAACATCACGCTGCTTTTCCACGCCACCAACAGGTGCGGGGTCTATGACCATAAGTTGAACCTGAGGGATTCAGCACCAACAAAGCACCCGACGCTTACGTGTAGTGTGCCACATCACATGATTGAGCTTGTTCTGTAAGTGCGCTAATTAACCAGTAGAGAGATAATAATGCGAATCCTACTATAGGCATGCAGCTCGCCGGTGGGAGCTCGTCTTCATGCGTCAGGTATTGGTGAAAATGGCTCTAACATGAAGCCTAAAAGTCGCGACCGTGTCTTTCCAATTTAGTTAGATCCCTCAGATTTGACTCCCCTCACTGAGTACCTCCATCGTTGTTCAATTGCAGACTTCCCATTGAGGCCATGACATCAGATATGTCGGAAGCCTCGCTCCAGTTCCCATGTAGAGTCATGCTGACGGATGACGTGATGGAATCGTGATTCCTGAATGTTGGCCTCACCCTTTTCTCCACGAGATTGAATGCATCTTTGCGAATCCTCAGAAGCAACCTGTCGACCATAACTTGTCGCTTCTCTTCTCCTCCGTGACCTTCGGATTGGAGCACATCAGGAACGCGCCAGCTGATGTAAAGGTTTTTGTGGCTGCTTCGATGCCCGACGCCAGACCGGTGCTCCTCGAAGTAGTACTCACAGAGCCGGCAGGTTGGCTTGCTACTGCCAATGTACATCCAATTATTGAAGAATCTGTAAGGCGAAACGCCTCCCGCTGATTTCTCGAGGTGATTAAGCAGCAAAATCTCCGAGTGGACAACTGGCTGAAAGTTGTCTTTTTGGTATTCTGCTTGAATTCTTTGGTCCAAGTGCATGATTTGCAGGTCTTGAACGAATTGCCTGAATCTTTCGATGATGTCTTCTTTGCGGGTCATGCGACCGACAATGCCTTCGGCGGTCATACTTTTGTTCCGTCTTGGTCGCGAGAGCGGGTGACTCGATGGGTGAACCAAGATCATGAAGTTTCGAAATATCTCAGGCCAGTTGTCTTTCGCAAGAAGGAAGAACTCGATATCCTTACAATATGCCAGAAGACGGTTAACCATATGCCGTAGTTCAGGCCAACAAGAAGAGGAGTTGCTTGTGACTCCATCCAAACGAACCCCTGTCGCTCGTTGGTCGATGTATCCCCAAATCTCAGAGGCTTTCAATCTTATTAGGTTGTGAAGAAGGGCATTACATTTGTCAAGATCTGCGACATTATCTAATCAGGTCAAACATTCCTGGAAACATGCAGTTTCATTGATACATAACAGCGTAGAACTCACAATGAGATTGAGTGGCCATCCTGTCATCGTGAAACTCAAGCAGTCCGAGAGTCCTTGTCAGGGATTCAATGACTGGTTCCTCTATCAACGTGCGATAAGTCATTTATACTGTCGTCGAACGTTCTACAGCCTGGCCTACCATTTCGAGCATTCTTGATGCAACGCTGTATCTCAATCTCAAGTCTGACGATATAGGAGTTGATTCTGGGTCTGTTGAACCAGATTACTGCGCTCAGCAGGTCCTTGCGCAGCTCCGAGGTCCTTCCTGACGTTGATGCTCTGTCAACTCGCTCAAGTAAATGTTGAAGGTATGCCCTGACATTCTCGAGATCATCTGCACATCGCTGATTTGATGCAAGATGATACTCAACATTTGTTCCCTCGGAGCCGCGAAGCAACATGATTGAGGTAACGGTACTGCCCCAGTTGCCCGGGGTACTGTCGCAAACATGAGCTAGCTTGTATACAAAGGCCTGGAAGATCTTTTTCACATCTCCGCGATAGTTGAGATCATCTGGGTCGACGAATTCGGCCAGGCTTGTCATTTCATCGTTCATTGCCTTCAAAAGAACCAGGGGCTCATAAAACTTGTTGATGACTCGAGACTTCATCGAGATAAGCCCAGCTGTAGCAGTAGTCAGCGGCGATGAAATAGACAGCTGTATGTAGCTCCAGGAGGCTCATGATACGAACGTGGCGAGGTTGCAACTGGAACCATGTTAATGTGGTGAATTTGAGAAATTGATCTTGAATAGCAACTGCTGCATAGGTAGATCAAAGGCGCCGACGTCCTTCAGCACTGCTCTGTTGCTCCCACTAGATTCGCAAGATATACAGCTTCGTAAACGCCTGCGCAATATCACGGGATAAGAAAATGACCGTGACGACATGTACGTAGTAATTTCACCAATCAAGAGTAAGTAGTCATCCTTGGCCGCTTTACTTTGTGTAACAGCTGCAGGAGGCCAGCCCACCATCCCGTGAGGTATTAGCTCGTCCCAACGGATTCAAGGTTAGGCTCTCGACTGTACCAAGACTTACACCCTGGACCAGGAACAGGCCCATGCACTTCTTCGTCTCATTGGAGAGCTTCTCCGCGAAGCCCGAAGTAAGGCCAACGCAGATAAGGTCTGAAGCAGCGATAGGCCTAAACAGCTCTAGATCAGTGAACGTCGGATTGGTTGGGAACTCGAAATTTAGCCTACCGGAACGACTATAGCCGCCCGCATTTCCCACTAATTTTTGGGAACACATGATATGAAGGTAAGTACATATATGTTGTCATTTCGCACTGTCACCTGCTGCTTTTTGCCATTTTCACTGCGTTTTCTTCGTCCAGATCGCAATCGGAACAGGCGACTCCTTTACTCGCTCAGAAAGAGATCCTTGAAAGCCTCATACCATGAGCTTTCAGACATCTTCCGAGCAGTTTGAGGAGTTGGAGAGCCCTAGCACTATACTTACAGAGCTTTTAGGCAATGAAGATTCGTCCACGTGGGATCCAATAGGTTGGCCTCCGGTCGATCTGCTGATTGAGACAGATCACACCTCAGCCCTTGTTGATACAGCCCTTCAAGACATCAACCCCAATTTGCTCGATTGTTTTGAGACCAATCACTTGTTTCAACCTACGCACTACCCAGAATACGATGAGGAGGAAGCCAATTTCAACCATGCTGGGGATAGGGTCCAGAGATCGGCGATAGAGACCGAGCCATCCTGTAGCACTCAACAACAATTCATGGTAGAGGTTTCTGCTTCCAATGAAGACCCATCCGACATCCTCAACGCCGACGCGAATATATGGGCAGCTCCCCATGGACCTACTCCGATGGCTTAGTTGTCGGAGTTTACACATGTTTCTGGCCTTCGCTCGCCAAGTCATGAGCCGGCTGAATTCTGTCAAGGTACCCTTGAGGAGCAACCAAGCCTGTTGTTCGTTGTTGATGGTATTGAGCTCCTCCTGCTGTATTTGGACAGGGCTGAACTGACTGTTCTGGAGCATCGCAACCAGGACGTGTCTTCTGTCTCGAGCATAAAAAGTGGTATGAGGCGGGTAAAAAGTTTCGGTAAGTCTGACCCTTTCCATGCCTTGCCAAACCCACAAAACATCTGAACTTCCAACAGACGACACGAAAAACGACACCAACGACGGTTCGAATGCGGCGAGGAAAAGTGCCCCATGACATTTGCAACATCCAAGGAGCGGAACGAGCACTCTTTTCGCTATCACAAAACGTGGGCTAAAGAGAACAACGTACCTGATCCAAGGCGACGTTGCCAGGTATGCCGAACAAAATTGTCAAAGGCGTCCTTCATCAAGAGACATTTGAAACGATCTCCTGGCTGCAATGCAGTCCTCGGAGGATTGCCCACCAAGGATCAGACTCTCATGCTGTCTGACTCCGAGAAGGATTGATGAGTATTGGTATGGACAGTTTCCCTAACGGGGCTGGGAGCTTCGAGAAGCTGAAAAACGTATACCCATATAAGGGCTTGTGTCATTTGCTCTGGAGACCACCTTGGGTCCTGAACAGGTCTGAAATTACTCAGTTCGGTTGGTCCGAGTTCCGTGCCGGATCCGGAAGCTCGGTCTCGCTAAGGTGCGGACTTGAAGGTTTGCATAACGCAGAAGGGCCAGCAGCTCATCGTTCGCTGGGGATTCAGACAAAACAGGACAAGATTAAATAGAGGAATTACAAGCTCGATTCTTTCAAATAATATGGGAGATTCTGAGTCTTGAATCTCCAACTTGCGCGGTTCTCTACCTGTCGAGTCAACTAAAGTACTAGTAGGAAATGGCGCTTTCCACAGCGCCGTGACGTCGGTATCGTAGAGAGGAAAGGCCAGAAATGGAGACCCTCGGATCCCACGGCATGCAAGATTACTCAACAATCTTAGGGACAGTATCCGCACACCTGTATTTCGAGCCCACTATTCACCATTGCTCCTTGCAGGCGACGACTCAGCTGCAGCGGCAACACGAAACCGAATGTAGTCAGGCTGGAACCTTGTTCTCTTATACACGTCTGACCGCTACTACGTCCGGACACAAGACATGACTGATCACCAAAGTTCCAATGGTCAAGAAGAGTGAGCGAGAGCTTTTGGACCCGTCCGCATCGTGACCCTATCAACCTAACTGAGTGGTAAGTTGAAAGTCCGTATCGTCTGAGTTCTGCTATTGAGTGCATGTATAATCTGCAGCATCAATTATCAAACCATGACTCAATCCAGGTTTGAGGTCCATAGTCACGACCAGCTATCTCATCGCTGGAGGCATACGTCGACTGCTGAGCCTCAACGGGTCTTCAACAACGAGCGGGATGCAGTATACTAGTACACGTATCAAGGGGCCTGTGCTTGAACTGGCAATTAAAGTGAAAAGACTCATTGCAGAAAATATCCACATGTAAAGCTATGAATGGCAACTTTTCAGAATAAGGTTTGTCGATCGTGGAACAGCTTCTCGAGGAAAACATGAGGACTGACTCGATCCATCACCTGATGCTATTCCAGGAACGGCGATCACTTACTGCTCTTTCCCCAGTTGAAGAAGCATTCATAGTTGGACTATAAATCTCCAAGCTGGCAAGACTTTCCATTTATAGTCACACGGCACCACAGCACAACCTTCACATCCCTTACTCCTTGATTATCATTTTCGACGTTTAGTCTAAGGTGGGTATCCAACTTGAAGCAAAACTGATAGAAAGCTTGACTGACTTATCATTGGTATAGAAACGGAAGACCCTGCCTATACTCTTGTTGAAATATTGCCTCCGAACCGCAGCCATGAAGTTCGCCACTCTCGTCGCCGCAATCACCTTGGTCGCCTCGGGCGTTCTTGCCACCCCTTCTGAGAGCAACAACCTCGTGCGTCGCGACTGCTACGACTGCCACTACAAGTCTTTCGATGCCGGCCGCTGTGATGGAAGTTGCAGCAGCTCGGAACACGAGGGCAGTGGACAGGTCTGCCGGAAGTGCATTAGTGGATGCCCTGCTACGACCGACGCCGATCGCGGAGACACGCCCGCTGTGAGCTGCTAGATATGAGATAGGATAATTGTTCCACGGTCTTGAGCACAAAGCGGCTGGGACATGATGCTGAGGAGATTCGAAGAGCCGTCTAAAGTAAGATCAGCGGCAGAAAGTATCGAATTTGGAGTGTTCAATCAATCAATTGAGTAAATAGCTGGGTTCACAATGTACGAGGAATTATCAGATTCCAACCTTTTATAGGCCAATTCTGCGATATTAATGCCATGGGGCAAATCATCTACCTAGGTGTAGCGCTGGGCCAACATCTTCGTACGCCTTGAAGATGAAAACGATATCTGTTCCTGATACAATTCCTGATTCGATCTTAGACTGACCACGAGCGATGCCTAGCTGTAACAAAACGTAATAAGAGACCTGCTATACATTCAGAAATGATAAGATCAGAATGGTCGGCGGGCGGGAACACATGATCCATTACGGAATCAAAATTATAGTTCACCAGATTTACGGCTTGCTAGATGACAGAATGTGGATGCTTGAAAGACCTGTCTGCTTAACGAGAGTATTAAAAAAAAAGAAAATAAGGGAACGCAAAGCGACTTGGCAACATCAAGACCCCCCCTTCGGCACTGAATTCAAGCAGATGAAAATGAGCCTTGCGCGAACGATGTCATCCTGTGCTCGTCAAGTTCCAACCCATCAGACAAAAAGCTTCCAGACAAGGCAATATCTATGGCATCAGGAAACCACACGCGGAAATACTCACTCCCGACTGGACTCGTCGCCATCACTTTGAAAACAAACCCGCTGTTGCGCGCTTGTATGTCCTTCACCAACATTCCTAGCCATTGCATGACCAGATACATTCCGCGGATGTGCAACTCACTCTGCAGAAAGTTCACGCCATCAATCATACAGAAGTTAACTCCGGACCTCAGCTGGTTTACAACATTCTCGAATACGCCCCAGAGAACTTCTAGATCATAACTTCGAATGGTTTGCAGGTCTGTTTCTGCTAGAAACCCCAGATCAATTTGGTCTGATGAAGAAAGGATGATTTGTGAGATCATTGATCTCAATAACCCAATGGGACCAGGAAGAGGACCGTCTGGGTCGCAGTGCAGACGGCAGAAAAATGCCAAAGGGCGAGCGCAATTAATGCGGGAAAGTGTCCGGGCAAGTATTGAACACATGCAGCTTAAGGGCGAAACAACATCAGTGTGCAGAGCATCAAAATCCGTGCCACTCACGGTCAAGACTTGGGAGTTCATAGACTTGAACCAATCTTGAAATCTGAAGTCCTGCGTGATGGAGGTGATACGGCCTTGCTTTTGTGCGTTCAGCGATTTGCCCATGAAGGACACGAACTCCGAGTCTCTCTGTATAGCAAAGACAGCATGTGCCTCAGCAGTCGCCAATAACCCGAATCCAAGCGCCGAAAGTAATTGTGATATCGTGACTTTGGGGATCGACAGGTGGTAGTGGTGTATGACCTGGTGAACCTGCTGCTGACGTTGGAAATTGAGTTCTGCCCGCAAGGATTCGATCTCTTTCATCCACCCTGTTGACGTACGTCAGTTCCTAGCATTCCGACGCTGTGAAATGCGGGCCATACACTTAGACTCCTGCGCCCTGTCATGAAGGGTATTCTCGATTGATTTCAATGCCTCAAAACGCTTTTGCGCCTCTACTTCCTGTCGTTTAGCTTCTTCGGCCCTCCTCTTTGACTCATCACCCTGGAGTTGATGAAATTTGTCAAAGGAATTGCTAAGTGTAGTAATTTCCTCGGCAACACCGTCAAATTTAAGATGGAAAGATTCTCTGACTGCATCGTCAAATTGTGTCGAAGCTTCCTCAATGCTGGTGGTAATCTTTTCTCGGAGTTCAGAACCGTAGTCGTCACCGGCGAAGATCGACTTGAGCCCTGCCCTGAACCCGCCAAAGTCTAAGACAGTCCGTCAGAAGATGATCAGGATAGTAGTACAGTAGAACATCAATGGTCACTTCGTCAACGTACCCTTCATGAGATCTTCAAGCCATCTGATCATCTCTTCGATCGCCACAAGGACGGCAACATACAGTGTCTCAACTGCACTTTGAAGAAGGGGGGACTTTGCGTAAAGCCGAACGTAGATCTTCGTCGCATCAATTTCTTGTGACAAGGTACCCAAGGCATTCAAAACAATGTCGACAAGCTCGTGATGACGCTTCGCAGCCTTTATTACATTAGAAGGCTGCGCGGAGATTCAAAAGGCATATGACTTGCACTGCATATCAACTTGAGACCACCGCATAGTGTCCCTGAATAGTCTCCGCTTGGCAACAACTCTATCAAAAACTCAATACGACGTGCAGAGGTCGTAAACAGTCGATTTCTGTAGCCGAATATGTTTCTCTGCTTCTTGTACTTATCGCAAACAGCCTTAGCTTCCACGAGGACATCCTCCCAAGAGGCTGTGTTTCGAAGTATACTTTTTGCAGTCGAATCAGAGGATCTCAGGAGGTATCCTTCTATAAATTGATCAAAACTTGCTTTCCTACCTTCAAGCCTACCCCGGATATACGTTAATTACGAAAAATAACTCAGATTATAGCTTTACTAAACCACTGGCACTTAGAAACTGATTGACTTACTTTTTTGAAGCTGGAGTAACTTCTCGATCCATCATGGCATCATCCCACGCCCATGCAGAGTCTACTGAAGATGCATAGTGTCTGATCCATAGTCCATACTCCTTAGCGTCCGTCGATGCCATATTGGTGGCGGTCATACGATGTACTCTGCTCCAGCGAGCTGCTTGACAAGCGGTGATATTCAAACAATCAATGGAGTCGACAGAATGTCACTGATCAATTTAGGAAGCGCCTGGCGCGTCGAGGTAATGTTATCTTTATTAACCTCTGGGCCTGCCAGCGTTCGTACAGGTTGCAGCCTGATTCTTCGTTTGTCGGGATGTCCTCATCCGGGCATCAGGACCTAGGTGCTTACGCATTTTCATCAAAGACTGGGCCGTACTGGTAGCAAGGCGGTCGGGCAATTGCCTGGTTGGCTACATGACGAGGATCGCATTCAAGGAGGGTGCCAGTGGCGTCTCGATACCACTTCTGATAGGGTTGTCCTATCAGGGTCATTATGCAGGCTTGCTTATCTACATGAAAAACGAGCTGACGCGAACGCATGCACCCAAGGTCAAGCTGGTCTTTCTGTGTAACCTCAAGCAGGCTGAGCTATGTCTATTTCTGGTTCTCATAATACGTACTTCTGTAGCTGCGCCTGCATTTGAGCTGGTTGAAAATCGAGGATACTCTGCTATCCCCACTTGTTCGTCGTTGATCCAGAGAACCAAGTGTCTCACCAGTTCAGCAAGAGATCCGACACCAAGGCTGCGCAACAATGTCTACTGTCGGAGGAGACCACGATGGGCCTGATGACACCATGGAGGTGAGTGATTACGAAATGTACAAAGATTCCCGCGCTGACACTTTCTTATGACTATCAGGGTATACGAGAAACAGGGCATATCGAGAGAGAGTCAAGCGGAAGCTCGGTCCAAACACACCAACAATCAACAGTCGTCAATGTGACGGGCATTAATGATAATGGCCCCGAACAAGTGGATGCGGAGCTGTTGAGGCCTCGAGTCAAGGAACGCATTGAATCGAGCTTAGGTTCCCTGAAGGCAATGGAAAACCGTCTTCGAAATCTCTCTCGAAAGGTTGAATCAATCGAATCTGGAGATGAGATGGCCTCAATCGAAATGACAATACAGCAGCAACAAGAAGACTACAGTCGTCTCCAGGTGTCACTTGAAACCCTTCGCCCCAACCTTCAGGACGAGAATGCCGACGGCAGAAGATTACAATCACCGGCAACGCGGGGCCGTTCAAGGAGAAGATCAGGGCATCCAGGCTCAGGCTCAATCCGGAGCAGCTCTTCTCAGAGTAGCCGGGGCTCGGTTTCTACGACAGACTCCTATTACCGGAGTGGGATTTGTACCCCAAAGCTCAATTATGGTCCTTGGCTGGAGATTGCAAGCGACTCCCGAGGACATGAGTATTTTGCAATCGACATTCCCTCTAATGAGCCAACGAGGGCTGAACTCCAAGCCACCAAAGACTTTCAGCGTCAACAGCATGATCTTCATCGACAAGCTATTCCTATCGTACCTGATCAGACTCAGCTCCCTGAGAGGATTCGAGTGAACTCTAATCGTCTGATGAGATTCATTCTATCTGCAGCTGAAGAAGGCATCTCGCGGCCTATCAACTCAACGCAATCGCTACATATTCTGCGGCCTTTCAAAGTCCTGCTTACACTCGGAGGCAGGCTTCAAAACCTTATCAATATGCTTGAGAGTGCACGCAAAATACAGCAAGACGCATCTGAAGAAGAATATCTTGCACAGCTCAATGACGCTAGCCTCGAGACAGTCTTGGACGAACTTGTAGCAGCCGATCCGAGTCATGATCCTCCTACAGACATCCGGGAGTTGACAGCCTATATTCTTGATCTCCGATGTTTGCAAGAGTTTATGCAAAAGACGCTACAACCCCAGGTCGAACGTATTACCAACATGACTGAGCCTATCAGGTTCTCTGAACTTTGGTATATCTTCCCCGAAGGCTCTTTGATTATCTCAAGAGATCACAGAGTTCTACAGAAAGTCTGGAAAGTAATGGGACGCGGTGGCGGCCGCTGGTCGCGTTCGCGTCCCGGCTTTGAAATTCCCGTGACCAACGACTTTAATCATTTCTTCATCGAATGCTTCTGCCTTGATTTCGACGGAGACCGATTTGTTCCAGTTTGGCAGTTTTTCACGATTCCTGAGTTCGAGGGTGTCCAGGATATCATGAACTTGCTAGTTGTCCCAATCAAAGCGGCTGAAAGAGATCAGTCGCTTTTTGACCGGGGGGCAGTCCAGGCACGCGGCAAAAAGTTCATGGAACTTGCCTCTAATGGAGCCCGGCATCGTCACTTCTCCGGAAGAAGTCTCCATCTCACGCTCAAAGGCCAAAAGCTAGCTGCAATGGGAAGAGAAGCACCTAAAAGTGCGTTTGAACATGCAGAAAGAATCGACAGTGAAGTCATCGTCGACATGGCAAAAGCCCTCGAGGAAGTTCCGACATGGCTTGCTGTCCCAGAACATCGAATGAAGTCGCCAAGTACAGCTGGCGAGCTGGCGCCGGTTTTCAATAAACGACAGGGATCGGCTCTCAGGGATACTGATACAGGCAGTCAGACATTCATCTTCTCGGAACGACGCAAATGGAGACAATGGGAAACTGTTACATATACACCATCTGGTGATGATCAATTGCTCTTACCCAATAGAGTATTCGCTTTCATCTTACGAAACAGAAAGTGGGGTGAGTGTAAACATGCTCCCAGAGATCATAGGTACGCAATGCTAAACCTGACCATCAAGCATGTCTCCCAATTGTCCATGATATCCGTGGAAACGATCTTCTTCTACCAATCTCAAATCCTCCGGAACCATGGGACGATCTTGAGCTACCCACCGGTCACAAAGAGCTTGTACAATCTCTAATCAGTTCCCACTTTTCCCAAGACACTACACGCAGAATGCACTTGGACCTTGTGAAAGACAAAGGCTAGCTAACCCATGTTTGAGGGGCGAATCTTTTGCTAACATATTACCTTTCTGTATCTAGGCCGAGGGGTCATCATATTGCTACATGGCGTGCCTGGTGTGGGAAAGACTTCAACAGCCGGTGAGTTGACAGCATGACAAATTGACCGGACATTTGACCGGTACTGAGGTTAATATTCACATCTGGTTTACAGAATGCGTTGCACAGGCATACAACCGGCCCTTGCTACCTATTACATGCGGTAATCGCATACTGTCCCTGAGTATTGAGGCCTTGAAAACTCACAAAACGTGACAGGTGATCTGGGCCTCGAGCCATATGAAGTTGAATCAAAACTACAAGAGATATTTCGTCTAGCTCACGCTTGGGATTGCGTACTACTTCTCGATGAAGCAGATATATTTCTTGCCCAGAGAACTACTACCGACATGCAACGGAATGCTCTGGTATCCGGTAAGACTTTTGAGCCACCCAAAACATGAACGCAAGACGCGCAACTTCCAGGGAGTTTTACTCGGCTGACTAGATCGAAGTATTTCTACGCGTTCTAGAGTACTACGAGGGTATTCTTTTTTTGACCACCAATCGGGTTGGGACATTTGACGAAGCCTTTAAATCTCGTATCCATATGTCGCTCTACTATCCACCACTCTCAGAGCATCAAACAGCAAGAATTTGGATTAGCCACATCAGGAAGGTGAAGGCGAACGGTGTACAGATTGATGAACAAGAGGTCCGGAAATTTGCGAGGCAAATATGGGTCATCCAAGGACTTCCAGAGCGAGGGCCTGTTTGGAACGGGCGTCAGATTCGCAACGCTTTCCAGAGTGCTATTGCACTTGCAGGCTACCACACCCAGACGGGGCAGCAAATTCATCTGACAGTGGAGAACTTCCGTCGCGTCGGAGAGGTTTCGGATCAGTTCAGTCGGTATATCTACAAGACGAAGCTCAGTCAGACGGATGCAGACCTCAACCGCAATCATGGAATCCGTCGTGACGAATTTGGGCGTGACCCGGGCACACGGCCAGCGGCTCCCTGGGTAGACAGTCAAGTTGTTGATCCGTTCTTACCAGCCAACTCTGCTCTTCAGCCGCAGAGACCGAATGTGCAGTTTGGAGGATCGACGCAAGCGGCAGGATTTCAAGCCGTCACACAAGACCCTTTTCATCAATCGGTGTACTCGACCTCTCCTTGGCAACATGAAACAACAACGCAGCCCCATCAGCAACAGCATCAGCAACAGTCGCATCAAGGATTCCTACAACAGCAGCCTTCGTCTACGCAGATACAGGTCCCAAGCCAGCAGATGTTCCCTCCGCAGCAAGGGACCCAGCCTCAAATACATCAGCAGTCACAGCCGACGTATCCTCAAAATGGTCTTGTAGCGGGTTCCGTCCCGAACAACTATGAACAGCAAACGCCTCGGTCATTGCCTCAACAGGCGGAGTATGGCACCACCCATCAACCAGCCTCCCATACACAGATGCCCGGCAACCCCAATTTCCAGGGCCCCACAGGTTCGTCGCCATGGGAAATGTCTTGATCGCGCCCGATAAACTGGAAGGAGGTGGGAACGTTGGACTCCGTTTGAGGGGGGACGTGTCCAGAAATGCATAGTCAGAGAATCCCGAGTGATTCCATTCGTTCGCGGATAATTCAATGCTTTAACAGCAAACATTTCTTCAGCATTCACATGTATCTTTCATCTATAGTATACGTATTGAATCATTACACCTTGGCGTCATCCTAGCGCGTGTACCGAGTATTTTGCAGGTGACTTTGCACCATACATACCTCACATACAAGATGATGAAAACACATTCCCGCATCGAATCAAACACATAGGGGCAATCGAAACATATGATCAATCCCAGCACGCAATCATTATCTATTGACTAAGGCTAAATAAGATAAGTAATATATAAGTCAAACCCCCCACTTCCCGGCACCCCCCTGTTTCTGGCACCCACAAAAACGCGAAAATCCACCACAACGCAATGCCCACCCCCAACCTCCTTTTATCACAACATTTTCAATTCGAGTCCAAATGGCCATCTTTTTGCACATACCTTCTTCTATATCTAATGCCTCAATATACCGAAGATCAGCTTCGTCAGGCTCTCGAGGACATCTCAAACGGCAAGGAGAGCCTCATTGGAGTATGGGATACCACGATCAACCCTCCAACTACGTCTCCAAGGTGGTCAGACTAGGAAAGTGGCTTTTGCTGACTGGCAGAGGCTGTCTCCTGACCAGGAGAGTAAGCTGGCACAATGGGTTCGCATTCAGGCTTCGCTGGGCCTCGCACCAACGCACCAACAGGTGAAGGAATTCGCAGAGCGAGTTCTGGCTGCTGCTGGGGATACCAAACCATTAGGAAAAGGCTGGATCTATGCCTTCGTGAGAAGGAACCCTATCATTAAGGTTCAGAGAAGTCGTTCCATCGATTCTAGACGCGTTAATGGGGCATCTACTGAGGTCATTAGGAACTGGTTTAAGTTCCTTGCTATCCCTGAGATCAAGGACATCAAACCAGCCAACAGATATAATATGGATGAGACTGGCATCCTCGAGGGTCAGGGCTAATGGGTTAGTGCTGGGCATGGCTGAGACGACGTCTGTTCGCAAGAAACAACCTGGGTCGAGGGCATGGGTCTCTATCATTGAGTGTATCTCAGCCTTGGGTAGGGCACTTCGTCCTCTTATCATTTTCAAGGAAGACGGTCCAACAACAGTGGTTTCCATTACATCTGGTTCCATACGATGGGTGGGAGTTTACAGCAACAGATAATGGCTGGACTACAGACTTAACTGCCATTGAATGGTTAGAGAAGGTGTTTATCCCACAGACTATGCCCGAGGCTGAGGGCGAGGCTCGACTGTTGATTGTGGATGGGCATGGGAGTCATACGACGACAGACTTCATGTGGAATTGCTATATTATCCATTTACTGTTCTTACCACCACACTCCTCTCATGTCCTCCAGCCACTTGACCAGTCTGTCTTCAGCCCTGTTAAGTCAGCCTATCGGAAGGAGCTCGGTTACTTGTCTCAATGGAACGACTCTACCATTATAGGTAAAAGGAACTTCCTGGACTGTTACCAGAAGGCTCGACTTGCTGGTCTATCAGTCTCGAACATCAGAAGTGGTTGGAAGTGGACTGGTCTACACCCTGTAGCGATGGTTAAGCCCCTGATGAACCCTATGGTATTACCTGAGCCTTCTGCTAAGCCCACACACCCAAACCAACCAGTCGGGGCAAAAAGCGATGCCATAATGGTCAACAAACTACCCCTGTTGAGCCATGGGATTCTGCTTCCTCTGCAGTGGTCTGGTCGACACCCAGGAAGCTGGCAGAGCTCAGCGGTCAACTGCACTTATACACCCAACTCGACAATGATACCAGCACTCAACGGCTGCTGTTCAGGAAGGTGAAAAAAGGCTTCACAGAGCAGGCCTGGCAACTGGCAGCTGCCCAGCAGCAGCTGGCTCACCTGAGGGCTCAAGTTACCAACGCTGCAGTTAGGAAGAGGAAGACTGTTCAGATCGATCCCAACACGAAGTTTGCGAACATCAGGGATATCCATCGGGCTCAAATCGAAGCGGGTGAAAAGGAGGTTATTACGGCTGAATCCAGCGACTCTGAATGCCCTAGTGAGGCTGGCAGTTGTATTGTAGTGGGTGTGGTTGAGGATCAATAGTTAATAGTAATGAGGAGGTTGGGTTGTGATCCCATCGTTTTTGTGGGTGCCAGAAACAGGGGGGTGCCAGGAAGTGGGGGGTTTGACTTATAAGTCAGCTCCGGATCCCGAACCCGGATACCGGTCGGCCACACGACTTCGGCCGAGCGCGCCCGGCCGGACCCGGGCTCTCGAAGCTAGATTGACCAAGCCACTCCCCGTGAATTCCAATGTCGCCGCAGCTAGATGCTTGATGCTGCCCACCCATAACTGTCGCTGCCTGGGTCTTCTTCATATGATGCACATCCGATGCAGCGCGAGTAATCGCCTCGTTCTGATCTTCGTGTGGTCACAGTTGTCGAACAATCGCGGATTGCCCTGCTTTTACTACCCCGCTGGCCAGCTCGTCCACTCGGAACCAGGCCGGCTCCCTTGCCAATTGCAACCGCGGGCAAATCCGAGTAACCTTCAGACCTTGCTCTTGCAGACATCCGATAAGTGGGCTTTGAGTCATTTTGATGAGAAGACAGTGGAATTAAGCGGTATAGTGCCCACCCAGCAGTGAATCTGCAAATGTTTGTACAAGTGTTTACTAGGTTGTACCGTTCAGAAGTGATTATTATTCATCCCATCGAGGGTCATAACAGTTTCTTGGCCGCCTGTGAATCATTTTCGTTTGATCCTGGAGTAGGTCCCCTAATGCCCCGCGAGCCCCTCTAGCCCGTCCGCCGATTCCGTCTCTACGTTCCAACATCTATATGCCTTCCTAGTTCCTTGAGCCGTGGGCAATTTCGAGCCATGCCATCGCATGATCTTCTTGCTCCAAGTGTCGTGGTCCAGAGGGCAGAGCTTGACAATGAAAAGGGCAACGGTCTTCGTGCCGAAGGCATCCCGGCCTCCAACCAATGCCGCGTCTGCAACAAGACGTTTACCCGCTTAGCACACCTTCAGCGGCATCTCGCCTCACACGGGGGCGCCAAGGAATGGGTGTGCGAATTTTGCGGTACTTCGTTTGGACGTCGGTAAGCCAAGTCATCGTGACAGAATCTTTCATGTTCTCTCCCTCACCCTCTCCCTCTCAAGCTGTTCAATCAAGCCACAAACTAAAGCGAACTTCAAGGGACGTCCTAAACCGGCACCTCAGCACCTGCAGCCGGGCCGTTCCGGGGGCCCGTTCCGCAGTTCGCCCCCTGAACCGAGCCTGCAACCCATGTCGGGATCGCAAGACTAGATGCGACGGACAACAGCCTTGCAGCCGGTGTTCTCAAACCCCCTCAAGGTGCGTCTTTGCGCGTCGTCGGATGCTTCGGCATGCTACGGAGGACGCTGCTCAGTCGGGGGTCCAGGATAACGGCTCTCGATTAGCATGCTCAAGCAGCAAGGCACCAGCAACATCCCCAGCTTCTGATCAGCTGTTGACCTCCAGAGAGACATCAGCATCTGTGGGGCAGACAAGCGCTCGTTCTACCTCTTCGTCTGTCTCTGCCTCTGAGCCGTTCCCACCGCAAAGCCCGGGCACGGCAAGCAATGACCAAGGCACCCTCTTTTCTCTCAACTTGCCTATGGATGATATGTCTGAACAACATTGGATACCAACCATTGACCCATTCGCTGCAACGGACGAGCCGTTCGATGTACTTTCGAGCTTTTCCTGGACAACGGGTGGGCCGGAATTGCTTTGGAAGGCCCCCGGTGAAGTCACACTCGGCCTAAATGTAACGGCGGATGAACCTTCTGTCGAAAGCGTTGGCACAACGAGCCCCCATGATGAGCTGGCATCCATCTACCCGCGACGGACGTCTGTCGAGCCGGGTCTCGCCCCTCTTGGACTCAGTCTCCTTCAGCTGGATCCGTTAGAACACCACCGCACGGTGATCGTTGACTTCCTCTCTACAGCCTGCAAGGACGTACCGGGGATCCACAATCTCTTCAAGACGCAGAGCATGGGCATGATCTTGAACACCTACTTTGTTCGCCACCACCACAAGATCCCGGTCGCACACCTGCCGACCTTTAGTATCGGATCCGCTTCGACGTCGATCGTGCTAGCAATGTCTCTTTTTACGGCGGCATATACGCCTTCTCTAAGCTTGCAGTCGCGACAATTCCAAAGCTTGCTGGTGGCGGCGTACCAGTTCGTAATCAACAATGACAAGGTATGTCAAGACTCGTCAAATTGCTCTCCATGCATTCTCATCCTTGAGACCAACTGCTGAGTTGAAGCATGATCAGGCCCTCGAAAATGCAGAAGAGCCGTCGATATCTACGCTACAGGCCTGTTGGCTTCTGGTCATGCTCGAGAATCCAATGAACGCTACCCATTGCGCAGGCAGTGTCATTCCCTTTGAGGACATTGTTTCTCTAGCTCGCCGCGCGCGCATCTTTGACGGCTCCCGGTTGAAAAAACTTGGTCCCGACCCACGGTGGGTAGACTGGGTAGATGCAGAGAACTTCCGTAGGCTGGCCTTCGCCTTGTACGCCCTGGATGGTCTCCGAAGCGTCTTGAAAGGGGGAGTACCCCATATCCCGACGTGCGAGATGCAGCTGCACTTACCCGAGCCCGAGGTGCTGTTCCAAGCGCCCAACGAAGCGGAATGGCGCCGCCTCAGGAACACCGGTGGGCAACAGCAGCGCCGCACACCCGTCTTCTCCGTAGTCATGGAACTTGTCCTCCGCGGCCTGGCCGATCAAGAGCATATGCCGCAGACGCTCATGGGAAAGTTCGCTGTTACACACGGGATTCTCCTCCACGCGTGGCAGGCAAAAACGCAGTACGAACTCGGACGCCGCCAAATGGCCAATTCCGCTGCGCTAGAACTTTTCTTCCATGGGCGGGCGCAAGAAATTCGTAGTGCGCTTGCGGTCCTATATCCTGGGTGGCACTCGACGCTGGGTGGTACTAATCATGATCCGCAGAAAGGCGACATGTCCTTGCTCTACAGAGATCGCGCGTTGGCGTGGTATTACTTGGCTGGTGTCCTCACGCTTCCGCAAAGCTGCTTCTCGTCTATGGAGGGACTTGAAGCAGAAGAAGGCGGGCAGACGCCCCGGAGTACCTCGATGGCCTTTTTCATGAAACAACTGGTAAAAGCACTTGACCGGGGACACCTCCGAGGTCTTGATGGCGATTATGCCGCTATGTATCGACTCGTGAGTTCCCTCAGCCTCGCAGGGGAGGAGACCACGACCGAGATGGGGACCTTGATATACCTTACGACGTAGACCGTAGTTGAGACTTGTTCTTAAATACGTGATTATTCGTACTAAGCTTACCCGGAGTAAGCCTACTTCCATGACTCTATCTGCCAACACGAAACAGAGGGCTGGTTGATCAGACATACGATCTAGCCGTCATAGATGGGTCTCTCTTCACAATGGCTGAATCAATCTGAAGTCTCTCTCAGATCTGGTATCCACCCTGGCAACTTTCCGCCTGGTTATTGCTGCGCCGTACATGGAAGGTGTCATTCTTTCACTTACATCACCAAAGTAGAACCACTTGTTCAATTTATCGACAATAATGCGCTAGATCTGTGGCTTCTGGGCCTGTCATACGCCTTAGTGAGGTCTTCAATTGAGGGCCAATTTGTCACTGGAACCAACCTCGTTCGACAAACTCTGGACAACACGACCAGGTAGGACTTGCCCGAGGGTATCAGGCATTTTACAACGCCTCCTTTCATCTTTCGGCACATTTCTCGATCTTCAATTCTCAAGCCGTCGCCATCTGCCTGGGACGTTCGCAGACTCGAGTCAAACTGGCTGCGTCAAGAAGTCAGCGGGTGTATACCAATAGGTACAAGTCCATCAACATAGCCACACTTTTTCAGACTTCTCATCATATGCAGTCGCTGTAGTCGGGATGGCTGGCACGTTCCCTGGTGTAGAATCGGTAGTTCACTTATAGAAACTCATATTCACAGGGCAACCAACGGTAAACTTTTTCTCTGAACGATTTGGCCATGACTAACTTGCCGAGGACGTTGTAGTAAAGAACCTGACTCTCGTTTGTTTAGGTCCTACAATGGCCGTCTCCAACACACTTTGGGTATTTGGAAGGACAGGTACCCACGGAGTCTCATCTAACGATGTATATCCAGCTCACGAAGACGCTAATGCAACAGCCGAAGCACCACTTCCCGTTTGCAGAGCACGCAGTTCTTCGTCAGACCGGCGCGGTGCCGACTTGAGCGGCATGTCTACCCAGGCCTCCTCATACCCAGTCGACCGCGCATAAAGTGCACCAGGAGCCTCAAGGGCGTCCACAACCATGTGCTGGATCTTTCTCCACACATCGTCACCCTTCAATTGGTTCCAGGCCTTGTCCTCGTAAGACTTGAGTAGCTCGTGGCATAGCGCTGTTGCCCTTGCCTGCTTGATGCCATGCCCGTCATCACCAAAGTCGTGCAAACGGTTACCAATTGCTGAAAATGTGTCAGTGGCTAAGCCAGGCGACATATGAGGAGCTCCATGAACTTGCCTCTGATTGAGCTTTCACCAGGAACCTTAGGTTCATAAGATGTGATGAGTCCCACATCTATCGGGGTTCGTCCTCGGGCCGTATATTCAATGAGGTCCATGCGGATCTTCCACTCAAGAAGCCGCCTCTTGTCCTCGCGTGAAAGCCATGATTGAGACAGCGTCGTCAGGTAAAACACTGCAGAGTTTACATGGTGCCTAGGAAAGGTCAGATCCTATCGACCCACTGCTACTGGCTGGAGGAGAAACTTACATGAGGAAGAAGTCGTACTTGACGTGCTTAGTCGGGTGAATAGCCGCACTGGAGGCAACAAGAATGATGGCCTGGAACATCTCCGCCGTCCTTTCCTCTAGCTCGTCATCCAAAACACGCACTTTGCGCAGAATCTCAAGCATTGGCTCCTTAGCTCTCTGCAGAATTCCATCCCTGATCTTGCTATCATCTTGGAATCGCGCAGCACCTTTCAAAGTAGACGATGTCCGCACTTCCTTGAACAAATCAAGAATAGCTGGCATCTTCGTGGTTTCCGTGCTCTGCTCAACGGCGGCTTCGCTCGGCAGCAGGAGATCATCGAGTGAACTAGTCCCGTGGACCGCAGTCTGCGCAAGACCCTCTGCGACAATTGTAGGCTCCTTCCATTCGAGACCATGCATGAGCTGTATCAGAGAGTGTAGCACACCGCCGTGCAGGCGAAGGAGCATGTTGTTTGACGCAGCATCGCGCTTAAGCAGTGTCTGGCGGACGACCTGTTGGTAACCCTCGGCTTCAATCTTACGCTGGAAGTATGCGAGGAAGTCCGGATAATATTCATCCTTTCCAAGATACTTGTGTGCAGAGCTCCAGTCGGTCAGGAGTTCGGAGACAACCTCATCATGTCGAGGCTCGACGGGGCGTTGAAGGTCATGGCGCAGGTCGAATGCCCTCTGGATTTGAACCTCGTTGGCTCCGGTACCGTAGAGCGCGAGAATATGGTGTAGCATCTGCTTGAGCTGTTAGACTCATCGCCTCCCTTCTTTCTGTTCGGGCCCGGCTAACGTGGTCATGGAAACCGGATCGGTTGAGGAAGACATGATGAAGCTGGCGAAGATGAGTTAGCAGTAGGTCGGACTCTTCTCTTGGGTCTGGATAGTCCCCCCTCTCACGTTCAAGTCTTTCTCTAGTAGCTCGCTAGTTCGCTTTGCTGCCTCATCGCTCTGGCGGATTGCCCAAAGACCTGTGTTCTCGGGAGTTATGACGATGCGGGTAGAAGTTGGGCTGGTAGACATTGTCAAGTGGTGTTATCGTAACACAATCAAGTTCGATGCAGAGTCAGGTTCAACCAAGCGTGCGCTCTAAGTTGAGTTTATAAATGAGTGACGACCTGACTGCTTACAAATGTATTTAATACTAAGATCAGGGCATCTATCGGCACCCGTTCGGTGGATTCAATATGAGTCACGGGCGATCTACAACGGGATCTCGGGGGCCTGATTCATTTTCTAAACTGAATCATCTCGCATTTCCTGTCCTTCCGTTTGTTTGATCGATGGTCTTCTGTAGCAGATTCAATCGTTGTCAAACAATGTTGTAGGTTCCAACTCTCGCGCTGTGTTCGTCTCGCAAGATGCCCCGCCTTGATCCCCAGGTGTGGGACCCAATGAGCACGTTGATTATGTGATCAGTAATTCGAACCAGCCTACTGGTCCAGGCTACGTAGGTATTGACTCTTAATTAGTTGGAAGGCTATTTGCGACTAGCCGACGAAGAACCTCCTAAATCTATAGGCACGAGACAATGGCGACAACCACATCTATGAAGCCTGTAACAATAAAGTTCACTTCTTCTAGCAAAGGTTTAGATGCGATAAGTGAATAACCAATACGGCAGACAGTGAGGTCTTAGTTCAGTAGAGATTTATACAGAAGACACGGGCCTGCCTATTCCAAGGGTAGCTAGGGAAGTCTAGTTGTACGCGTATGTTGTGCATGTCCCGATAATTTACATGATTCAGCATTTGAGACTGAGCCGTTGCATTGGTCCCTAAGACTCAACCTTGGCACCTCCAGGCACTAGCTTTGTGAAGACAAGATTTGGGTCGTACTTCGCCCTGATTCCCTTCAACTTCTGCCAGTTTTCCTGACCATACCCAGGAAACACATCATTGCCCTGGGTCTTCTGCGCGGCGCTGAGGAAAACAAACGGAAGAAGACCAGAACCGGCAGCGCGAATGTTCGTATTGATGTTTTCGTTCGCTTTCTGGTGAGCATCAAAGACCGTCTTGTCGTCCTCGGCGTCGGGCCACGAAGCGCTCTCGACCAACCACATCTGAGGCTGGTAATCTTGGCCCGGGGTCACGAGGGGGTTCACGCCGTTACCCTCACTCTTCCCTAAAAGACTCTTGATGATTGGCATGATGGCCAGGGCTGTGAAAAAGCCCGGGACATTGGCAAGCTCGGCAATACCGTTGAAGTACGAGTCGACGAAAATATTAAAGAGGTCAGCATCTGCGGGTATCGAAACTGAGTGCCACAGCTGCCTCCTGCCGGCATCAGAAGTATAATCGACGGCGTTAGACCATTTCCCCATTGTTTGACGGAGTACTTCTCCTCCAGTCACCGGAAGAACTGGTGCCGTCAGATTAATCAGGCCAGGAGCAGTGAAGTTCTGAGGGCCGGCTTGAAGCTCTTCTCCACTGTGGAAGATGAAGGCGTCAAAAGTCTTTTGCGGGTTGGTCGAAGGGCTCCAGCGAATCGGCCCTCCACGGCAGTCTTGGGGTCAAAATCTGCGTAATGCGCAAAGTCCACCATGCGTTTCAAGTACTCTGTCTGACTTTCTGTTCCGTAGGAAACGGAGCCGATGTCAACGGCAGAAACATCGAGGGTACGGAGATCGGCCCGTGTCACGATGCAGAAGTTATTTCCACCACCTCGCAGCGCCCAGAAGAGATCCGAGTTTTCTGTTAGGCTGGCCTCGACAATATTTCCATTTGCGAGTACACACTTTGAAAAGTCAGCTTCCGAATCGTATTGAATTTGATGGTAGGAGTGGTACCTGAAAAGCCTGAACCTCGGTAGACACAGAGCCATGTTCGTAAGAGAACATTGAAGAATCCGATCCCACCACCGAGTAGCAGACCAACAACACCCACATTCCCAAGACGAATGCCGTCGACGGTACGATTGAAGTCATCGAGGTAAGCATAGAATCGTGGCCAACGGATACCAGGTCCCACCGACACCAGGCTGTGGTCATCATTGATATCCATCATGGTCATGTTCGTGCTGGATATCAGGATGCCTTCTGGACCGATGTTTGCCGCATTATCGACAGTCATACCGCCACCGGCTCTGACTGCAAACGGTACGTTTGCTTGGGTGAACAGCTTGACCGCAACCGAGACGTCTTCTGCAGAGGTCGGGGCAAATACGCAAGCGGGCCCAAGCCATGCGGTGGAGGTCCACGAGTCTAGCGTCGAGTGTAAGCCTAATTCTGCCAGCGTCTGAGTCGAGGTGATTCTTACAGGTGTTTTCAAAGTCATATCGACTTGTGCCCGGAAGAATAGTGGAATCGGCGTACAGCTTGCCCAGAGTGTTACAGACATCTTGGGTCGTAGCTGGTTGAGCAGTTACTGTCCCAACGCCTGCTAGAAACGGCAAAAGGAACGGAAGAAGCATCGTGATATCAGGAGAGAATTTTTTTGTAGGTAATGAAAGTTGTGGTTGAGGCTGTTGTCCTTCCGAACGAACTTATTGCATCGCGAGCTGTCTTCCATGTTTATACTATTCACCGTCCCTGGTGATGCCTATAATGTGGTTACCCTTCTGAAATTGACAAAAGTATAATAAACATGCATAAACCAGCCCCAATTTCCAGAAGTCTTGGTATGTCTAGCTCTGCAGTTGTCAGTATGAAGCTAGCGTTGTACTCTATAACGTGTAAGAACTTTACGAACCAGATCGCTGAGAGTGGTTCATCGGATTTGAGAGCATGCGTTGAGATCCCGGATCCCAGCTCCACAGATCTCCAGTTCAACCATACAAAGCTTCGCCGACGTGCACATATGAAATGACTCGTGCTGGTGCCGTCCTTCCGCACGGTTACAATGTCGGTTGCGCATTTGCATTGCGGACTCCGTTGCGAAAAACAAGGGTGGGATTCCACGGACTTAGCATCGGGTTGAACCCGAGCAAGGTCGGCGGAGTTTATACCTCGAGACTGTATATGATTCTGAACCTGCTATCACCTTCACTTCAGCATTAAATCTTCATGGCATATGCGCGGAGGTCCATTATCGTGGCGCAGGTAATCGTAGACCTAAATTTTCCGGGTTTGACAGATGGGCCCCATGGGAAACACTCATACTTGTTCAACAACACGAACTATCGACCTATTTAGCCAAGGGGAATGAGACAATTACCCAAGTCCCGGTTGCATATTCTCCCTGTACTGCTAAGGAATAAGCCATGTCAGGGAGGAAACCCCCACTCAACGCCTTGATGCCTCCACTGCTTCCTCGGACATATCGCAGAGCTCATAGTAACTACTAACCAACTCGCTCAGCTTTGGCTCCGAGGCTACGAATGTCTCCACCTGCTGGCGTATGGCCATCGCCTCTCCTCCGACTTCAATTCCGCTAGGAATCCTGTCAGCCAGGAACCATGCTTTGTCTTCGTCACCCTCGAAACAGATCTGTAATGTGTAGTTGTCAGCCCAGTCGCTCATCCTCTCTAATGTGTTTGACCTGGCGGAGTTGTAAGGTGGATAGCAAACGCATTCAACATACTTCTGCCTCCCGCATGATGTCGTTAGAGGCGCACCAAATCCTATACGGCTTTCTCCCGTTCGTTTCAATGAGGCGTGCAATGCCAAGAACTTCACAGAGAGTATCTGCAGCTTCGGTCTTTTGATCCGGTAATTCCGTGGGCGCAGTGAGAAACTTGGCAAAGATACTCCGGATTCTCTCTTCATCGGCAGTCTCGACAAGTTGTCCTAGGCAGCACTGCGTCTCTTCAATGGGTGCTTGGCGCCACATGAAGTCGGTCATGGTGCGGCGGTACCTCCACTCAAGGGCATCAGCATGCGAAGGGACTTTCGTTCGTAGTGCGGTCTACTTCGGTACTTTAGGTCAGCGCTCGGAAAAAACTTTTCAGTATTGTCGTATGATTCATGATTTGTCGAGGAATTTCTGCAGTCGGCAACAAGTTCTTACGATGAACAAATTTTGGAGATCCTCGAGATGTTCGCACTGCTTTGCGGTGATACTTCCGTTTGTTGACGACATGACCAATCTTGGAGCTCCGATCGGGACTTCGGACTTGCAAACAAGCTAAAATCATGGTGGGAGAGTGTGTAACAAGAATCTTGGGATGTGGTGTGTGCCAACTCAAGCATACATCAAGCATCCTATTTATGCACACACACGATGATTAAGCCTCAGTAGTGGCTGCTGACATGACGAATGTGCGTGATGTTGAGCTGACGACCTTAACCTCTTGTATCCAAACCCCGCAGATCCTTCGCTCTCGTTGGGTCTTGACGCTACTTGATTGGCGGTAGTGATCAAAGAAGGCAACTCAGCAAGGATAGAACCCACATGATTCGAGACACACGATCATGTGCCATGCATAAGTTCTTTTGTCAGTCTCTTACTTCCTGGAATTATGAGCCTCGTTCTCAAGACCTACAATAGCCCCTGAAATCTATTCTTTCAAGTAATCAAACATCTTCGCCGCAACTTGAACCAATGTACACGAACATAAGTAAGACATAAGCGTAACATGCTCTTCGGTCAAAGAAAGTGTTCTCGAGTTTCATCTCGACTTCCTTCAATTCGGATGTGATATTCCAATAGCAATCTTTCCATGTGACAACAGGGATAGAACGAGCCTATAAACAAGATGGGCCACTAGAGATGACTGGAAACACCTGACCGGCGCTTGGGAATAGGTGTATCCCGATAGGCTGGTGGCAGGATACCTGCGAGTTCAGCTTTGATCTGCAATGCCAAAGTGCGTGAATGCCATCGCTGGAGCCTCGTATCACCGCCCATAACCCAGTAGTTGTCAAGCCGGGACTGCCGTTTCCACACCCCCCGAACCTCTCCCTCCGAATCGACGCCCCAAGTTGCATCAAGTCGAGCGGCTATCTCTCGAGGTCCAAGAACTCCGCTGTTTCCGTCATAGTCTCCTCTTGACGGGCTGTTAATGTCATTCGTTGTCGACGCCCCCAGTATGTCTGCCGCCGTCGTACGCGCGTCTCGGTCAGCAAATCCCGTACACCACACCACGGCATCCGCATCAAGTGTGCTACCGTCAGAGAATTTGAGTCCTGTGGTAGTGAAAGCAACGGGCTCCACATTGGCTTTGACACCTGCTTTACCCTCAGCTATCAGCGCTGTGCCGCCCACATCGAGGTAGTGTCCTCCACCCTTTTCAAACAAATTGACCATCAAGCAGCATTCCGGCGAGCGGCTGTCTAGGACGGGGAATCCGGCTTTGGCAAGGGCGGCATAGCGATCCGGCTCTTGAGAGGCAAGGTGGGAAAAGTGTCCCCGCACCATGTGAGCGTCGATGTTGGTGGGCATCGCCATGGAATCCTTGTCTGCTTCCACGCCAAGCTTCTCGTAATTTCCATGCGCCGCAGGATCGCACACATATGCGACTGGGAAGATGTAGGTTGGAGACCGAACTAACATAGTGGTCTTCAGGCCGGCAGCGTAGCAATCCTCGAGAATATCGAACGCGGTGTTCGCCGAGCCTATAACCAGAGCAGACTGGATTGAGAAATACGAATCAATCATGCAATTCAACGTAATCTAATTTAGAGCCTTCTACTGACCTTGACACCGAGCATCTGCAAGTCTTTGGCGTTACGGTAGGCAGTGGAATGGACACTGATGCCCCTGTACAGATTAGCATCAGCCACAGTCGGCATGTGAGGCTTCTGCGATCCGATCCCAGTTGCTTGAACGATATGCCTGGCCACGGCAACACGCCGACCAGTGGGTGACAAGAATGTCACTGTGTAGAGTTTTGAAGCTTGGCTGTAAGTTGTCGAAATGATCTTGGTCGAGTTGAGAATGTTCAGATTGAATATTTCCACGTATCGCTTCACCTGGTTTGCAAGTTCCTCTCTAGCGAGGAAGTGTGGAAATTGCTGCTCTTTTGCATATTCTAACCAGATTGCTTAACATTAGTTTGACTGGAACACTCTGCGGTTCGGACGCAACGCTTACCTAGGTACGCCATGGTGCATATCGCTGTTGGAATATGGAACTTCATTGCGTGGTAGCGAAGAGCCCAGTTGTCTCCAGGAGTGGGGTTACGATCGAGCATGACGCTCTCGACGCCTAGAGCCTTCAGCCGAGCAGCAACTGTCACTGCGCTACATCATTTCAAGTACATGTACTCATCAGCCGATGTGAAGTCGTTGATGGAATCGATATTTTGTTCGAGCTTACCTGTTGCCGCCACCGATAATGATCACATCGGTTTTGATCTGTTCGAGAATGCCCAGCTGCTTTGCAGGACCCCGCAACAAACTCAAATGTTCGGGATAGTGGACAAAGTTCTCAAGTCTGGTGCTCAATACCCAGATTTTCCAGCTCACTATCTTCTTTTCACTCTGGCGCTTGTGGGGTAGAAGAATAACTTTGCCATGGCAGTGGGCAGCAGGGGACGCTGTGCTGAATGTGAAATTACAGTCGATGAATTGCTTCGCGTCATGGGTCAGTCAGTTGGTCTTCCAACGAAATGGCTCGAATGAAGACTCACGAGGGTAGGGGTGACCGGCGCGAAACTCGCAAATCCATCAATCCCAATATCTGTTACTCCTCGGAGATTCTTTGTCTCTAAGAGGCTGCTTGCAATGACGCCCGCCTGTTGGAATGTTCGAAGATGATACGTTAGGGCTAGCTGGTCCTTCCAGTATGCCTGCTCCGCGAAGAAGCAGTCTTCCAGAGCAGTCACATCATTAGTCTCCAGTGCTGATGTGAGTTTTCCGAACAGATCGAGAGCGATGCTGGCCGTCGTGCTTCCGTTCATGTTGGCAGGGTCTATCGTCCCCTCGGGGATGATCGGGAGAGGTGTCTCGGCCATCATTGTACGTATATCCGCCTTGGGCGGGTATTCTCCATACACTTCAGCCATGATTTCTCTACAGACTTCATCAGCTTGACATCAACTTCACCTGGTCAGAAAAGAAGAGTGGTGAGACGCAAAATCTTACCCCTAAGATTCTGTCCTGGTTGATGAAGCTTGGGACTGCCGCTAGCAAGTAGGTGACCAGGTGGCATGAATGAGGGGAAGTGTCTCATTCTTAGCTTTTTGACTACCATCTCAAAATGGGCAGAGATTCGTCCGATCCATTTTGTTCCAACGCGCCAACGGCCGTAGCCAATTGTGGCCGGCGAGCTGCCTGGCGGAATTGACGTCTCTCCGCGGCCGTCCCACTAGGATATCACAGTGAGTAATAAATACAAGCAGCGACCGGAAGCGACCGGTGTTCGGTGTTCTCTGAATTCCTTCTTATCCATACCTAGCTTTCAGTGCTGTCTGTGCGGAGAAGAAGCCGCTCGTCGGCTAGACCTAGACTCCGAGACTTGTCCTTCCTCACCTTTCGCAAGGCGTTGTGTACATGCTCCATTCGTCCCTACTCTCGAATCAGACGCATCAGTCATCTGCAGCCGTTCACGCCTGAACTCTAGCCCTGCCGTAAACTCTCGTCTCTTAACTGCGGAGCTATTAGTGTGTGGGGTCTTGGGGTCACCGCGGTGTCCGTTCATCACGTCCATCGTATCATGGACGCCTTCTGCATCGTAGGAATCGCGTAATTTTATTTTTAACATGCTTTGACTAAATGGTCCTGTACTTGATTTGAACTATGCACAACACTTTTGCAATCTTCAATGTCCTCAGTCTTTACGCACTATTTTATCATGACCCAGCCTACATGTTGGACTGACGTCTGACAAGTACACTGAGGCAGATCCTTCTGTGAGAGTTTAGACCCAGCAAATACGTTTTCCACATGATTCGAGATCACTTGACAATAAAGCCCCACCGACCTTAGTTACAGGGCGTGAAAAAGACTCTCATTTACCTACACAGTGTATAAACCCCGTGATTCCACGTGTTTGCCCTCGCTACGTTTCCGGCCCCGGGACAACAGGTCAGGATCGCGTCTTTCCTGGTTTGAAGGCCACGAGTCCTCTCCTCGTAGCCCCCAGGACGAACTCCCGTCACTACCAATCTCTCCAGACTCCTGTCTTCTGAAGTTTCGTATGAGGCTTGGTTCTCGTTGTACCGGAGGATATTGAAGCTCAAGAATCGTACCATCATGGCCCGATCTCGATATTTATTCAGAACTGGGAAGACTCCGCTTTGCTATAGCTGACTTTGAATTCTCACTATCACTCGTACTTCCGATAGCCTTCCGGAAAGGCGCGGTCAAATGTTGGACAATTTGATCGAAGTAGATAGCATAGCCTGCCAGGGGAATGAAGAAGGCAATCGAGACGGAGACTAGGTTCTCACCCTATTAGAAAAATCTAGCAGACATTCATTGACATAGATTTCCTTACAAATAACAACGAAAATCCAGCCTGGTGCCTCCATGAAAGAGTTCGCATCGATCGCGAACAGGGAAGTCAGAAATGAGAGCGGGAGCTGGAATGGAACACGTTAGTACATGTAATTAAAAAAGCTCGACTCTGGTGGTGTGTCGTACAAAAAGGATTGTAACTACGGTAAAAACCATCAACGTTTTTCCTTGCTTCATTGACAGTTTTGACTGGTCATTAGCTGCCATACTCATCTCGAGCGATACAGTCGTCTGCTGAAGTGATAGAGTGTTGTTGACCTGCAAGTTTGGACATTAGAATAGAGTCAAGTGATTTGCAAACATGCTTACCGAAGTCTGAATTCGGTCTGCCACCTTGTCCATTTCCTTTATGTCATTAACAACGTGGGAGGCGCTAAGACCAGCTTCTTGAGAGCCTGGAAGCTTTTGCATCTCCCGCTGAACATCTCGTTGATATTGTGCGACTGCTTTGAGTATGTTCAGTTCGTCCCGAATGTCTTTTATACGGCTGGATAGATCCTCTGCCTTTCTTATAGCAACTAAATTGTTCTTTATGCGTGCTTGCCTCTTTCTTTCCAGCTCATTGTCGGTATCTTTTCGAGTTGATTTGTCGTCAATGACCGCCTGACAACTCTCCACGCCAGGTTTCTTTATTCCGAGAGCAACCTGAAATTCCTCGATTTGATTTTCGTCGTTCATTGTGGCTAGTATCTCGCCGGCTTCGGAGCTAAACTTCGCGAACAGATTTGCTTCATCGATACCCTAATTAACCTTTAGCCAATTCAATTGATCCCAACGTGATTCTTCACGTACGATTTTGTTGATGGAGTTCGAAAACATTTGACGCATCGACAAGAGCTCTGGCGGGTACTCCACAGAGGCCGGAGGATTAGGCGCGAACTGCCAAGTCGGGGATCGAAGCGCAGGCTCCTCGGCGGTACCATTGACTCCAAGGGTAGTGGATGAACTCTTACGTGAGGCCTTTGGCAGAGTCTCATACGATGATATGCAGAAGTCGATGATGAGCCGACTCATCTCAGCCGTTGATCCCGGCAGGGAGCGACTACCACCGGATTCCGTTTGCTTTGTAAGATGGTCAACCACGCCCTCCAAGAGCACATTTTTCTTCCCATCAATTGGATGAGAGGAGGCTGTAATCAGCCACTCTGAGAACGTGTCAGCTGAGGTAGTGAGAAATGAGGAGAGCGCCTCCGGACATACTATCTGCGATTGTCCAAATCCATAGCTGGTTAACTCGGATTAGTGGCCAAAAGTCTTTGTCCTCAATCTTGCCTGGTAAGCCCTTAGTGACAACCTGGGATTCGTTGCGTGCCTTTCGGTCTTTGGAAGCTTCCTGATCAGATGCAAAATGGTAATACCATTCGTCAAGGGTGGAAGAGCCGTGGATAACTCCTGGTTTGTATGTGCTCAGCAGTTGTTCATACTTGTATTTCTCTGCACGCAGAGCCTGCAAAACGTTCTTTGGATCATCTTCGACATCCGGAGTCGGACTAAAAGGTTCCTCTCCTTCTTCTTCGCGACATTGAGTGGCGTAGGAAAGATACGGCATCTTCAAGAATGGGTTAGAACACAGCCGTTTCAACACAGGCAAAGTTCTGGCTTACATAAACCGCCGATGCAGGTGTTTCGTTCTCTTGGACTGTTTCCACAAAGCGAGACCTCATCATACGCGAGGCAGATATCTTGTCCGGCACTTCAACCCAGCTGTCTCTGAAAATGGATCGATATTCTTCGGCTAGAATTAGCTCCACGATGTTGTCCTGGAGGTGTAAGATGGCATAATCCAAGGCAGTGCGCATATTGCTTTCATGGGAGTCCCAGCTCTTTATGCATATTGCTCCCAAGTCAGCACCGGAGTCCAACAAGACTCGAACTCCTACCTCATATCCCAAACTAGCAGCAAGCATGAGGGGCGTCAATCCGTATTGGTCGGGAACATCAAGCTGCAAATCTTCATCTTCTGTTCGTGGGCAAAGCAGCATTCGCATGATGGACTCCACCTTCCTATCCGTTGCTACCATCAAAGGAGTGTTCTCCAACTCGTCAACAATATTGAGTTTAGCGCCATTGGCTAGCAGGATTTCTGCAATCTCAGGGTTGCGGTGGTAAGCTGCGAGATGAAGTGGATTCAGATGCGAGTGTTCCTCGGAGAACTGGAGTATCGATCTGTCGTTTTCCAAGAGAAGCTCCACGATATCCTCCGCGCCGCTCAAAACTGCGAGCGAAAGAGTCGAGTTCTCTGCCTCGGGTTCAGATCTTAATTGAGACTCCATTCTCGAGTAAAGCTTTGACAACGCCGGGCTGATTTCTCAAGCATGCTGTGTGGAGGGGACTGTGACCCGATTCGTCTCGAACCTCTTGCTCTGCGCCGGCGCTGATGAGCACTCGAGCTGCTTCCGTAAGTCCATTTCGGGCAACAATATGTAGGGCTGTCATATCAGAGTCTCCTTTGGCGTTGATGTGGTCCCTCCAAGGCCCGCGCAACATTTCATCGAGTTTCTTCGTGCCGACATGCTCCATATCACCATCCCACATGTCTCGGTCATCGAGAAATTGATGCATATCCTTTGTTATCAAGTCGTGATCGCCTTGATCTGGACTTTCATCAGGTTTGACCGCAGCTGCATACGCATTGGGACTTGTGGTCTTCTCTTCCCCGCCATCATCGGGGAACACCTGAATCTCTTCACTGATAATTGGTGCTACTGGGGTCGTAACTCCAGGATTCGTAGTGGTATCGCTAGAGGACGAGCTTCTGTTCTGCTCTTGGTTGTCTCTAGGGCTGTCGTTGCCGTTGTGCTTAGAGTGGTGGTTGATAAACGTGTCCTCAGGGACGGGGCTTTTCCTGTCACTAGTCGTCATTTCGTTGTCAGATGCTGACAGGTTTCCTGGAGCACAGGTGCGGGAGCGCAACCGTCGAAATGACGCGGGACATCGCCATCAAATATGATATCTGCTACGCTCCAGGAGACCGTGACCCATAAGACCCCCCGTCATTTACCTGCGGATAAATGAAATGTCACTGCAGTCCTTTACGGCGTTGTTGGTTGCACAGTTGCACTTGACCAGATTTCTATGAATCCCTGCCAAGGTGCAGCATGCCATGAGCTGAAAAGCCGTCCCACCGGCGAGACCGGAAAACAGCCTGTAGAATGAGGATCCATTTCCTGCGAGCATGCAGGAAGCCGTTGGACGTGCTTGCGCTCTGGGTGTGAGGTATTCACTGGTACCCCCAAGCTAGGCTATCACTTCTTGACCTGCATAACTCGTGATCAATACGGCCGATGCGATCTCATTCTGACCAAAAAAGAGTTTGAAACGACCAATCAAAGGCCATTACTACCCGCTGTAGTGATTAAATCATGCGCAGGGACGGAATTCGGCTCCGAATGGCAAAATTCCCGAAAGTTATGAATACAGGATGACGTGCCGTTGGGTGTCATCGCTGTTGGTTCTGTTGTTCTTGGCACAGCCACCATGGCTTTTGCGGCGGCTGGACCTCCCAAGCAGTGTTCCATACAGAAATAGAGGGTTATCATAAGTTCCGAGATGAATCTTGCACAACGAAGGGAACTAATGTGTAGAAAGTGAGGTCGTTGTATTTTTCAACAAGTCGGGGTGAAACTCATGGAACTACAGGTCGCTAACATCGGACTCGCCATGGATGTCGTAAAACACAAGTGAGCTATCCCTCCCTATCTCACTAATCTCCATCCTGCATGATCTCTTAATTCCACTAGCCTGCCGTCATCTGCCGATGACTCAAGGCAGAGTCCGACGAGAGGAAGCCAACTCCCATCTCTCCATCGCTCAGGCATGTCTCGTTTCTCGGTTGCGCAGTTATGAGGAATATTCGGTAGCAATAAGGTCAGGGTCGGATGGCCTTACAGTGTGAGCAGACTCGAGGGCGCTTGAAAGGGTGGCACAATCTCATGTACAGGCGATTCTTCTTGAGAGTAAGCTCCATCACATAGCCACTGCGCTCAATTATCTTGCCGAAGAAGCGCACGCCTTTCTTCTGGAAAGGCAACCACAATGTCTGAAGATCCTCGGTGTGTTCCTCCTCCCACTCAGCCAATTCAGGAAAAGCGGCATGATTGATGCGTCTGAGGGCTTTTTTGTGACTCGGGTCGGGGGTGGTCTTCGTATGAATGTCATGCCACTGGCCAACCACAATGGCAAGTTCAGTGAGACTCGGAAGTGCCGCGAGGACAGTAAGGGCCGCGCTGAATTCGTGGCGAAGGGGAAGATGAATCCGACGGATGCAGTCGATAAGCGGTTGTGCCTGGGGCGTAGGTAGATGAAGAGACTGTCGAAGCGAGAGTGCAGCCAGTTGCATGTTCGCCTCGTCCTTGTCTGCCACGAACGGAATGAAGCGATCGACAGCAGGGAGAACCCAAGCGTCAATTGGAAGTCGTTCAGAAACGTAACTCCGATAGGTCATGCCCATCGGATGACGGAGGAACTCTCGATGAACCAGCGACCGACTCATGCGATTGATTTGTGAGGGAAGCTGAAATCTGCGAAAGCGGCCTCTGAGGTTGACCTTCTCGCGTCCGTTCTCGACGAAATCCTCGAGGAAGACGACTTTTGAAGGCGTTTCGTGAACATAGGCGAGCCACCAGACGATGCCTTTGTCGGCTTCTTTGGCGGCGGCGATGAGGTGGTCGACGATGAGCAAGATGATGTCCATGGAGAGCATCGCTGGTGCCTTCTCTCCATCACTGGGTGTTTGAGTCGCCATGACGAGGAAGTCACGAATGAGGTGTTGCGAACCTTTCTGCCAAGGTTTTGTTCGTAGAGGGTTGATCGGTCAGGTTGCTGTTGAAAATCGTCGTCTAAAAGGATTTCAAATGATTAGACACTCATCGACTGATCGTCAACCAGACATTGCAGAGTCAGAAGTCCCACTACCCTAGACATAGGGGTAAAGAAATCGCTCACCTTTCCTCCAGTCCTTCGGCGATGAGGACTCAGAACCTTCTGGCGGAGGCTAGAAAAGTTTGAGGTTGGCGATAGTTAAAAGAGCAAGACGAGAGAGAAGAGAGAGGTAAAAACGGAAAGCAACCATTCTTTCTCGCTCTTTCCTCATTTGCCGCTGGCTTGGTAGCTCCTTCCTGAAAACACAAACCCTTTGAAACGGGAAGGTACAGCTGCCGGAATACTGCTGCGTTTGCATGAATGAAGAGCAGTGATATCACGTCACATTATGAAGGTGAATAACAAAGAATCTAGTGGAATACCCAAGGATAGAACTGTTTCTGTTCAAACACCCATACACGCTTTTATGTTTCTCAAGGGAAGATGTTTGCGCCTTGTAGGTACTCGGGTTGCTCAGATCAGGTAATCATCCTCATGTCCCGTAAGAAATGTCTGACCCGCGAACTACTCGAGTGCCTACGTTTCAGGCTATATTTCCAACACTTTTTTGAGGGTTACAAGGCACGTCCGATGCACAAGATGGTTTCAATTAGCTAGACAAACACAGTTGAAACTCAACCCCTGAATATAGGTCGATTGGCGTTGATGATCTGCTATCGGAGTAATATAGATACAGTCTGTATCTGACTGAAGTAGAGACTTCAGCTCAAGTGCTGTCCTGAAGACGATCAATTATGATGCTACCAACTACGTACTTTACTCTGACGGAATGGCGGAGGCAGAAGTTTCTCCAACTTTGGTCCATGTTTCTTTCCTCTACCACCTATTCCTTCAAGTTAAGAACACAGTCGAAATCTAGCTGAAATGAACCTCTATTCGCCTTGATATTTAACATTCACTTTTGTCTCTACACCATCGCTGTCCCGTAGTCAATGGGAAACTTGACATAACCCGCTAAGAGGGGATGGTGCCCCAGTTTCGTGCCAGAAATGGGACATCCGATTATTATAAGAACACAAAATCTTGAAAGGACGGGAGTTTATCGATTGAGGAATACTTTGAGTTTCATACTGTCGGAAATCGACTAAGGCTAACCGGAGGTCTTGAACGGAGCAACGGAACCATCGGGGATTAAGGAGTAAGAGGAGGAGAGATCATGGTTTTAGAGATGCAGAATGCGCGTCCGGGCCCACAAACAAGAAGAAAATCGCTATTTACCGGACATATCCACTTGAGAATATGCGAGCATCTAGTTCTGCAACTCTTCAAAGGCATCGTCTAGCATTCAACTCTATGTCACGTTGTGAGAGTACGACAATTAGAGTTACGGTTCGTGCATCGTGATGTGGATACTAATCACACTCGCTTGATTGGGCAGCCACTGATCCCTGCCAACATTCACTTTCCCCTGCCGTCGCATCAAGTCACTTTCAAATCTTGGCTGGGATAGTTGAACGCTCTTCAGAGCCAGATCATTTTGGTTTCAATCATGATAAGAGCCTCGATCGTGCTGTATTCCTCTTCGCCCAGGTGCTCAGGCACCAGGCTAATGTGGGATTCGTATTAAAAGATATAGGCAACATCACGTTAGGCAGCAAGTGTGACATCGGGGCAGTGCTTATTTTTGAGTCGCCCTTGTAAGACAATAACTCTCACGCTAACACAGCTTCGCCTAGGCACATCGACGTAATTGGCATTGCCAGCACGTTTTTCATTCGTTCAATTCTTGCAAGTAAGATTAACGGCCGACGGCGCAGCTCCGCATCTCACTCAGGTGTCTTAAAACCAGATGAGTTTCTCAACCTGGCGGTCCAGCCCTGCGAACCCTTGCGCCGACTGCGCCCGGAATCCTCCCGCTATCATGGGAGAGACACAGCGATTCGCCGCGGTCCCTTCGCCGCGAAGCTACGGGGAAATCAGTCTATAAGCTGACTGCTTCCAAAATAAATCGCCAACTTTTTTCTGGTTCTTGATACTCCCCAGACTTCACTTTGCGTAGCCTCATCAAATATCTGCGCACACCCACGACAACACCTACGCCTTCGGTCACCTAGGAAGAATCAGCCATTCACCAAGATAAAACCCCGATCTCCACAAAATGCCCGCTATCCAGCTCTCAGAAACGGCCAACGGCGCCATCCGCCATCTCCTGTCAGCACGCGACTTTGACGACGACTACAACAACACCCGTAACAAGGCAAGAGCAATCGGAGGAGGCGTCATCGCAGCCATTGTAGTCATCATTATCCTCACCATTGCCGCCATTACTTTCGCCGTTTTCAAATGTATCCGCAGCAAGAGGAGAAGGGCGCAAAACGCGGTGGAGATGAAGAAGTACGTGGGCGGAGTTCCGGTCACCGATGCGACCACGGCGGGCAGCACGAACGGCCCGGCACCCGGCGGGGGAAACATGAACGGATACGGATTCAGCGGAGGATATGTTGCAAACGACGGAACTGCGGGTACCGGCAAGGATGCCCACAACGCGACGGATGCGATGCCCCCGGCGTACTCTGCAAACAACGGCCCGGTAGCGAACTAAACCATTTATAAAGATGGACGAAGACAACGGATAACAATGGAAATTGGGTAAGGGGATCACGACTACCTATAGACATGGCGTTTCGGAAGAGAGCGATCGATCGTTAGAGGCATTTCTTTTGTGATATGAGAGGAAAACCTATCCCAGGTGTTCGATGACCATGCGTATCGCATTGGCATTGGCTCTAAACGGGCTGAGAAGAAGCAGAGAAGGCAGCCTGAGGGCCGGACTTTTCAGGCTGGACCACGAGTGTTGCAGGAATTATCACACATCGCATCAATCCTTTATGCAAAGCGAATGTCAAAAGAATTGATTTTACTCAAGATGAAGATACAGGTGTAAAGACAAATTTGTTGAATATGTACAAAGAAATTAACGGACAAGTCAAACGAGGCAAATGTTCCCCTTATCCGCGAAGCTTGAACCAGATTAATACTTCACAAACAGTCGTTGCATGCCAACGACTCAATCGTAGTCTCAATGTCCAAGCTTGAAACCACCCCAGTTGAGCTTGCTGAACACCATGTTGGGGTCGTACTGAGCCCTGATGTCCTTCATCTTCTGCAGGTTACCCTGTCCGTAAGCGGGGAAAGGCTTCTGCCACTCGCCAGCATCGCCCATGTAGACGAACTCGGTCGCAAGTCCCAACTCCTGGTTGATCTCGTGGTGGTGGGCGAGGAAGTTCTGGGACCAAGCGGTCATGCGGAGGTCATCCTCGGGGCGGGCCCAAGAGGTAGTGATTTGCCACCCTGAGATTCTCAGTCAGTTATTGACTCACTATCGAGAAGGAACTCATGAGGACGTGAGTGAGAGAACTTACAGATGTAGGACTGGTTAGCATTCAGGCCGAAAGTGTTACCGATGCCGTTGTTCTGGGCGACCGCCAAAGCAGTTCTCGGAACCGTATTCAAGATGAATGTAGGGCGGACGCCTTCAATGTCGGCGATATCGGCGATAGCTTCAACCCAGGCCTGGTAGATCTCGTACAGGCGGTCGGCATCGGGAATGATAGTCTGGTGACCGAACTGGATGCTGAACGAAAGTTGTTAGCTTATTTGCGCTCAAAAAGAACCACAGGTCATGGTGAGGGCTATTCTTACCGGAACATCTGGTTAGGGGACAACATCTGGGAATGCCAGTCGATGGGCCGCGTCACATTGTGGCTGCGGGAAACGGCGGGAATAGCAGTGAAGTTGGCAAAGTGGGACGGAGGCGAGACAGTGGTCTCTTGCAGACCAAAGACTTGAGGCACGACCTCCTTGGTCGTCACATTGTAGTTGATGTTGATTACAGCACCGGCACCCTCGGAGTTGTCGTCGCTGAGGGCAAAATCGGCAGCAGCCTTGATGAAGGCCTGTGTGGCAGACTCGTTAAAGATCTGGTAAGTGCTGGTCGCCAAGGGTAGCTCCAGAGTCTTGAGAGAGAACTTGGTGACGATGCCGAAGTTGCTAGCACCGCCCTTGAGAGCCCAGAAGAGGTCCGGGTTCGAAGTATTGGTTGCGGAGACTTGGGTACCGTTGCCGAGGACGACGTCGTACTTGACCACGTTGTCCATGGAGAAGCCGTACTTGTTGAGGAAGTAGCTTACACCGCCGATCAGGGTCAGGCCGGGAACGCCGATGGTCTTCAAACGACCGCCGATCGCGTACTTGCCGTACGGCGCCAGGGCGGAGTAGACTTCGACCCATTTGTTGCCGGGACCGACGTCAACGGTGTTCTCGTCATTGTTGACTGTTACTGTATTCAGGCCGTTGAGAGCAAGAAGGACTCCATCGTCAATAGTGTTGGCTCCGGGGTACTGCAGGATATGTGTGATTAGTGGGCTGCCTTATGCTGCAGGGGACGAGAAGGTAGGGGGCTTGGGTGTAAGATTGTGCGTACATTCATATGGCCACCACCCTTGACAGCGAACTGGGCCTTGCAGGTGGAGAGGATCTCCACGCCCTTAGCGACATCGTCGGCAGTTGAAGGGAGATAGATGCAGGCCGGATGAAGGTTGGCTCTCTTGTCCCAGACGTTGATGCGCTGGGTCTCGTACGCCGTCGAGTTGGAGAAGAGCGTAGAGTTTGGAGAATGGCTGCTCAACCCAGTACAAGCGCACTTGACGTTGTCGGAGACCAGAAGGTCTCGGCGGCCGAAGACGGACTTGGTAGCCGAGGCAGAGCTGGCCAGCAGAAGAGCTGGGAAAGCGAGAGAATACAACATGGCTGTGACTGACTGTCAATCGAAGTGCGGAAGGATAAGCTTGCTGGAGCGAGTGATTTTGGGTGAATGGTCAAGTATATCGAGAACGATATGAGAAAGAATCCAACAAGTATTTATCTGTTTTGAGGGAGGTTCTCCTGAATGGCTTTGCCACTCTTGTTCCTCGGTGCAACCCCCTTTACAACAAAATGAGACCCTCTACGCTGCTGTCTCTACGATCTTCCTCAGTGACTAGAACATGGTTCTCCATCATGATGATCCGCTGTGAATGTCTCAATCGCAATCGGTCTCGCTCTGTGCCTTGCAGCTTTCGAAAATCGACTCAGCCTTGTAGGTGGAATCCATCAAAAAGATCCATTGCGGATTTCGTCACTCAAAGTCCACTCAAGGCTTCGACCAAGATACTGGTCGAGTTTCCGCTACTTGTTATTAGTCGACGATACGTAACATGCCAGTCCGCCATAGCCGTCTTCGTCAGCGAACCACTAAACCCTTGCCACTTACCTTAGCTGCCTTGCCCTACTATCAGTTGAACCGGCCCGAAGAGACACTGCATTGGGGTTCCACAGATGGGTTCGCCTGATGGACCCAGATGAGGCGTTTCCCGCGAGGCCACGCTGTATGCTGCCGCCCTAGTGTGCCATCTTAAGTTCCTACCCCGGATCACTAGTTCGAGGAGATTTGACAGTGCCACCTCATCATTCCGCCGTCAAAGCGATGGGACGAAAGTGTTACTTCTCATTGACGGAAATAAACTGTGGTACTTGCTTCTTTCCCACCTTAAACAATGCTCTCTCTCCATGACGATTTACCAAACGGAGTAGAACGTGTTCCAGACCTGGACCTTGCCCTGAAAAGCCACCCCTGACGTTTCCAGCCACACCTGCGTCAGAGCGTGGTGTTCCGCTCGCTCTCGCTTTCGGCGATGGGGCCCCCTTTGAACGCTTGCGCATAGAGACGAGCGGAGATCTGTGCTAGTTTTTTGGAGCTGGGTGGAATTGGTGTAGATCTGCTTCCGCATACCCACTCTTTTGTTCTACGTGTATTCCTTTACGTGGATCCGTATCCAAGTTTCCCACGTGAAGAGAGTACGTGTATCCGTATTGGTAATCTCAATTATTCCATCGTGGCTTACCTAAATACCTACCTAAAGCAAACGCATCGTGAAGTGCGGATTCTACGATTGCAACTTGAGTACATTATCCCAGGCTTTCCCCTCACGTCGCTATTCGGCACGTCTGTCTCTGTCAACTTCAGTCCGAGAATCTCGGCAAGTCAGAGGATTGCCGAGTGAGGCAATGGCTACCTTTGCTCGTAGGCGCGAACAGCGTCCCAAACATTTCCTTCGGTTGTGTTCGTGCTTGGTCAAGCACGGCCCATGACTGGAGACATTTTTTAAAGCGTTGACCGTTCTTTAGAACACCTGCCTCAAGATAACTGATTTCAGATGAAAGAGACTACGCGAAATCATACTAGGTGACATTGAAGTTCTACAGCACCGTTTCATCGGTTTAAAGTTTGCCCCTACAGCAGTCAAACGCATCCAGATTGTACCGCGCGATATGGATGCTGTGGCTTGACGTTCGGACATTTTTTAGACTTTCCAGACCCCGGTGATTCCGCAATAACTGTAAATTAACCACAACCACCTGAGCGATGTAGGAGACCTCACCTCCTTCAATCTGACCCGGATCCACTCGAGATCTCATTCCGAGTTCCTATTTCCCGTCAATGGCAGCGATGAACGCCACTGTCAACCATACTTGGACTGAGGCAATGTCTGAGCTAAGACTGCGGCCCACAGTCACACCGGGTGGCACTCTTCTACCTCACTCACTGACCGCGAAAGGGTGGTTAGCGTGTCTTGTTTTGTCACTTTTGGACGGGCTTCTCGACAGGGTCCTTCAATATCAGCAAAAGGATCCTGCGCGTCGGGCGCGGGATGAGAGGCGAAGACGACGGCTGGGAGTCTGGGAGGAGAGGCATCACAGCGGGCTTGAAAAGCTTCACGAAACGCTGTGTGATCTGGATATCCCGGAAGTAGACCTCAATACGGTCGACATGCATGAATGGTTGGATTACGCATTCCAAAAACCATCGTGAGACTCAGCGTTCTCGGTTGAGACATGCCGATGCCGAACCAAGACGAAGGGTCCTTCTTTGAGCCCGGAAACACTACTTCTCAAGTATGTAACCTAGGGAAGAGTAACGGACTGCAAAACTCCTGTGGGTTATCTCGCTGCTAATGAGAGTCTCTCTGACTGGGGGTACATTTGCGAGCTTGAAGACTACAAGGTAGGTATGGTGTCTCATGCTCTATGCCCACGAGGTTCCTACCGCCTGCTAATCATTGGGATGCCATTACAAGCAGGAGTCGACGCGGAATACATCAATCTCTTGCCCGCGTAGCAAAAAGTGAGATTAGTTAGTTTCCGCCCGCTGGGCATTCGCCAAAGAATCTCGGCGATTTCAAAGAATGGCGTCTGGTATCGGCACAAGGTCAGGCTAGGCTGGCTAGCTGGGATGGAGAAGTAAAGAGACTGTTCAGTGTTACTTGACAGCATGTCTCGATCACTGTCAACAGTCACTCACTACCCTGTACGTCGATTGTGAAGGAAATGAAACGTTGTTGGAACTACGGCATCATCTTCAGGACTGTTTTTGTATGTAGGAGGCACTCGACATTTTCCAAGGTGGCATGTAATACCAAGATGGGACAAGGAAGAACAGAATCCAGTTTACTTTCAGATAATGAGATACTGAGCACGAAAGATGGCCTGTTGGGAGCCCAGTTCCCGTTCGTTGATATTCACTCGCTCATTCCTCATCTCCTCGAATTTTCAACGTGGTCTGAGGATATATCAGGCTGCCGCTTGTTGTCTCCCGCATCTTTCTCTAGCTGATCCAGCTCCGGAACTTTCTTTCCTGGGCAGATAATCTCGTCCCCGAACCTGGCAGCCACCTCCTCAAGTGATAAGAAGCGAGTCTCGGGCAGGAAAAAGAAGTAGATGGTCCCCGCAAAAGCGTTGCAGGCGATGAAGACGAAGTAAAACTTCCACTCAATGGCATCGAACGCGACTGATGCCGCATAAGATAGCCAAATTGCCGTAACAGCTTGTGTAAAGACTGAAAAGCCAACACCGACGCCACGAAGGTCGAGTGGAAAGATCTCGGCTACCAAGACCCAATTGACACTGTTGAAGAAGAAGGAGTACGCAAACGCGAACAAGAAGATGAACGCAACACCGGCACGGGATCCAGCTGGATTCGAGTCATCTTGGAAAAGTTTCGATAAGGCCGTCAAAACCGCGAGGAGAGCAGCGAGCGTAAAACTCCCGGAAATGACAGTGATACGTCGCGTCCAGTGGTCGGCAACGAAGAAGACGTTGATTATCTGGCCGATGACTGCCATGAAGCCATACAAACCGCCTATCAGGAGCACAGTCTGGCCCTCATACCCAAGAGAGTTATACATGACGGACTGGTAATTTTGGATGATGTTTGACCCAGAAAGCTTCATCATGTTGACTGTCAAGCAGGCTAACAAGGTTCTTCGGATGTACTGGCGTGTGAACAGATTCCAGAAGTTGGAGACTTTCTTCTTGTTGGCTTCCAGTTGGATTTGGCTGATCATTTCAGCGAACTCTTGCTCTATCGTTTCTGCACCCCGGTGGGCGTGAAGCGAGTACATGACCTTCTTGGCGTCATCGTATCGCTCTCTCATGGCCACTATCGGCTTTGTGTTAGTATTCAGGCCTCGTTCCAAAGAACTTGGCCTGCGAACCAGTAAGTGATAGTGTAGAGACTTACACCATCGCGGAGAGTAGGGCAAGAAAAAAGTCATGACAGCGAGACAGAGTGCAGGCGGTATCTGCGTGGCCAATGGAATACGCCACTGCAGTTCACCGACAGCAAACGAGCCCGCATAACCCACCCATCCAGCAACGAAGAACCCGAGAGTGTTCATCAATCCTTTCAAGCCAACAAGAAATCCGCGATTCTCTGGAGGGCTGAGCTCCGCAAGGTACACAGGGGCCGTCGGATAGACCATACCCGTCGAGAAACCTGAGAAAGCACGACCCACAATCATCATGGCTGGGTTCACGGCAGCGGTCTGCAGCACGGCTCCTGCGACACTAACACACGCTCCAAAGAGCAATGTCCAGCGACGGGACATCTTGTCCATGCAGTAGGCAGAGCCACCGCTGCCAAAGGCGTATCCTGCGTAATATCCAGATACAATGCCTGCTCGCACAGAAACATTGTCCATAGATGGACCGTACATGTATAGTTTGAAGGTGGTTTGAGCGATGGTGGAAGCAATGATGCCTGTGTCGATGCCGTACACGAATCTGGGCGGCACTTGGCATTAGCCTTAATACAGAGCTAGATTCCTCCAGAGTAGACATACCCAGCAAGACTGATCGCTAATCCAATGAGAATCGACCTAGCCGAGTTTCCACGATGGCCAGCCCTCTGTTTCACCATCTTGCTGACAATGCGATGCCCAGAGGGTGCGAGATTGAGAAGATCAAAGATGTCGCTCACAATGGTGTACCTGTAGAGCAGTCCAAGGTTCTCTTTTCTACAAGGCAGGCTCTCTGAGTGGAGGTAAGATAAAGGAAAGAACTTAGCCAAAACCCTGTTTACAAACAACGCAGACGCGGTTTCAGCTGGGGTGACAAAAAAGACGCAATTTGATGATTGTAGGTAGTTCAGGCATGTTCAGGCATTTATAGCTCCCTCTCGAAACAAGAAAGTCCTTCTAATATCTGGCATATTGGTGCAGTTCTGTTGTCAGCGAGAGGAATAAGATGTTGATTCTCCCCGCATATCCGCTTCCCCAGGATGGAGCAGGAGGATCTGTTCCACCCCCGCAATCATACATTGAGTCTTGCTCATCTCAGCTTGTTAGCACATCTCGGACTGTCATCAAATTCTCCGAAATCCCGATCAAGACAGGGGATCCAGAAATGCCGGAGACAAACCAACTTGGTTTAGCCTATCCGCGGATGAGGTGGGGGCTTCTTCTGGCCTCAGCTGACTTTTGTGCGAGATCAGTCAAATCTGGTAGATGAGCAACGGCTGCCCCTCGACATGTAGTTCGCTCGAGGATCACGAGCCGATGACTTGTCTTTCTCAGGCAATGAATCATGACAAGTGATGATTGAGTCTTGCTTTTTTATTTTTATTAGTCCCACTTCAAGTCCTGCACTCTTCTGTAAACCTGACCTTAACTTCAACCCACCGTATAGCACGCTGTAAGCTCATGTATTTTTCAATTTGCCAACCAAGGACTGATTTGGCTCCCTAGGAAGCTTTTCATCCTACCTACCTTAGTGAAAGTCGTTTCACTTTAAGAGACTCGAAGACACCCCTTGCGAGTTGCGTATTTACAATTTTCGCACGGGAGTAAGTTCTGAAAGAATGAGGGCTGGAGTTATGTTATCATTTATTATATCAGAGGCATTTAGGTCCCTAGGTCTAATCGAGAAGGTACATGCAGTCATGAGGTACTGACGAATCTACCATTTTGGAACGTTGGGAGAAAATTGAGGGTGGAACTTTCTCATATACGTTGTGTCATCGCGTTTCCGCAGCCCACAATCCAGGTAGAGTTGATGAAGATGTGCCAACTTCTTCCTGTCTAGCTCGACTCCCAAGCCAGGCGCGGTCGGAACATTCAAACCACCATCAGACCACTTGAGTACTCCATCAATAACGACATCTTCATCCCGTGGTTTCCATGGCCAATGAGTATCGCAAGCATAGTCCAGATTGGGGGTAGCTGACGCAAGATGAGTCATGGCCGCAAGTGATATGCCCAGATGACTATTGGAGTGCATTGAAAGACGCATTCCCCATGTCGCGCAGATGGCGGCCAGAGTCTGAGACTTGCGCAGGCCACCCCAGAAGTGATGATCAGAGAGCACCACTTGGACTGCGTTCTGCAGTATTGATGTGGGCAAGTGAGAAAATGCGACTACAGCCATGTTTGTTGCCAACGGCATCGACGCTTCTTTCGCAACAGCAGCCATGCCCTCGATTTCTGGAGCCGGGTCTTCTAGGTATTCGACGATCCCTTCGAGTTCCTTCGCAACCCACTTTGAGGTCTCGACGGTCCAGGCGGCATTGGGGTCGAGTCTTAGAGGCACACCCGGAAAAGCCGCATGCAATGCTTTGATTGCTTCCACCTCTTGTGCGGGTGGGTAGACGCCGCCTTTCAACTTGATCGCTTTGAAACCGTACTCGTCAATGATCTTTTTCGCCTGCTTTACCACACCAGCAGGGTCAAGAGCCGCGCCGTATTCGTCGTCTGGCTGTCCAGGGTGCCCCGCCCACTTGTAAAAGAGGTATGCCGAATACTGGACGTTGTCTCTAACGCGGCCGCCGAGAAGGTCACTCACAGGTACTCCTGCAAGCTTTCCCTGGATGTCGAGACAAGCAACTTCAAAGGGGGAGAAAACCTTGTCCGCAACAGAGGCAGTAGTCACCATGCCTGCCATCCCGTCGCCGCCGGTGCTGGTGTCGCCTGTCAAGGACTCGACGCATAGCTGATATATCGAGTTTGTTTCGTACACAGTGAGGCCCTTAATTTTGTCGGCCGCAAGTTGGAGACGGCCCAAATGTGTTGAGTCTCCGTATGATTCCCCCAATCCGTAACCATCGTCTGTGATAACTTCGATGATGCTGCGTAGTGCAAACGGCTCATGTACACCAACGCTATTTAGCAGGGGCATGTCATGAAATGCCACTGGTGTAATGACAATATCCCGAATGGTTCCACGTCGAGACATGATGGCTGCATGTGGTATCAGGTTCACCCTTCTTTGTCTGTTTCTGGCTTGCTTCGTTGCTGTAATTGAACGCAAATCATGAGATCAAGGATGTTTTTAACGTCACCAACTGAACCGAACTGCAGCAGCTTGAAGATTTGGTCATCTAATAGGTGACTACGCGGGGTACGATTTGTAGGATAAGTGTGCCATGCGAAGGACAATAATCCGTATGCGGGGTGGAACGCCGCCTTTTCCGCGGATGTTGGAGTACGACTAGGATCGGCAGACGTCCGACATCCGAGGGAGTGGGCATCCTTGGGCCCAAAGACGGAAAAGTGCATCCGAGTTGGACCATCGATAACAACTGTCTGAGGTTTGACAGAAGTGTTTCTGAATCTCTTGCGTATTTAGTCCATCCGAGGAAGCAATGGATGAATCGTCGATCGCATCATTGTCCCGGACTCGACTGGCAACCGATGCCGCAGAATCGGACAGGCCGCAAAAAAAGCTCCGAGGAGATCCTGCGCCTCCACGAGTAAGCAGGGCCTGCGATAGGTGCAAATCGTTAGTCTTCCGCGGAATGGTGTGACTTTCTGTACAATGGCTAAGGTCTAATGTGCTGGCTTCAGTCGCAAGACACGATGCTCTGGGACATGGCCGTGCGTCTTTTGCGCAGAGTTTAGGTTAGATTGCCAATTCACCGCAGCCTATAGACGAGGTCAACTTCTTCCAGCTATTGATAACAATGCTGTGAATGTCGAAAGGCAGAACTCTTCAGAGGGTGCGAACTCAACCCCTGCTGAGAAGACTGCGGGCGGAGAACACTCCAGTACCTCTGTTCATCAAAATTCATTTGTCGGAACGATTCCTAGAAGTTTGACTACAACCTCAAGAACTGCTATTGAATCGCCAAACACATTCCAATTCCCGCCTCTCTTCAGAGACGGGGAGATCACAGATTTTCCTCGCCGTTCTGTGGCTGTTGACCACCTCTCCCGCCTCCCTGATACGAACTCATTGAGAAACTCGCCAGAACCACCACAAACAGATGAACAAGGCCATTATATAGGACCTGCATCTGGTGTTTCTTTTCTCTCTCGGATACAGAAAAGGTTGAAGGTTCAATCTTCTGGTTATCTGAACTCGTCGGTCTTCAACTTCGGGGATCGTCCATTGCTGGGACAAGACTCTTCGTTTGCGATTTTGCCGCCAAAGACTGTGGCAGTGTCGATGGTTAGAAGGTATTTCGACTTCGGTGCCACGACCCATCGCTTCTTGCACCGGCCTACGATTCAGTCTTGGCTGGAGGAGTTGTATGAGACGAATGGCTTTATGCTCTACAAGGAGTCGGCAAGAAGTCAAACTGCACTTCTATTCATGGTCTTTGCGCACTCGAACAGTTACCAAAGTCGCCAGTCTGGGCAAACTAGAGATTCTATCATAGAATGCGCAGAGGCCAGGTGAGTTCTTGTTTCAAGTAAGACAGCATTGAAAACGTTTACTCACCCTTGTCACCACTCAGTGCTCGATTCTTCGCTGTTGCAGAACACCAACTCTCCTTGGAGAAGGGTGAGATCAGACTGGTTCATATCCAAGCGCGGCTAGCACAGTGCTTCTACCTACTAGCACAATCAAGGCTTAACCACTGCTGGACGCTTTTTGGTATTACAGCACAATTGGCCATGGCACTTGGTATTCATAGAAGATCCCGAGTGGCTCGCAACCCGTCTGATTGTCCAGACTATATTGACTCGGAGTGTCGAAAACGTACTTTCTGGTGTGCGTACAGTCTTAACACCTATCTCAGCGCTGCTTTGGGACGTCCAATGACTTTCCATGACGAAGACATTGATCAAAAATTGCCGCTTTCCGTTGTCGATGATAAGCTATGCCCAGGATGTGGGATGAATTCAACAGAAAGTGGTCTTCCGATAACATCAGCTCCAGTTGCGCAAATCAAGTAAGTACTTTATCCAGAATCCCATGGTTTTGCTTGAACTAGGTTTCCGCCAAAACTAAGGAAGCAACGGTCAATCACTAAGAGTATCAGGCTCTCGAGGATAGTAGCCCGGGTTCTACGAAGCCTTTATGGCATCAAATCTATTTCAACTGAGGAGCACCTCACACTTGCTGCAAGGTTCGATGAAGACTTGTCCGAATGGCGAGAGCCAATTTCCTACCTTCTTGACACGGTCGGATCTTCAACCTTATTTGTCAAGCTGGTTCTTAGGCAACGCGACCTTCTCCAGCTCGCCTTTTGGCACGCCCAGATACTTGTTCACAGACCACTCCTCATCAATTCCATCAATAGCTTCTCTGGACATGTTCAAGAAAATGGCAGTGGGCGGTTGAGGTATGAGGAGATTCGAAAAAATATTCAGCGTTGCGTGGACGCCGCCACAGAGATCGCGAAGCACATCAACCACATCAACGATGCCGGCGAGCTCTACAGTACGTTGTTTGTAAGTTGCTCTTTTCTGTTTCGGAATCAAACTCAGTACTTCACACGCTCACCCATATTAGTTCATCCCGTACTACGGATTTTGTGCAGTAGTTATACTCTACGTTTTTGCAATCCAGCGACGTACCGAGGCACCAGAGACCTATCTGGATTGTTTCCGTCTTGCTTCTCAATGCCATGCTCAGATTGAAAGTGTTGCAACCAATGGATCACTTATGCAGCGCTACGGCGTTGTCCTACAAGAATTGCGCCTCGAGGTCCTGCGGAACAATACTTATCTCGCGTCTGTCTCAACTCCTTTAGCTGGAAATTGTTCGACATCAAATGAGAACAACGAGATCCTTCCTGTATCATACCGGAGGTCTCAATTAAGCCCCGAGATTGGTACCAGCGGCTCGCGACTTGCTGTTGAACAAGCTGCCGAAGGCGCGCCCCAAGGTGCGATCGATTTTTTCCATGCTTTTGATGTCGGATTTTTCAACATGACAAACTGGGCGCAATTCGATTCACTGGTAAGTCACAATTCCACCATGACACTGCTAGACTCGACATGTCTGACATGGAGCTTCCCTACCCCATAGGTTACAGGTGGGACTGGAAATCTTGATGCGTTCGTTCACGACGACTCCGCCGATCTTTGGGACCAGGGCAGCGACGTAAGGCTCAATCCCTGAAGCGTATACTCGTCCCCAAGCCGCCAGGTTTTCGAGATATTCCTTACTCAATTTCGGAGGCAGTATTGATCGAGAGAGCGGTGGTGTTCGGGAGAGGGAGATACTTGGTGCTTGGTGGAATACTAGGCTCAGATCATCTATGCTGAGGGAAAGCGTCGCAAAAGTCGTTCCGACATGGGGCAACCGTCAAGCCCCGTTGACCAGAGTGGAAGAGGCCCGCATTCTCCGCTTTTTGACTAACTGAGGTCGGGTGTTTGGCATCTGTTCATGCGGGGTGATGGTCCGGCGGAGACCGGCCGGAGCCGAATGTCACGGATAAAGACTTCCTGAAAAATGGATCTTTGTATCAACACGTTTTCATCAAGCCGTAATCGGACAGGAACATGCTTGTCATGTTCAGGGAATGGCATAGCACATTGGTTCGGGCCCTGGCTCCCCGAATGCAAGAATAGCTACCTCCAATATGTGCCGAGAGGGCTACTGGAGGCAGATAGTTCGACGCGCTAGAAATCCTTCAAACTCATCAGGTCTGAAAAGGGGAATCTGAGATTCGAAATCCCCACAAGTTGAGGTTGGCAAGCTTATCATTCTCAAGTCGGATGTGACCACTTGCATGTACTAACCTACTTCCTCATGTAGGTACTTAACGCAAATGCCAAGTACGGTGCGAGGAGTCATGGTTTTGAGTCCGGGCTCCAATTTCCTCGCGATTCATCGCGCTGCTCGTGCCCTTTCCGCCTTGATAAATCATTCGAGCAGTGATCGAATATGCATTGCATAAGTATGTTGAAAGTGCAGCACAGCAGCTGGTGATCTCAAAATGATCTACACGTGTTATCCAGCATTCATGGGGTTCACAGCGGCCTGGACCAGTTCATTGACCGGTGCCGTGCTCTGTGGAAACCCAAATTTTGCTAGTCAGGAGAGGAAAGTTTTCCACTTAGCTTTGAGTCGCATACCTACCTTATGCATGCCTGCACCAGTGTGGATACGCCTCATCATCCTTATGACTTCTCTCCTTTGTTGGTTTTGACACTCCCAGCTGAATGGCTCGATATAGCGCGACGGACAGTCTCGTCCCAATGATCTGGGTCACCTCTCATAAGTGCCATTAGACAGTCAACGGGAATTTTCAAGTCACTTGCAGGGGCTTATTACGCGGCATGCCAAGGTTCGCCATGCCGCTATCGACCAGCTTCATCGTTCAGTTGATTCAAGAAGCCGGGGCACTCGGAGCCGACTAGCCAGCCACCCCCATACTGTGTGCTGGATCGCCAAGCGGGAGCTAAACGGCTCTCGCGGCGGCCTCGCCATGCCTCCCATACCCCCTCCAATCATGGAGCGCCTCGGGAATCCGGTTTAATTTCCTAGCGAGAACGCTACCTCTAAACTGCCGGACAGAACCCGGATTTCGCAGCGGACCGGCGCCTCTCATGTGATCGACCTGGGGAATCGCGCGGTCTGGGGTAAGTCAACTTCGGGGAAGAAAGGAAATGCGGGGATGGCTCAGGTGGTCTTCCATGCTAAAGTGAATCCACGGATGTGGATACGCGACGGGCGTGATGCCAGAGACAGTCTGACAGACCACTTGCGCCGGCTTGGCTGCTGCGCTGCTGGTCTTGGGTGACGGAGTGGTCTGGTTGCAGCCGAGGGATTCAGAAATTGGGAACCGAACCATTGAGATGCGCAATGATAGACATATATAAGGGCGATATCGCGTCTGCGTCGATCGCGGGGAAGTGATTGATTTTCCCGTGTCCCCCAGACTCTAAAGATCTAACTTACGGATCGGACTGTCCATTCGAGTACCCAGACCCCGAGATCTTTGCCGAGCATTGCCTGCCAGAATGGCTGAGCCAACGAAACGGACCTACCCCGTCGACGACGAGAAGCGAGACCTCGCCAGCAGCGATGTCATGGAAGACGCGCCTCCCACTGTAGTGGCAGCCGTCGCTGCACACGAGATCGCACACGAGGTGGAAGATGGCAAATACTCGCCTTGGACGAAATCCATGTTCAACCTCTATGGGGTCCTGTTTGTGGCGTACTGCTGCGGTGCCCTCAACGGATATGTAAGCTTGCCTTGACTTTGCGGAATAATATCGACCTGCATCATTGACAGAATGCAACAGGATGGATCACTCATGGGATCGCTCAACGGAATGACATCCTACCAACGAACTTTTGACATGTAGGTGCTCCGCGGTAGCGACGCTTGATGGGAGACGTGGGCTGACCCAGGAGCAGGAAAACCTCGGGCTCTTCGACCGGCATCGTGTTCATGATGTACAACGTCGGATCGGTTTGTGCCATTCTCTTCACGGGGCCCGTCAATGACCTTCTTGGCCGACGTTGGGGCATGTTTACCGGCGCTTTGCTCATCATTGTAAGTCAATTCGATATGGGCTTTCCCACCCTTTCCCTGAGGCGGATTTTGCTGACAGATATCCTAGATCGGCACTTGCATCCAGTAAGGCGGACCAATCATTCGAGCTTTGGATTGGAAGCTGACTTCTTATCTAGAGCTACTGCAAACCATATCCCTCAGTTCCTAGGAGGACGTTTCGTTTTGGGCTTTGGCGTGTCATTTTGCTGTGTTTCTGCTCCAACTTACGTGAGCGAGCTGGCTCACCCCAAGGTATGTCGGATCTTGAGAATTACTAATGAAGTTCTACTGACGATTCGGGGAATAGTGGAGAGGTACCCTGACTGGACTGTACAACTGCATGTGGTAAGAACCCCTGTAGACTTGAGTACATCAATATCACCCCTCAAGCTAACAACAAAACAGGCCCGTTGGAGCTTTCATTGCAGGTTGGGTAAGCAGCTACCATTCTGGAACAGCTTGAGCGTATTCGACGATGATAGTAATTGTGATCAAAGGTTGCCTACGGCGCTTCTTTCATCCCGGGAGATGGCGGCTGGCGTCTTCCTGTCTGGTGTCAACTGGTCACATCAGGAATCGTTGTCGCTTTTGTGTTCTTCTTGCCAGAAAGTGTAAGCAGCCAACTTGATTTCAAGGTCAACGCTTCAACTAACCTTAAACTCAATAGCCCAGATGGCTTGTGGCCAACGACCGACACGAAGAGGCAGCAAAGATTCTGACTCAGCTCCACGGTGAAAAGGACCCCAACCATCCGATCGTGCAATTGCAGATGAAGGAAATGATGGCCCAAATTTCGAACGAGGCTAGTGATAAAAAGTGGTGGGATTACCACGAATTGTGGAACACCCACTCCGCTCGGAGAAGACTTATTTGCGTCTTGGGTATGGCCATCATGGGACAGGTAAGACCTTCTGAGCCGCTGTAACACGGACATTGCATTTGGATCTGATACTTATCGTCACCAGGCTTCCGGAAATTCTCTTTCCAGCTACTATCTCGTGACAATGATGAACACAGCCGGAATTACCGACGAAAAGAAGGTCCTAGCCCTAAACGCAGTCAACAGCATTCTCGGCCTTCTCGGCAGTGTTATTGGCGCCCGTCTCACCGACCGCGTTGGCCGACGACCCTTGCTCATCTACAGCATTCTCTTCTGCTCCGTCACTTTCGCAGTTATCACCGGTACATCCAAGATGGCCGTCGATGACCCGAGCAACACCAATGCCGCCAATACCACCATCGCCTTCGTCTTCCTGTTTGGTGTCGTATTCTCTCTGGGTTGGACAGCTCAGCAGAGCATGTACATTGCCGAGACTCTGAGCACCTCCACTCGTGCCAAGGGAACTGCGGTCGGCAATTTTGCCTCCTCGGCTATTTCGCTGGTGCTTGCTTACAGTTCTGGCCCTGCATTTGAGAAGATTGGCTACTACTTTTACCTTGTCTTCGTCTTTTGGTGCGTTACTCATCAATCAAAGATATCAGAGTTCCATTCATCAATGCTAACTTTTAGTTTAGGGATATCTTGGAGGCAATCTTCATCTACTTCTTCTTCCCGGAGACTAACCACAGAACGCTGGAAGAGCTTGAGGAGGTGTTTTCTGCGCCCAACCCCGTCAAGAAGAGTTTGGAGCCTCGTTCCGCATCGACTGTGTTGGAGACTATGAAGGTTCCCAATGAGAAATTTGTAGAGGCCTAAAAGAATGGATATCTGATGACGAAACTAGTGGCTCCTCAGGACCCCACAAGCATATAGAACTGCAGATCGAGTCCTGGTACAGCTCTTGTAGTAAATTCATGAAGTCTTGACTTGATCAATTCTCTTTTGCATAAAGTATGAATGAAAAATAGTTTTTTCAAGTATCCCTGCTGACAAAGAGGCAGATTGGTTTTTAATAAGTTACCCTCAGTGTTTGTCACCGGTCGTCGGTTTCGGAACTTCAGAGGGTGGCGGATATGCATCGGCTTTCTCACCGATATCGTCATCCTGCTGGGAATAACGTGCGGGGACTAACATCGCACCGGAAGACTTCTGTTTATCTGAATATTCATGCTGTAAATCCGCATCAACACATAATGAGCGCTTGCAAATCACCAGTCATCAATGACTGTCTCGGAGCTTCTCTCATCGATATAGGTCGGCATTCGCAAGCTTTGGTCTCACCAAGAATTCATCACCAGTCAATCATTATTCCGGCAAACAAGATCCGGGGATCATTCTTCCACGGCTATTCACGGATTTTGAATACCCAGGAGCATCTACAGACAATGGCTGAATACAAGCCGATCGTCCTCCGCCTTGGCGAGGATATCAAATACAACCACGATTATTACAAGAATGTGTTCACAGACCGATTCACCGTTGTCCCCAACGAGGAACTGGATCGAGCATCTTTCATCAAAGCTCTCAAAGAGAAGAAATATGGCGACTTTTCCGCAATATTCCGCCCTCATTTCCAGACCGGCGGCGAGATGGGCCAGTGGGATGACGAACTCATCGACCTCCTGCCCTCATCAGTTCGCATATTTGCCTCCGCGGGAGCAGGTTTTAACTGGGCTGATGTCGATACCCTCGGTCGACGCAAGATCTGGTACGCTAACGGCGCAGGTGCCAGTGACGAGGCCGTCTCGGACACGGGACTTTTTATGATCCTTTCCGTCTTCCGCAACTTTTGGAGGGCACAGAGAGCGGCAAGAACGTGCGATCCTGAGCAATTCCTTGCCATGCATCGTCTGGTGGGAGGCATATCGTGGAGTCCACGCGATCATGTACTTGGGATCGTGGGACTGGGAAATATCAGCAAGAAACTCGCATACAAGGCCAGGACTGCGCTGGGTATGAAGATCCACTACTACGATGTGGTGCGATCACCCTTGGAGGTCGAGGAAGAGTTGCAAGCGACCTTCCATCCGACTCTACACGAACTCCTGGCTGTGTCGGACTGCGTGACGCTTCATACTCCGCTCAATGCTCATACGCATGACTTGATCAACAAAGAAGCTTTCGCAGCCATGAAGGACGGAGCTCGACTCATCAACACGGCACGAGGCGAAGTGGTCAACGAAGAAGCCTTGATTGAGGCTCTACAAAGCGGGAAGTTGTCAGCTGCTGGCTTGGACGTGCATTATCACGAACCGCAAGTTTCAAAGACACTGGCGGACATGGAGAATGTAACTCTAACGTGTCACAACGGCGGAGCAGCTATCACCACGCGAGTCAATTTTGAGCTGAATGCGATGAAAAACATCGTTGAAGTGGTCGGGAGAGATGGCACTACAGTTGGCAAGCCGTTGACGCCGGTAAATCAGAAGGCGTTCGAGGCATCTCGGTAGATCACAATTATCTCTCGAGCTCCCTCCAAATATATTTCTCCCTACCTATCTTTTCCAATCGTGTCCAATGCTTACATCCAAGTCGACTCTAGCTGGTGTTGCCATGATCGCCGATCAATATTCCATCCAAGCCAACCACTCCTCCGGCATTCTTCCCGATGTTCGGAAAAGTCGGGGCAGACGTCGTATCCCGGTATTGAAAGGCAACCCTGGAGCTATCCGTCCCCTCCCCCGCAAGCCAAGAATCCGGGGCCCCAGATCAGAGGCGGCGTCACAGGGGCATCCCGCCGGCTTTCTCCCCGGAGCTTCGATCCCTACAACGTTCCCAGCTTTCACTTTGTTTAAATAGTACGGCTGAATACTTTGAGTATAACGTTGCCACTTTTGAAGAAACCCACGGCTACCAACCGTTACGTCAGGGCTTGGAGCTTTCATGATGTCTGAATCAATCCAAGCACAGAAGCAAGATGCCGAGCATACAGAGAAACGGCAGACTCTTCTGCCAGACGAGTTGCCTCTACCTCAAGAGCTAGAGCACATGGGAGCCGATGAGCTAAGGCTGCTTGAAAGAGGTCTAACACGGCGTCTTGATCTCACCTTGATGCCATCAGTGTTTATTCTGTTCCTTCTGAATATTCTGTACGTCTAGAAGCACTGACCAAGTATTTTACTCATTCTTTCCCTGCTAACAACCCTCAAGCGATAGGAATAACATAGCAAGTGCGAAGATCACAGGTCTCACAGAGACACTTAACATAACAAATGCCGAATACAACACTTGCCTCCTGATGTTCTATGTTGGTTGTAAGTCTGGATCATGTCGACTCCAAGAACCCACATGGAACCTTTACGCTGACTTCATCACAAGACTGCATCACACAAGTTCCTTCAAATCTCATCATCGGAAAAGTGAGACCTTCTTACTACATCTGCCTAATCACATCGTTATGGGGAGTTCTATCCATGTGCCAGGGCTTCACAACCAATTTCGCTCAGCTCGCAGCAGTTCGTTTCATCCTTGGCCTAGTGGAGGCTCCCTTCCTACCCGCCGTCTTTGTTTTGATGTCATGCTGGTACAATAGAAAGGAATTGCCTCCGAGAATCGCGATCCTATATGGAGGAAATATGCTCGCCACGGCATTCTCAGGACTGATCGCCGCGGGAATTACCTCTGGTATGGGAGGCAAGGCAGGCAGACCCTCATGGGTAAGTTTACAAAGCCAGGATTTGGATCGCGAATCAAAGCCCCACTGACAACCCATAGGAATGGCTCTTTATCATTGAAGGCGCCATGACCGTAGTCATTGCCCTTCTCCTCCTGCCGTTGCTCACAGACTATCCGCTACAAAGCAAGCATCTCTTCATATCACGAGAGCATCAGCTCTACGCTGTAAGTCCTACATGATTCTCATGTGGAAACTTCTACCCACTTCCCCTTGCTAACCTTGAACAGGAGTGGAGAATCCGCAAAGAGAATGCAGGAATTGTCGACGAAGACCCAGAGTCGATCTTCTGGGGACTTAAGCAAGCCTTGATCGATCCCAAACTCTATCTTTTCATTGTGCAGCAAATGGCGTTAATCACGGCGCAAAGTTTCAATAACTTCTTCCCCTCGATTGTGGGAACTCTTGGCTACGGCCAAACAACAACGCTTCTTTTGACCTCCCCGCCATACTTCTTCGCTTTCATCGTTTCACTGTGTGTATCTTTCCATGCCTCACATAAGGACGAACGTGGCTATCACATCGCTGTCCCGATGGTCTTTGCTCTGCTTGGAAACCTCTTGGTAAGTGCAGTAAAATCAGCTTGAACCCTTATCTCATAAACTTACATCGATTAGGCTATGTTCGTACCATCTCTCGGTGGAAGATACTTCTCCATGTTTCTCATGACCTCCGGCTCCTATGCGCCCTACAACCTATGCGTTAGCTGGCTCAGCTCTTCTCTTCCACGGCCTAGAGCTAAACGTGCTGCTGCTTTAGCCATTGTCAATTTTATGGCTGCTGGGGTGGCGCACTTTTACACAAGTTACATGTTCCCTGACAGCCAGAAGCCGCGGTACTACGCCGGTGGGGCGGTCATGTCTGGAGCGTGTTTGGTGTGTGCCGGTGTAGCGTTGTCGATCAAGTATTACCTCAAGAAACAGAATGAGAATTTTGAGGAAGAGGAGCGCTTGGGTGTCACAAGCCATACCCATATCAAGGGGTCAAAAGCTGGGCATGGTGGTGAAGGGGTTGTCTCGTTCAGATACGTGCATTAGCTTCAAAGGTTGCTAGCTAGCATTATCATCGACAACTTCTTCTTAATAAGAGCTCAAATCGTCAAGTTACAGAGTTGATCCATACTTATCAACGCAGTGCCGGGGGTACCCGATGCCCCTTGGATCCTGATTTTTCCCCATTGAGTGATTCAAACTGGAAGATATTGTGTCGTCAAGAAAAAGTCAAGGGGCGGAAATGACGGTGAGAGTTTCCTGGCAGACTCAGTAGAGTATTGGAAACTTGATGAAAACAGGAGGTCTATGACATGACGTGATGCCGTAACTACTGTCAGCACCCACAACTGATAATCAGTGGAACAAATCAGCAGAGAACGCTACCATCCCTTGGCAGTGATTGCGAAGATAGCCGTCGGCAAAAGTTTTTGACGATCGGCTATATTTAAGCTTACTTGCCAAGCGTGGATCCGACCCCACCACTTCCCCTCGATGCCGTTTGGTGACAACGCGGAGGCGAACAGGAACAGGGTGGACCGACTTTTCCACGGCAAAGACGTACGCGGGGCCCCAAGTTCTCGCGAAGCCGATCGGACGTGACAACTCTCCCGGGGAGCCGGGCCAAGCCCCTCGGATGACATATCGGCGTGATGAACATATGGTAGAAAATGGCTATCTCTTCTGCCAAGACCGGTATCTCTAGAAGGAAGTGGATATTGCATTGGGTCCAAGTTGTCAACGTTCTGCTGATGTCAAGCCCCTCTCCTCTTTCGCAAAGCTGGGCATATGTCCGCAGACCCCTCGTCTTCTTCAGACAACGAATGGCATGTCTCGGTGTGTAGCCGATGAGCGCTTTATTCATGTAATTGCCAAGACGTCAAGTTTTTTGCGGGGGGTTGCTCTCTCCATCTACGGGACCATGGGCGGAGGGAGGAAAGCCTGTCAACAGCGGAGGAGCATTTTCTGGGCAGCGACATACATATAAACACATTAACCTTTATCTCATGCAGCCATGAATTCCGAACGCAAGTTCTCCCACTTCGTCATCTCTGTCTGCTCACTTATTTGGGAACATTATGGGTATCCAAGGACCTTTCACGGCGCTGGTGGCAGCGCTTCGTATTAGCTCAGCTGTGGCATTCAATGTGATTCCTCGCCAGAGCAACGGCACCGGCGAGACGAGCCCTTACTTTTCGGACGTATCTGATTACATCGATTCCATTCTTGATGAGTTATGGCCAATCAACAAGGAAATCCACGACAATCCCGAGTTGGGATATGAAGAGGTTAAGGCCCATGAGCTCCTCACTTCCTTCATGGAATCCCATGAAGGGTGGAATGTCACCAGATCCATCTACAATATCAGCACCGCATTCGTCGCAGTGTTTGAAGGATCGGGTGAGGGACCTGTGGTTTCCTTCAACGCTGAATACGGTGAGTCTATCACGAACGCGAATCTTTCGCTTCGAGGCTGATTGGTTTTGGCAGATGCCCTACCTGGACTAGGGCACGCGTGTGGGCACAACCTCATTGCGACAGCCTCTGTCGGAGGAGCGCTCGCTACCGCTGAGATCATGCGTGCCGAAAGCCTTCCCGGTAAGGTGATTTTGTTTGGCACTCCTGCTGAAGAAAGTAAGTCACATCCAGTGCATCATTCCCTTTAGGTACGCAGAGGCTCACCCATACCCAAGGTCTTGGTGGCAAGGTCAAGCTCCTTGAAGCTGGCGCTTTCAGAGACCACAACATCGATATCTCACTCATTTCTCACCCCACGAACAGCGGCGATTCCCCATACATGATCACAACTTCAACCGACCGTTTCGAAGTAGAATACTACGGAAAAGAGGCTCACGCCGCCGCTTCCCCTTGGGAGGGAATCAACGCTCAAGACGCCCTGGTGTTGGCTAACAACGCTATCGCTCTCCTCCGCCAGCAGACGCGGTCAACCAACAAGATTCACGGCATCATCACTTCGGCCGGAACACGCATCAATGTCATCCCCGCACTTGCGCAGGCTTCCTTCCAGATTCGTTCCGCCGAGGACGAGGCCCTGGAGGAGTGGACCGAGCGGATCATTAAATGCTGGGAAGCCGGTGCTTTGGCCACAGGTGCTGAGCTCAACGTCACCAAGCGCCCCTACGGCTACTCCAACATGGTGTCCAACGACATTCTCGCCAGTTCCTGGTCAAAGTATTTCACCGAGCTTGGCGGTGAAGTTCCCAACGCCGAGGTTGATAAGCTGCGCGAACCGAGTGGTAGCACCGATCAAGGAAACGTCAGCAAGGACTTCCCCACGATCAGCCCTTTCTTTGGAATCACGAACGAGAATGGCAGTGCTCCAGCTGGCGGCCCTCATACTGCTGCCTTTGAGGTCGCTGCCGGCAGTCGGGCTGCATTCGATAAGGCCATCGTGGTCGCGAAGAGCATGGCTGGCGTTGCGATTGATATCTTGACTGTTGATGGCATGCTTGAATTAGTTCAGGAAGAGTTTGAGGCTACTCAGACGAAGCGCAGAAGACGCAGGTCAAGTCATTAAGCTTATGCCGCCGATGTTCTTATAGATGTATCCACTGGTACTCAATGGTTACAGAGTAGCTGAAAACGATTTCATTGCACACAATCCCTAATGTTGTAATAACTTTTCAGTCCGTCTTCTGAACGATTTCTGTACGAACAAAGATTTTATCCGTCGACTCATCGTCTCTCATAGCACGTCCGCCCTGCATTTCGCCAAACTCGGAACGCCTATGGCTCGGTTTCCTTCCCCCGATGACCTTACTGTCCGTCTCTTTATGCATATCATCCATCTCAAGGTTCTCTTCCGAGTCGGTCATGACCATGAACCCATCAGCCCCTCGGGAGTGAGGCTTTGAGGCGGAGATAAACGTACGAGGTCCCGTCGCTCCAGACTTGCCACCGTTGTAGTATTTCGCATGAGGATTGGTTCGGTCTGCACTCGATCGAAGGGTACTGATGAACCGGCCAAAGATGCGGTCGAAGACTGGTCGGAGGATCGGTGACGATGATACCATGAGTGCGACGCCCATTTCAGCTGAGCTCCACACCATAGCGTTCGGAGATGTGAAGGAGAAATCAAGGAAGTCGACGCTGAATACCGAAGCAAGTCGCAGGGCTCCGAAAACGATCGTCTTGTGACCAAGCTCATTTATCAGAATTTGTTCAAATCTCATTGGTTCGACCTTGAAGAGACAGACAATTACCAAGTAGCTTTGGGCTTCACTTACAGGATACCGGCTCCGAAGATGCCTATGAGCGCGATTCGGTGCGCACTGGAAACTTGGAGCTTCAGCACCATAGGGATAGGCAGAATGAAGATGATCAGATCGACAATGACATCGACCACGCCAACAGCAGCAAAGGCTGTAATCTGATCACCACAAACTCCCCCGGGAATCGTTGGATTCCATTGCATTGCGATGGGTCTGCAGATAAGTAACCCAATGAGAATCGTCATCAAAGTCCAAGCTATGCACAAGCCCATGGTTGCCCAAGCCGCAATCTGTTGACCAGGAAGTCGCTGATTAATGAACTGAGTCTACATCGATATGAGGGGATTGCGATCGCTTTGATGCGAGTCTCAATTGCTTACCTTGAAAGGGCGGACAAAGAAGATGCGTTGAAGCATCCAGCAGATGCTGATCTTAAGTGACCCAAGAGACACAGCGTAAACCACTTGACTAGCATACCCAAACTTCATCAACTTCTCGATATGCCACGGCTGGAGCTCGGAGACGTGATGACCTGCACCGCCAAGGAAAAGCACTAAGAGTTGTTGGTCAGTCATGCATCGAGATAAATGTAATACGTTTCTTCGGGTGAACCTGAAAGACCGCCTAGTTCATGCTACTTACTCATGAAATGCAGGACTACAAACGCGTAGAACAGTATCTGACGAATTCACGATCAGTCGATTACCCCAGTTTTCACGGATTTGTTCTCTTTTCATACCAGCGCTACCATGTACAAGCTGTCGTCAACTCCAAATGGAACCCGGCGCATCTTTCGCGAGTACAGACGCAGCCCCGTCCATACTGTGACGAGTGTCACCAACACAACGTTGGTATAAATCACCTGTGTAGCATTTGGGTTTGCTGCTAGTGGCACAACGGTTGTCGTGATCTGAGAGAGGTCCGAATCGACAGCCATTGTCGTCACGCTCTCAAAGCTGTTGTGTTGTAACAGTTGTGTGGTTGGCGGGGGAAATCGAGCAAGTACTTTCAATAAGAGTTCGAATTCAATCCCAGACAGACTTGACAGAGCACGACTTGTGTGGGTATCGGGATTACGTCTTGTTCTGTGAGTCTCTGCGGCACAGCTATCTTCGTCAAAACTTGCATGAATCCATCTCGGCGGATGACGAATGGGGACCATGCAGGGAGTCAGGGACACATCTGCATTGAGACGTTGACCCTGGCAAGTCTAGCCAGGTCTTCAGATCCTTCTTGTCGTATCTGTGCCTGGCAGACTTCACTCTCCTTGAACACATTGAACTAGAGAAATTGTGGCAGGGCTTCAGTCTTAGATCATTTGCTTGTTACACCCACTCTATCCCATATTGGGCAGGTCGTCATAGTTATGCAAGTTGAGGTCTGCGCAAGCAGCATCTCAGTGCGCTCTTTACAGCACCTACATTGCATAGATTTCATTCACCAAGGCCAACAAAGCACACACAGTGTCTTGCTAGATTTCTGAATCTAAATTTCTACCTACTCAATTGAATTCACCTTGCTCGCGACACAAATGCATATATCTACACCAAAAAGGGGTTTTTTAAAAGTCGTCCATTCTGCAAACCACGCGTAACATGCCACGCTTCTACTCGAATGGAGAACTTTATTCTTTTTCGCAAGCAAATACCGAGAATATGGGTTCTTTGACGATAGGCAAGCCATGTACCCGGTAATACGGCCATCTGCACTCGGGAGGCGCGCGTGGCGGCGCAGCCAGTTCGCGCGACCTTGTCGCGAAACCAACCATCTTCCGACTTCCGTCGTAAAGCAAGGGGCATGCCACATCGAATGCCTTCATTAGACACAGTGATGATGCACTAGCTCCGTCTATTGATTCCCGCAGTCTTCAATCTTTCAGTTATCTGCTGTTGTGATTGTTGATGTGCTCCTGGGATTTGTGCCTCTCGCCAGGTAGCAGGGAGACAAACTCGGTACAGGATGGCGGAGCCCGGCGTGCACATTCCGGTGTTGCTCCATCATTTCTTTAGGCAACTTGAATGAGTGCCTGAGTCAGAGTACGGCAACGTTGTAGATTGTTAGTTCCCTCATGTCTGCAAGAGAGAATTCATCTGCAATGCGTCATGAATGATAATCAATGAGCAGGTTCTCGAGGGGTATAGGTTAGTAATTGAACCCGATACTTCGGCCAATTGATCGTTCGCAGCTTCAAAAAACGATTTTCCAGCCTTGTTAGTCAAACCATAGGCTATCTCGGCAGGATGCCCATGATATTCGTCACATTGCTCCCCTGAGTATTGCTTTTCATCCTAGACAGATCGTACGACCAACGAAATTCTGGGAGACTCTTTAGCCAATAAGAATCATTATCACCTCAAGGCTCTCTGTTGTTTTGGTGTTGCGCAGTTTTTGAGGTCCCTGGTTGCCAAGCGGGCCTTGTGGGCTGGGCTATAGTGGACCTTGGACTGGGGACAAATTCTTGAGCGCGGAACATCCTGGATGCTCCCGGAGGCCAAGGGTCTCAAACGGTCCTGGTAAAGACGAGTGGTGGAACCTGATTGAATCTGCTCCTGCGAGTCGCAACGAAAGTCCAATGTCTCTTGCGACTTTCTGCCTTCCATCGATCTTGAGGACAGAGATGCTGGCAGGCATCACTTGAGCTGTCCGTAGACTTCAAGTGCGTCGCTCACGTTCAGATGATACTAAATCCTATTCTGACATGTACGTAAAGTGTAGAGTGAACTTCAGTATGATCCATACTCTGGCAATAGAAATAAGATGGCTGGCTTTTCGTGAGAAGTAACGTTGGTCTTGTCAACCAACAAACTTCTTCACCCGCTCATATAAAATCCCTGTCTCCAAACAGCCAAGCCGGCTAGCAGGGATGGCGTTCCACATTTTATGCGGTTGGAGAGAACCTGCTCTTGAGCCTTGAAGACATCAAGGGTTACGTTCGGACATGATTCCCGACCGGTCGTGCGCCCATTGATTTCCGTCCAATTCCAACATGTCAAAATACCGTAAGAATTTTGCAACGTAACCTTATCTCGGTCCTTCGACCCTTTGAAGGGAGTCACTTCAGAAGCCTCACACATTATTTCAGATGCACGAGCATGGCTCTGCGTATACAACACGCCACCGAGAATGGGCGAGATTGCGCATGCAATAATTAGAAGCGGATGCACGCAGTCTTCAGACCTAAACCAAACCACGCGCCCGGTTGTGGGTATTTCCCGAATATCAATATTGGGGAACTATGGCCGAAATATTTCGATGGGCCTGAGCAAGCGGGTTCCTCCAGGCGTTGGGATATAAACCCGAAGCTACATCGCTGCACTTGCAGCCTTTTGGTGATGCTCGAGGCCCTTTCGCTTGGTCCAGACCACCCCCCAGAGTCACTCTTGGTCCCCTTCTCCTCTCCTACATAATTCCGGTTCATCATACATCTGGCACTTAAAAACTACAAGACAGGATGCTGTCAACAGTTTGGGACTACGTCATAGTTGGCGGTGGCCTCGCGGGTTCTGTCATCTCAAGCCGCATGTTGGAGTACAATAGTTCCCTAAACATTCTACTCATCGAGGCTGGCGAAGACACCCGGTCGCGTACCGACATTCTTTACACCAACGCTACGAACCTCATGGGTGGCGAGCTCGACTGGCAGTATCCGACTAAACCTGTCTCCGCGCTCAATGACCGCAGTCTCGTCTTCAACCAGGGCAAAGGCTTGGGAGGCGGCGCCGCGATCAATTCTTGTAGGCACCCATTGAACTTTCTCGAGATTGACTCAAAATACTAATGATACCTAGGTGGTTATACTCGTGGCCCCAAGGTGGATTATGATGAGTGGGCTGAAATCGTAGGCGACTCGCGATGGAGCTATGATAGCCAACTACCCTGGATGAAGAAGGCCGAGGATTGGTTCAGCACCAACAGTACCGCTCAGCATGGCAATGGGGGCCCTCTCCACGTTGCTTCCGTCACATCCACAGGCCGTTCGTACCCCCTCCGCGACGATGTTGCGGGAGCTTGGCAAGAACTCGGAGTTACGGGGTTGCCCAACCTCGACAGCAACGCCGGCGATAACCTTGGTCGCGCCGAGCTCACCGAGACCAGACGTAACGGTCTTCGTGAACTCACACCAGTTATCTATCCCCTTGATGGCATCACGGTTTTGACCTACACTCTGGTTGAAAAGATTATTCTTGCCAAGAATTGCAGTGACGGGGAGCTGAGGGCAACCGGCGTTCAGCTCGCCAATGGAACCCAGATTTCCTCCAAGAACGTAATCTCGGCGGCTGGAGCGTACCGATCTCCCCAGCTGCTCATGCTCTCTGGTATCGGCGACGCTGAAGAGCTGCAGAAGCACAACATCTCAGTCAGGCTCGACCTCCCCGATGTTGGAAAGAATCTCATGGATCACATGTCATTCTACCAGTTCTGGAAGCTCAAGAACCCCGAGAAAGGTCTCGCGCTTGGCTCCAACAACCCATTGTTCTCACAGCCTGAGTTCGCTACCGGCTACCCGATCGACTGGGTTGTGTCCACCGATGTCGACAAGACAGGTCTTGCCACTGCCATCGCCAAAGACGAGGGTGCTGCACCAGACGCCGCGACTCACTCGCTCCTTAAAACAGGCCGAAGTTTCCTTGAGAACTTTATCATTTACCAAGCCTACAGTGCCTCGAATCCTACCGTTCCCTTGGATGGATCGCACATCTACACCAATGTAGTCTCTTTCCTACCCACCTCTCACGGCACCGTCGGTCTCGAAACCTCCAACCCCGCAACCGGACCAGTCATCAACCTCAACTACCTTGAGACCGAGGTCGACCGCTACGTCTATCGCGAGGGTATACGTCAAATGACTAAGCTGATGCTGAACACCACTTTTGGCAAGGACTTCATCGCCGGTGAGACTGCGCCAGATGCTTTTGAGCCTGTGTCGCTTGATGACACTGACGACTATCTCAACTCTCGTCTGGCAGCGGGAGGTGTCACGACGTGGCATCCTCATGGCACGTGTTCCATGGGCAAGGTCGTTGACTCTGAGTTCAAGGTGAAAGGTGTGAAGGGCCTACGTGTGGTGGATGCCTCGGTTCTGCCTGTCCCCATGGCTGCCCATCTCATGGCTCCGTTATATGCCATGTCGGAGCAGGCAGCTGCTATAATCACTGGAAATGCCTAGAGGCTTGAATATGAATATCTAATACACACTTGGGTTCATGATAATAATGGACTTCATCATCGTCACTTGAGAGGCTTTACATGATTGATCCGAAAGTGCTTCGAAGATATTCGAAAATGCAGCATGTTGCTCATTGTGGCCACCGTAGTATTTCGCGCCCCATTCTGTAGGAGTATGATCGTAGGCCCGTATTCGACTTTTTCTTCGGGTGAGGATGATGGTGTCTCGGATGGGTTTGATGGCTATGACATTTTTGCTTGAGGCCTTTGAGGTTTTGGTTCGTGCGGAAGGAAACGGCAGTGGTCACAGTGAGTTGTGTATTTTGAACTCTTGGTTTTCTGTTTGTTTTTTTTTGCTTTTCTTTTTCTCCTTCCTAGATGTATGCTGGATTATATTTTGCGTTTTTAGACAATGGAGTGCTGAAATTGTCTTTGGGTCGTCATGGTCTGCAGATTATCGTCCAGAGTCAAGCATGCACACCGCGGTTTATATATCAACGACCTGGCATGCACTACCAGGGTTTTTCAGTTGATCTTCATTGGATGTTCCATATATCTACACTCTATTTGCAATCAGCAGATGACCCTCATTGGCTTGGTGCATCCTAGATTGCTTGTCTTGAACAGTCGTGTATCTTTGTCATCTAGAACAGTGATTCGGTAACACAGCATCTCCAATAGGACGTGAACATGGGGCCTAGACTACTCTCGATTGTGGCGGTCGAGAGAAATGAGCAGCTCTTTCTCATTATGACTACCCATTTAGTCTATGTTTGAATGATTCGGCGGTAAACGTACATCATGCCTCGCAGACGCTGTTCAGGGGCAGGTGCGCAGCAGGATAAAGCGATCTCTGCGAGAGTACGTACATGTGACACAGGGTCCTTTGTGACAGGCTTGGCTAATCTTCAGCAAACAAAACATCTTCCATCCTCTGCGCCCGCTCCTCCGCGTGTACGTGAGGTGGGTCTGCACACATTGCCAATGGATGAAAGTCACTGTTAACGTCTCATATCATTTGTGCGGTGGCTTGTTCCTGACAGGTGAGAGCATATACATCTGATAAGAGAGCAAGCTAGGCGGAAGTGGACAAAAAACACATTCTTATTCGGTTCAATGTTCGGTATTCCCCCTCTCCTACGACAAAGGACTGATTTAAGTCATGCCCTGCGTTTCAGTCTGAAATGACAATCCCAGTTAGGTTTTGCCAATGATGCTTCTTCGTTTCGTGATGCACTGTTTTGATTCAAGAAGTAACCATTGAGTGAATATGAATGACAGGCCGCACACAAAATACCAGTAACCTAAGACCTAGCAAAAGTTGAAATATCTCAGTAAACATCAAGAAAGCGCAAGATGTGTGTACATGTACCATCCGCCTTCCCAAATTGCACTGCATATGCCCCTAGAAGGCTCTGCACTCAATCAAGCCCTTCTCGTAGCTGTTGTAAACAGCTCCATCACAAGCCAGAAATCCCATGGCAGCAAGTGCAGCAGTGGTACCTCCACCTATCGCACCAACGCCAAGAGCCGCAATACCGCACTCCATGACCTCAAAGATAGCTGATCCGACCAAAGTGTCCATGCACTTGTTACACTCCGTGGCGGGCTGCTTCACGCACTGTCTCTCTTGGGCCTCACGAAGGCGGCGCCTGCGGATGTTGCCGACTGACCCGGAGCGGGCCGAGTTGAGGATGCTCTCGGCGCGGACCAGGTTCTGGGTCTCCATGGCACCGGCGACTTGTCTTTCCTGCAGACTGTTGGCGTACACGGCGGGGTCGATAGCCGCAGCGGTAGTGAAGAGACCGCTAAGGAAGACGGTGGTGATGGTGGTAAACTTCATGTTGACAAGATATGAAAGTTGTAGACTTGTTAAATAGAGTGATGTGTAGAAAGGAAAGTGGTATTTATTGAAGGACTGAGAAATGAGTGTAGAAGGATGGATAAGTGGTTGGTTTGGATGGTGACATGACTGAACGAAGGGCGGATGATGGAGTAGTATTTATACAAATATCACAGGCTCTCATTTCTGGTAGCTCTACCTCATACTGGAAGAGCCGAATCCTCAGTGTTCTCTTGTGACTAAGGTCCAAGATGTGCTTTGCAAAAGCATTACAAAGCCCACCATTCTATCACGATCTCTTGAAACCCCGAGCTATGCGGATATTCAGGAGTCACCCGAAACCGAAAATTCACAATCCAGAATTGCACTCTTGGCATATTCATGGCTTAGAGATGGGTTGAAGCTATCACGAGTGCATCGTGTAGTCTTGGAAGCCCACCTCCATATGAGCTGTCTCTATTATAGTTTCAGACCAGAGGGTTTATTCAACATTGATGCCTACCTAGGTGCTCTACGAAAACGAACTTGGACGGGGAAAATTAGATGTTGTCTTTACGGCTTTCGACCACAGTGAGGGGAGTTTCATGTAGATGGGCTTGGCACGAGGCTCATTGCGCCTTACAGCGCCCGTTTGTGCCTTAACAGCAGTACGAGCGGAGAAAAGCAGCATCTGGCCGTTCCTGACGGACGCCAGATCGTGGTCCGTGACCGGTGATCCGGCCCAGATCCGAAGACGTCCAGGCCTGCTTTTCCAACCCAGCGGTTTGGAATGTCAGGTTGAGCCTGGGACAAATAACGTTAATCTGGTTTAGCGTGGGCAGACGAGTCATCACCGGGCAGTTTTATCCCAACTCAGCGTCCTTGCCAACGTTGACCTTGCCCGAAAGGAGAGGAACCATCTATAATTGACACAACTATGATTTGGTCCGAACCTACTGCGTCCCGTGCACTACACGATTTAGCCCTCGTCCATCTGGACTCGATGCATAATCGCCAAGATCCTAAACTCAGCCTCGAAGGTCTGTAAAGGCATCTTGACGAGACTCTTGGCAATTATCTCTACAATTCCTAAGGTTTGAATCTCTCAATTAGAAACCTGGGCTCTGAGATCACGAACTCGTTTTCGCGGAATCACGTCTGGTCGTTGACGGTCCACTTGCGCTGGACTTCTCCGGGGGAGAACTCCCCTTGTAGGACTTTAGAGACACAGCAGCAACTTCAGACTTCAGAGGCAACTTGAGATGCTTCACAGGTCTATAAAAGATAGGTGAATCCCACGTTAAATGTCTTCTTCTTCTTCTTCTCTCATCATCACACATTCACACTTCATTCAGTCTCTTCAATCACCATCACCACAATCCTTCAGCTTCAAGCTTATCAATCTTTACAACTTTCTCTCTTTACCAACTCAACAAGTTTCTTCAACTTACCAACTTTTTAAACTCTTCCAAAATGTTCTCCAAGACCATCGTCGCTGTTCTCTTCGCCTCCGTCGCTGTCCTCGCGGCCCCTGTCGAGACTTCCAACAAGGAAGTCGAGGGAAGACAGATCAACCAGAGTGTCACTCTCTGCAGTGACAAGGGCATGGCTGACTGCGACACTGTCAACTTCAACTTTGGCTTCTGCGGTAAGTTTCCGGTTGCACATTTCAATCTTGGTTCTTAGCTGACAGTCTCTAGTCTCCCCCATCGGAAGACTGAACGACAAGGTCAGCTCTCTCAACGCCAACGGCTACAACTGCATCTTCTACAAGTAAGTTCGAACATTCATACATCCTTCAATCACCTCAGATTTCTAATCGACTTGCCACAGTGACACTGGATGCCGCAACGGTGGCGGTCAGATCGCCACCACTGGAGAGGTCACCGACATCCGCAGCCACCCCTCGTTCAGCACCATGAACGACGACGTCTCTTCCTTCTTGTGCAACATCTAAGGCCTTCATTGGTTTCCAAGGCTGCCCTTGCAGTATGCGCAACATGATTCGATCACCAGCACAACTTGTTTGGTCGCTTATTAGCATCGTAGCAATCTGCACTCACCTGGAACGATGGTGAGAATGCCTAGGGTGGACTATGGTTTCTGGGGTTCAGTATGATTTGTATAGGTCTGTCTTGTCTCTTGGTAGCTCTTTAGCAATCGATATGTCACTCCACTTTCTTGTCCACCTCATTTGAATCAATTCATGCGCTTGATGTAGTGCATCCGTTGAGCCATTTCCCAGCAAGATCTTAGTAGGGATTTGGATACTTCTCGATTGAAAAAGGATAGCCCTTCGCAGAAGTGGCTTCGGGTCTTAGCCCGATGGGATCATAAACAAAAATTACATCTTCTAGTCGATAGCCCCGTAGGGATTGTGGGTTCGAGACTTAGTCGTGCTCGTGGAGTTATAAAGATATTAAAAAAGATAAAACACGAAGAATTTCTGCCACCCTCTTACGCACAGGCCATTGGCAAAGGGGCTTGCTTCATGAGGAGGTCGCGGAAATGCAGGCGACTTGGAGAGACACATGCCACACTAATCACCAAGGAATAAGACAGCATGAGGTCAATAGCCGCACACAATCTCAACTTTTTATGTACTAGCTCATTCCAAAATGCAGTAAGATCTGACAAAAGACAACAACTTAAACAGAAGATCAAGAGATTAAACCGTTTACGGAGTAGTTCGTGGGTGTTTGCTGCTTACTAAGCCCGAAACCGGCTCCCATCGGAAATCGGAACACCAAAACCACGAGGATGCGCTTTTCGGTCTGACGACACGTTCTACGAGCAGCTGCACGATTCTCTCGCCGATTTCCTTATAATAACGAGTCAAATGGGAAAGTAAGGCATGAGAAGCAAGTAATTTGTGGCGTTACTTACCGAAAGAGACGCGTCGTCCGTGGTCCGCCAAGTGCAACTAAAGCTGTCCAACTTTGGCCGTGCTGAAGATGCAAAGTCAAAGGCTTCAATCCCTCACGGTGAGATTTCGAGATTATCAGATACCATCCGAGGATCAGACGCCCACATACGGCTGAAAACCACGCCATCCTTGCCCCCATGTGGCAGAGCCCACCCGAAAGCCGAGACTTTCAAGTAGCTTGATGGGACTTCCCCGGGATGGAATCACAAGTCGTCGTCTGCATCCGGCCAAAACTGCCACCAACGGCTTTCTCACTGGCCAACAGAGCTGGCGGTATGGAGAATCTCGAATGCAAGAACCTCTCACTGTGAGAAATTTGTTTCTCGCTTCAGGGTCCACTTCGCAACAACCCCGCTGTGGATTGAAAGCAGAGCGCTGACAGGTCGTTGGGTTCGAGGGGACGGTTCGGACTAGCATATCCCTGACTCGTAAAGGGGTTTTCTAGCCTGTTTAATCTTATCAGATGCATCTCCGAAAGCCATCATGGAGCTTGGCGCACTAGTCTGGAGCAAAGAAAACCTTGAATGTGAGAGAAAAAAGTCCTCTGATGGAATTCTCCATCGTCCGAGTTGCTTTCTCTCAAGCCAAGTCTTACGTTTCTCGCCGTGCCGTCTCGATCCGACCTCGGGTTTGCGAACCAACAGAGTTCGGTTACCGTCCGACAAAGGTTGGATAAATAGCAAGACGAGCGCTGCTTCGATGGTTGCATTCACCTCGCTCCCTTGTCCTTCTCATCCATCATTCGTGCATTAGACTGCTACCGAGAGACCGGTACTATCAAACAACCATGGCGGCCCGCGCAGATCTCGAGTCCCACCGGGAGAAACACCCCGAAGACCTCGTCAACGAGGTTCCCGAGTCATCATCCTCGGACTCGGAGGACGACCTCAAGCCCCATCCCCCAATGTACTGGAAGATCATTGCCGTCATTCTGATCTCCTGCATCAGCTTCGGTTCTTCGTGGAGTTCGGGTATCACTGGCGCCCTGAAGTCGACGCTCAAGAAGGAGCTCGATATCAACAACAAACAGTTTTCCCTGCTTGAAGCCAGTGAAGATTTCATGGTTACTCTGCTCATTCTCACGAGCGGTATCGTGACGGACAGAATCGGCGGTGCCGGTGCCATGTTGTATGGTGAGTTTTACACTTGCAACCTCTTCTAAGACAATGAAACTGACGCAGCAAAAGGTAACATCATCTACTCCATCGGTTCCATCATCGTCGCCGCCGCAGCTCAGACCCGCGACTTCAAGCTCATGATCGGCGGCCGAGTCATTCTTGCCCTCGGTGACATCGCAACCCAAGTCGCCCAGTACAAGGTCTTCAGCTCCTGGTTCTCGCCCAACAACGGTTTCGCGTCAACCCTCGGCCTGGAACTCGGCATCAAGAAAATCGGCGGTTTCGTCGGCAAGTCCTCAGCCAACATCATTGCAAAGAACACTGGCAACTTCGCATGGGTCTTTTGGATCGCCGTCTTCATGAACGTCTTCACCAATATTCTCACTCTCGTGTTTTACCGCTTCAACACCATCGCCCACAAGAAGTTTGGCAACGTCACGGACCCGGCCACTGGTGAAAAGCTCACTGAGAAGTCCAAGAAGTTTGAAGTCAGAAAGGTGCTTGAGCTTCCGTGGGTTTTCTGGGCCATCTTGTCCTTCTCTCTTTTCCAGACCAGCACTGCGATTGTGTTCTCGCAGAACGCCACCGAATTGGCTGAGAAGAGATTCAAGACCGACTCCATCACCGCTGGTTGGTACTCAGCAACTCTGCAGTACGCTGGCTTCTTCTTGGTTCCCTGCATTGGTGCCTTCATCGATCTCCTGGGCAACCGTATCACCTTGTGTAAGTCAATCATGTCCTTTTGAGGATTCTGCCGGTATCTGATCCTTCTTAGTGGCTATTTGCGGTACCGGAGTCTTCCTGGCTATGGCCCTTATCAACTGGGCTACGGATACCAAAGGAACTGCTGCAGCGTTTGGCATCTACGCCGTTGCTTTCACTCTGGGCCCTACCACCATTATCGACAGTATCCGTACCTCGATGTGGCACTCATCCGTCTTTGGCTCCGCTTACGCCGTCAAGATTGCTACAAACAACGCGTAAGTTCTCGGTTCATCTCAACCCAGTCATCTTTTTCTAATAGGCAGCAGGATGAACATTATCGTTCGTGTCATCACCGGAGCCATCCAAGATGCCGATAACGACAGCTATGACCACGTTGTCATCGTCTACGCCGTTCTCGCCGCCGCTTCCGTCTTGGTCTCAATCATGTTGGGTGTCCTGTCGTGGTGGTCCATCGATCTGGGTAACCTCCAATGGACTAGGAAGCAACGTAGGGCCAATGGTGAGCTGTGGAATGAGAGAAAGAGGGCTTTTTACGAGGACAACGGGGCACGCAACAAGCGGATCTCTATGATTTGCTTCGGCTCTTTGGTCATGTTGATTCTGGGTGCTTGGTCGGCGTACTTCTGGGGTGTCGCAACTGGCAACAACTCTTGAAAAGTACACGTATGAAAATGGTGCTTTTGAGACGAGCAGATGAGGCACTTGTCACCATCCGAGATACCCCCTGCACCGACGCAACATAAGGAGGTATCCAGACAGTAATGTAGGAAGTTGATGAATAAATGGTACGATTCCAAATCCATAACTGCTGCGATGCCTTGAAAATGCATTTGTGTGCAACAATTAGTCAGGAACATGAGGTTACACAGGAGTCTCACCAAACTTTGAAGCTCAGAAGGTTTGGTTCTGCCCAATGATGTTTATGAACCAGGCTTTGAATCCTAAGTTCCGAAGGTATAACGCCAACTAATCTCACGTGTTACTTCATCGAGGTCCAACTAAGCAAGTTGAAATCATAGATACGAGATGATCCTCGATATTCAGCAAGTGCTGAATTCGGCTTGATAACCGAGTCGGCTCCGATCGACACTGCGGATGCATCGCCTCATTTGGATCCACTCTGTCATCTCCCCTCACTGGGTACCTTATCTTCAACGCAACTTCCCAAAGTTCCATTATCTTCAACACAGCCGTGAGCACGAAGGAATTGAACTCAGACCACGATAAAGTTGAAACAACAAATCTCAAGTCCCACCACTTGATTCAACAACCTCCTTTCCTTTCGCTTTTCCGCTGAACGTCATGCCCGGTTTGGCAATCTCGCCAGAGAACCTCCCGGTCCCTGGCCGGGACACGTACTATTGGCTCGGTGAAATCAACAAGGCCAGCGCCGTCATCAACTCTTCGGAAGGTCTCCTGGAACAAGATGTGGCCCGTCGCATCAGCCGTGGACTGCAGAAACTCTTAAACTCGGGCGATGAACCCGGCGCGCCGCGTCCTAGCCTTGTCATCACCTTTGAACCTCTCCTTATCGAAGCAGCTGGTGTTGAGGCAACTCTCCTGCACGCCGGCCGCTCGAGCCAGGACATGCTTGCTACGGTCTGCATAGCAATTCTTCGCGACGCAGTCTTGAAGTTGGCTGCACAGCTTCATGCGACAACAACTCGCCTACTTGAGATGGCGGAAACGCATGCCTCGACTCTAGTACCGAACTATACCAATGGTGTCGCAGCCCAACCCAACTCATACGGCCACTACTTGCTAGGTCATATCGCAGGCCTTCATCGCGACGCGGAGAGATTGCGGCAATTCTTTGCCAGATTGGACCGATGTCCGATGGGCACGACCGTGCTAAACGGTACAAGTTGGCCTCTCAATCGGGAACGCATGGCCAAGTATCTCGGCTTTGCGCAGGTAGTCGACAACGCCTACGATGCAGCGCAGATCACCATGGCTGAGATGCCAGTTGAGCTTGGGGCCATTGCCTCTCAAATTGCTCTTCACACTGGCGCCTACATCCAGGACGTCATGAATCAATATGCTCAGCCGAAGCCATGGATTCTTCTCCAAGAAGGGGGCGAGAACACGTATGTCTCAAGTGCTATGCCACAGAAGAGAAACCCAGGCCTACTTAACAACACCCGATCCGATGCATCTTATATTGTTACTTTAGGGGTGGGTCGTGCCATACAGGGACATAACCTTCCTCCTGGCTACGGTGACGCAAAAGACCTAGGCCACAATCTGGATGTCATTAACGGTACCACAAAGATTCTCGCGCAATGGCAACGGATTCTCAACGCGCTTGTCATTGACGGCAATCGATCTCTGAAAGAGTTGGATCTTGACTGGACCGCCTCTCAAGAGTTGGCCGATTTCCTGATGCGGGAACACAAAGTACCGTTTCGTGTTGGGCACCACTTTGCTTCAGAAACTGTCAGATACGCCAAGGCGGAAGATTTGTCCCCGAGTCACTTCCCTTATGCGGAGGCATCTAGGATATTCAAAGAGACCTTGAAGCACGCTGGCCTTGAAGAGGGATCATATCAGTTTCTGAGCGAGGCAGAGTTCCAGGACGCGCTTGACCCGGCTGGAATCATCAAGCATAGAGCCACCTCGGGAGGTCCACAGCCCAAGGAGATGGAACGCATGATTGGTAACTCGAAGCAGACGCTACAAAATCTCGAAAGCTGGATCAAAGAGCGGCAATCTCATATTGTGAGCTCTTTGCAGGAGTTGGATGAAGCATTTCGAGAGTTGCTTGCGTAAGGCTCTCGGGCCTGGCTCTTGTAGGTCAGGCCTTTACGAAGATCAAGAATTTAGGATTGCGATAGGCTCAACAGCGTTAATTCTCTACTTACTCGAATATGAGGATTTACATCTCAATATAGGTTCATGAAGAAGGACACTGGGCGTAAAGGATGTGAAGACGAGTGACGTCTACACGCCTCCCATAGCAAGGGCTGCGTGTTTAGCTTCAATTCATTATTCTGAGAATTGAAGAGTTGCCGCTTGAGGTCGAATGAGAGACATCGCCCGCTCTAGTTTCGCAACGTCTATCCACATTTTTTCCATAGAATCTCAACTTCGTGTTGTGCTCTCGCTTAGAATTAGTCTTAAGTCGTCATTGAAGAATCTTGCAACTCCATGTCACTGTCAGCACTAGTGATCCGGGATTATCGACCCACGCGGAGCGGATGCCGGATATGTCAAATCTACTGCGCGATAAGTGAGGTCTCATCCGCTAAGATTCCCGGGGTAGTCTTCTCGGCCGCTGATAGGCAAATGATACAATCCTTGGCATCAAAGCTGGTGGAACTGCGTCACCGACAATTTGTTGAAATTTGGGCTAGGATGGTCTTTACACTCGGTATTCGTCCTGGGAGCTAGGCGAACGAATCCCGCCCCTCGAGTCTAGTTACCCCAGTTGGGGAAAACGGAATGTAACGTGCCCCTCGCGTTGTGATTGCGAGAATCAATGACATATATACCTTGCTCGAGTTCCCTCGACGTCAGTAGGACTTTTAGAGAAAGCAACCACGGTGATCAGAATGCGTTTCTCAACTGCCTCCGTTGCTTCAATGCTAGTCGGCGCCGCCATGGCCACCGCAAAGACGACCACCTACTCATACGGGCCCAACGTCCGCCAGGTCTACGACGTCTACATCCCTTCGGCCGCGACCAACGAGACCGTAGCGACCGACAAGTACTGGCTGGTGTACATTCACGGAGGCTTTTATCGTAACTTCGCCCAGAACGCAACAGACATTCTTCCCGCCATTGCTTCCCTCGAAGCAAACAGCTCCGACGTGCTCGCAACTCAAATCGCAGGAATCGCTTCCCTAGACTACCGACTTTCCGCACTACCCGGTGTTCAACCTAACAACACGCCCATCAACGAGCTTCAGAACGCCAGATGGCCTGATCACCTCAACGACGCCGTCGCCGCGCTCAAGGACCTCAACAAGCATTATCCGATCGACGGCAACTACATTGTCTCTGGCCACTCCGTTGGTGCACAAATCGCCTTCTTCGCGGCTTTGGAGACTCTGAAGGACCCCGCCGTGCCCAAGCCCGCGGCCGTCTTGGGAATCAGCGGCATTTACGACTTGCCTCTGCTCCACATCACCAACCCCGATTATGACTATCTCGTACTCAACGCCATGAGGGAAGACCAACTAGTAGAGGCCAGTCCATCCAAGGTCGATACTAAGCAGTACGCAGCACTTGACTTGGCGGCCTTTGTTTTGGCGCACAGCAGGAACGATGGCCTTGTGCCTTGGGATCAGGTCGAGTCGATAGAAGCCACTCTAGACTCTCCACCTGAAGTAGAGAGCAAGACACACCTAGTCGAACTTGATGGTGCGCACAACGACATCTGGCGTGGGGGGGTGCAACTGGCCAAGGCTTTCACAGAGACTCTAGCTATATTGAGGGCGGGTGCATGAGGTACTCCGCCTATAGCTTCCAATGAAAGAAGACCGTTTGAACAGATAGGTTTCATACTTGATACTATAGTTAGTTCCATGGAAACTTACATGTACCGACTCTGTCTTGATATCGGACTTTCTCCCACGGCGCTTCCCAGCACACGACCGTACGACATCGGCTTCCTATCGGACGAACGCTCTGTTTTCAGCACGCAAGGCGTCTACGGGTAGATACATGTAGGCAAACCCTGGCAGGAGCTTTTACAATGCATTGTCTCCCAATCGATTTCGACTTGCAGCTTTGTGAAACATCTTACTCGCAAATCGGGTGCTGAAGACATGCAGTAGCACAAGGCACACCCGTCTCCATGCCTTGAAATCGCCCGACGGCATGGGATCGGCGGCGGTTCTCCGGCTGTTGGTGCAAGTCAACTCGTAAATAGGCTCAGTGCCGAGCAACTTGAAGACGATAATTGGCTGTAGTTCCGACGGAGAAGCGAACGCTACCTTCGACGGACATCACGGCGGTTACGTGAGGCAGCGTTTACGGGTACACACTCCGGTTGGCCGTTCCACCAATTGCCAACTTTACCAATACTACCTCACCATAGTTATGTTATGCATGCCTAAGGGCTGAGCTGCAGTGTCTCCACGTCGCATTGAGAACTGGGACTCAGAAAGGCTTTGCAACTAATCGAAATGTCGGCGATAGGCTGCAAGCCTCATTCCGCTATCTCAACTCATATCTAAGTATATAAGCATCAATTGCTTCGTTTCCGTAATCTCATCTGTATCATCTCGCACGTAAATTCATCAGATCATCACTATCACATCGTTTTCTTCTTATTTTTCTCTTCTTATTCGTATTATTTGACCGGTCCCAACCGCCACATTATCATACCGCACGCGGGCGTGATCTAATGGCTCAGCTTGATTACAACAACTACAAGGTGGCATGGATTGCCCCGCTCGAGATCGAGGCTCAGGCAGCAATGTACATGCTCGACGATGTCCACACGGGCAGATTCCCAGTGCGAGAGGGTCAAGACTACCCCTTCATCGCAGGTCGCATGTGCGGGCACAATGTTGTCATCGCCAGCTTTGCCCCTGGGCAAGAATATGGTACAGAGCAAGCTGCCAGTCTGGCCGGGCAGTTGAAGATTCTATTCCCAAGGCTCTGGTTTACGCTACTGGTTGGTGTCGCAGCAGGGCTTCCAAGCGCCAAACGAGACATCCGTCTGGGAGATATTCTCGTTGCACACTCCGAAGGTGAAGTTCCTGCTATTGTGGCTTACCATCTCGGCAAAGAAACATCCGAGGGACTCAAGCTCCTTCATGACGGACGAAGCCAACTTCCTACGAACCCCGTTGTGACATCTGCTTTCTCAAAGATCAAGATCCCGGATCCCACGTGTTATGTCAACAGATTCCTGGACCACTTTAAGATCATGCAATACAAAGAGCACACGAATGGTAACTTCGAAGATCCTGGTCAATCTCAAGACAAGCTGAACGAAAAGACTTCGAGTGGAGAGACAGCCGCCATTCTCCGGGACCCACGGCCAGACGACAGGCGTACGAAAGTGTGGTATGGGCCGATTGGCTCTGGTGACAAATTGATGAAGAATTCTAAGGAGAGAGATTTGTTGAGAGACAAATACAGCATAATTGGCCTAGAGATGGAGGCAGCAGGAGTCATGAACCGTCTTAATGTCGGCGTCATCAGAGGGGTATGCGACTACGGGGACGAGCAGAAGAACAAGGAGTGGCAGCCTTATGCGGCTGCAATGGCTGCAGCATACGCCAAACAAGTATTGCTTGAGATTAGCGTTGTTCCATCCGACGCTGGTCTTCATATTCGTAAGGAAATTCCAGCGCTGTCAACCCATGGGATTGCGACTCATTGACTGGATAGGAACGCCTGAGGAGGCCAGATACAACGAGCAGCCGGGATCTTTGAGCTCCAAAACTCATGCCCGGATGCGAGAGCCGGCTGTCAGAAAGCCCGGCTTACCGCCCAGTCCTGCTTCGTCAGATATCGAGATGGACTTAGATCATCAAACTGATGGTTAGTTTTACACACCTCTCTTCCTACATCCTGTTCCTCCATGACAGATCCTCCCAATTTTGACGCCAAAGCAACTTGAATGATTGACATATGGAAATACTCCGAGTAGGTCCTGGCCTGCGAGCTCGGGCAACGGACATTGTGTGGCCAGAGATTCGCAATGAAAGACCGGCACTAGCATCGAAATTCGTGAAACGCAAGAAGTTTCCAGAATGCCTCAAAGCAAACAGTTCGTTGTGGGACGCTGAAGAAAGGCAGTCTCCGATGAAGCTTCTCGTACACGGCGTGACTGGCGTTGGGAAGAGCCAAGTCTGTCTGCAAGCCGTTGCTGAAAATGAATCCAGGTACACTCTTTCATTCCGTGGAACATATAAACTCGTCTAACATTCACTGGTTTCAGATTCAGGGCGGTCTTCTATGTTGACGCCAGCAGTAGAAAGTCGGCAAACAGTAGCTACCTTGCCATAGCTGGAGTCAGCGGAACTTTGATAGACACGTCGGGCATTAGCTCCGACGAGAACATCTCTCAACAAATCTCTCGCACGAGATTCTGGATGAGCAATCTTGAAGAACCTTGGATTCTCTTCATCGACAATGCCGAACCCTCAGTGGCCGCTGATCTGGATGACTATCTTCCTCGCCAAGGTTGTGGCGTCATCATTATTACGACTATCGACGGACAGGTCGCTTCGTCCTGCGATATTCACGAAAGTATCGCTCCGATGGACTCTTGGGATGCCAACGAACTGATTCACAACTTCGTGGATGCCGCAAAGGACTTCAGTGAAGACGAGTTGGAGGCGATCGAAACCTTGGCCTATGAAACGCTTGGAGGGCTCCCGCTCGCTATTGTGCAGGCTGGTTCTTACATTGCCAACGATCCAAACAGCCTTGTGGACTACTGCTACGACTTCCAGCAAGCTTTCCAAACAAACCTCGGAGACCTCCCTGACTTGTCATCAGGGAGTGGTCAGAGCAAATCCGCTTCACACGCATTAGGCCTCACCATGGCCCTTGTCGAGAACTCGCCCGAGGCGATCGAACTTCTTCGTACACTTTGCTTCTTCCACAATGAGAGTATCTCGGAGCAAATTTTCGAAGAAGCTTGGAACAACTTGGCGATAGCTTCTTCAGGAGAGTCTTCGCAGTGGGCACACTGGGCACCTCTTGTGCCGCTGTTGGATCCCACAAGTGCTCAGTGGCGCACACCCGGTCTCCGCAAGGCATTCAATACCCTATGTCGGTACAGTTTGCTCGTCTGCGATGCGTCGTACTCCAGCAAGTACTCTATGAACAAGCTCGTACAGACGTATTGTAGGGAGTCGCTCTCAATTGAGGATCGAAACAAGTATGCCTATCAAGCAGCTTGTCTATCAGCACTCGCCTTGGCCAATGAGCCGGTTTCTACGACTGCATCACGGATGGACAACCCTTCAGGTGTCGATCTTCAGAAAGCAATGATACCACATATCGAATCGTTTACTTCGAATGGCTTGATGGGCAATTGGGTGGGACTCGCTGAGACTGAGAGACGACTAGAGATCATGCTCATACTGGCAAACACATATTCATCAACAGGTCATTTCAGAGACGCGGGGGATATTCTGAAGGAAGCCATCGAAATCTGCAAGGATCCCTCGATCCCCGATCCATTGACTTTGCAAGTTAATGAGCAGGTAGCAGACTGCTACTTTCACACCGGCCATCACGTTGAAGCACTGAGGTATCAGCCCGGGGTTATTCAAGCCTATCAACAGTGGGGAGCAGGCTTCGATTATCTCTGGTCTGCTCAAATCAACCATGCGGACTCTTTATGGTCCACTGGGCAGCGGAGTGAGGCGTTGGCAATGGCGGAAGCGGCCCTTGCTACGTGTGGCTCACACGACTTGCCCGCCGATGATCCCAAGATGGTACGAACACGGCTTCTGGTGGCAGATTTCCTCCACGGATCCGGAGGCCAACGTCGGGCTCTTGAACTACGACAAGAAACCGTACGGGATCTGCAGGGAAGAGTTTCTATCATCTCAGGAGAACGTCTGCGCATTCTTGAAGCAAAAAGTGCGTTGGGTGACAGTTATGATTGGGACGGCCAGCTTCTCAAGTCGTTGTCAGTGCGAAAGAAAGTCCACAAAGCGAGGCTTGAGCTACTCGGCGTCGACCACCCCGACACATTGCATGCATTCGACCGACTTGTCGACACTAGCAGCCTGCTCGCTCACACCCAAGAAGAAAAGGAAGAGGTGTGCATGCTCAGAGAAGAGGCCGTGGCCTCGTGGAGGCGAGTTCGGGGAGAAGGTCATCCTCAAACTAACGAAGCAAGAGTCAACTTGGGTCACAGCTACACTGCTGCTTCTAGGTTTGAGGAGGCTCTCTCTGAACAGGAAGACGTCCTGGCCATACGCAACGAAAAGGTGTTCAACGATGCTGTTGCGACTGACGTCTATCTTGTATCCGTCGCTAACGTCGCGGATGCATTGTGGAGAGTAGGCGATATCCAAGAAGCTTACAGTCGTCTGGAAGATGGACTGGAAGAGGCAAAAGTTATGGGAGACTTGGATGCCATATTTTCGATCAGAAGTTACGCCTCGATTTTCCTCTCACGCCAAGGCAGAGAGGATTCTATACTGAAGGCAATCAATCTACGGCAAGATCTTCTCAGGGATCAGGAAGGCGCATTTGGTGAGGGAGATGTCAGAACCCACCAGACGCAGCTCCTGTTGGCCGAGGATCTCGCCAAACTAGGGATGTTCCCTCAGGCAATTCAAGTCCATGAGAAATTGCTGCAAAGACAAAGCGAGGACCCGGGCGAAGATAGCCAAGAAACCCTGGACAACAAGAAGGAGCTTGCTTCAGTGTTAAGTGCTGTTAACGCCGCACCTCAAGCGGCTGTTTTGATGAACGAGGTCCTGCAGGTTGAGATCAAACACCTTGGTCGAGACCACCCCCGGACACGGGAGACCGGAGCCCTTCTTCATCGCTATTATCAAGAGGCTGGGGATGCTCAGGCGGCTTTTCAGGTGGTAACCTGGCTGGACACGCCGCCAATCGGCAACGGAGAGCACCACGGAGACTCGGATTCTGATGACGAGGACGAGGACAGTGTGTCTCGAATCTGGAGCAACCGTAGGGTAAGTCCTCATAGTGATCCAAGAGATAATTCAGGAAGATCTCTAACGTTCAATATTTAGGACTTGACACCCGTGACGAGCCCTGCGAGACCACCACCACGCCAGATACAGCGGTAATCACGCGAAAGGTAATTTGGTGACTCGGGTCCGAGACATCGCGCACTCCATGCTAGAGCCAGGACCCGAGCGACACTCTGCGAGACAGTCGGTGACTGCGTTTGAAAGAGCGTGGCAAGGCAAGGGTGGGTTTGTTGAGGGGGAGGTTCAGGTGGTGAAAATTGCGCAGTTACTTGTGTTCCAGTTCAGCTGTCATTCCAATTTCATTTGTAACCAATGTCTTGACAGCGGTCTTCGTTTATGAGCACAGTAATGAGCAAAAGTCCATGACAGAGATGAATGCAACATCATTTTGTCCTTCATCTGGCGTGGACTACCCTCTGGCCATGCTGTGGCTTACTAGAAAGGAGCATAAAGTGATGGATCCGACATGGAAGTTGATGAAAACAGTCTAAGAAACACCGAATACCAACCTAAGATCAACACCACGGTGCTAAATATCTCGTCATACATCCTTCACAACAACAGTGTCCAGAGATGCTCTCACTACCACCTTCGTCCTCACACATCAAACTCACTGCCCTCCCCCAACCGCCTCCCTCTTCTCCTTCTCAAGCCACCACTCAACAGCCCTCCGTATCCCCTCCTCCTGACTCACCTCCGGCTTCCACCCCAACCTCTCCTTAGCCTTATCAATAACATACCACCTACTCATCCCCGAAAACCGAACAACCTGCCTCGTCAAAGGCGGCACCTCGCCCCTAAACCAGTAAACCCACTCCAAAGCCCACACATACGCCAGCGCAAACGTCATATTAATAACCCTCACATCCTCAATCCTCGTCTCGTCCCCAGCAGCCCGCCACACGGCCCTGCTGAAATCCCAAAAGGGCACGGGCTCGCCGTTGGTGATGAAGAAGGCTTCGCCCGCGACGCCGTCCGGCGCGTCGAGGAGCTTCGAGGCCGCCGCGAGGTGCGCGTCCGCGGCGTTGCCCGCGTAGGTTGTGCTGAAGAGGTTCTTGTTGGTGCCGATTTGCATCTTGTTCCGGCCGAGGCGGAGATTGCGGAGGATGGCGGGGGTGATGTCGTTGTCTCGTTCGCCGTGGACGGCGGCGGGGCGGAGGGTGCAGGTTCGCATGCCGGATGGGTCGTCGTATTCCAGAGTCATCTTATCCGAGGCGGCCTATCAAGCTTGTCAGTAAAGAAGCCCCGTCTAGAAAAACACATGCTACGTTGGCACACCTTCGTCTTGGGATAAGCCAGCGTATCATCCCCCTCCTCAGCAATAGGCAAACTCTCATCGCCACCCTCGATATCCCGAAACATCTCCTTCTGCACCACACTAGCACTACTCGTCGTCACAAACACCTTCACGCCCGCTCTCTTCGCCTCGTCCAGCACATGCCTCGTCCCGTCGACGTTGATCGCCCTCACAAACGCATCCGTCATGACTTTGCGTCCCACCGTCATCATCCCCGCGCAGTGGAACACCACCGTTGGCTTCACCTCCCGAAAGACCTTCGCGACGTCGTCGAGGGAGGCAATGTCGCCGGCGTGGTATGTGACGCCGGGAAAGGTGTTCGTCGTCGGGTTGCGTGAGAAGACGGCGATGCGGGCGGTCGGGTAGGCGGCTAGGAGCTTCTCGACGATGTGGCTGCCCAGGAAGCCGCAGCCGCCTGTTACGAGGTAGGTTTCTGAGGCCATCTGGGTCGTATCTTGCGTCTGATACTTGAGATTGAATGGCGGCAAGGATCAAATGGTTTCAGATGATGAGAGTGAGAGTGAGAATCTCAGAGACGGTGGAATTTCACGAGAACCAAAATGCTGGGCGCCGTCCGGGCTTTATCTCATCACCACGCGTCCCGATAGATCGTCGTCGAGAATAAGCCGGCTGAAACGGTCTAGAGAAATGCGTGTCGTCAGCGAAATCCCATCAAATCTGATATAAGCACTTGGGCTTCTCATTCCCTGCCAGGGTGGGAACCTTCAACCCGGGAAACCAACGTGTCTCCTGCATCATGCATTCGTATCTTACCCGGTTCAACCCCAATAGTCAATTCGCACTTAAAAGGCCAATCGGCCAAAGTCCCCCGTATGATGGTGAAGCCGTGCCGATTAGAAAGACAAAAAGGACAATTACTGATCGCACTGAGAGGTGCCGCCAAACTCCTTTGTATCTTTGACAGCTAGCCAAACTCTACCAAGCCGTCAGCGCTAGATCCCAAGGTCCCTTGAGAGCGATCCCAGACTTGCCGGAAAGGTGGGGGGGAGGTGAGGGGGAACACCACAAGCTTCGATCCTTCACTCACTCACTTGCCTGGAACCTAGGTACTTAAAGCTCGCTCTTATCTTTACGACACCTTGTAAGCTTTCCGTCTCCCGATATCAGTTGCTAGCTAGTCTTCGGTCAGCGGCCCGAAGATGCGAGAACGATCAAGTATTGGCATGAGCTTAAGGCGTGTGAGAAAGGCGCAAGTCCGTGAGGTGTAGATGACTTTAAGTAAGCAAATAAGGCCACCACAGGTGAGAAGATGGGATGAAATCGAGACAACACACCTGGACAATTCAAAAAGCAGGTGACACCGACAAGTGAGTGAGTGAGTACTTTGTTTGGTGATCGTCTGTCTTATGGTCTTGATCAACAGAGAAAAGGCTCGAGATGCAGCGCGAAAGATTCTACAGTCGATATGACAGACGCGGCAAGACATACCTCACCTCGCCATTCGGCCAGATCCGATCGGAGAGAGATATGCAACATGAGCCCTCGCCAAGATCCCACCCGGTAGTCTCATCTTACCTTCTCTTGAAGATTCATCAGCAGCGCCAGAATCACACCAGGGGCGAGTGCATAGTTCGCTACTTCACGTCGGACACCACAAAAAGGCACAAATGTTTGAACGCAAGAGAAAACGCAGCTGGTTGGTGATATGTGCCACAACCCGCCCATCTACAAAAGCCTCACCCCTTCCCCCCCAATTCCACCCCGCCGTATCCACAGCCCCTGACGATGCATTTCCGACGATGAAGAACCGCCCCAAAGCCCCCCCTCCCACCATGTTTCCTCCCGTTTCTCTTAGGTTGTTTTGTGTTTGCTGTCATCTCATGAACTTTCGCCTCCCTCGCCAAAAGACCATCCCCCCGCCAGTTCCTCCGATTCGCGAAAAGCATCGCAATCCTAAACTCCGGCAAAAGAATTTCCCTGAACGTAAACGCGCGACTGCCTTTCAAGACTAAACTACTGGAAACAAGTCGTCAGACGCCCCCGTCTACCGGCCTTGCCCGCTTCCTGATCCAAAATCCGGTTCCGGGTGCGGCGACTTCTTATCCTTTCTAGCTTTAATGACGAACTCGGCCATAATCTGGATGTGGTCGGCCGGGAAGTGGTAATTGGGGAACGCCGGCATCCGCTTGAGGTATTCGGGATCGGGCGGGCCAAGCAGATCCACCACTTCCAGTGTGTTGGTGGAGTACCACAGATAATCAATGACATCTGAGAAGCCAGGCGTGTAGTTGGTGAAGGGCATTTCGTCGGGAGTGTTCTTGATGTGAGCATACGCATCCCGCAAGCTGAAGGGGTGCTCAATACCGTCCCTCGTGAAGCTACCATACTGGAAGGACGATAGCTCTTGGTGGTTGGGAGGAACGCGTCCCATAGACAAGAGCTCGTAGACCGAGCTGTCTCCGGTTGAGTTGAAATCACCGCACACGAGGAGGGGAATGTCGGTATTGTTGCGGTACTCCTGGCTGGGCCCCGGTTCCTTAGCCGGCGGGGGCGTTGGCTCCTCCCCATCTTTGCCAGTAGCAGAGAAGACGATGGGCTTCTTGTCCTTGAGTGCCGGCCAGCGAACGTACTTCTCGGCGAACTTCGTGACTTGCTCCATCAAGATACCCGTCTGGATCAACTTGACGTCCGCCAACACAGACTCCCAGGCCAAATGTCCGTTGACTAGGATGATGCGTGCGCCGGTAGCTCGGCTTTCGAGGAATACCACAACGGCGATGTTGTCCTTTGGCATAACACGGTTGAAGACGTCGTGTTGATTCTTCATGTCCGGCCGGTTGATGGCGATGGCGGCGAATTCGATGACCTGCTTGTCGAGCAAAATCCACTTGCTGGCCTTGTAAAAAGTGGCGCAACCATCCACACCCTGTGCATCCTTTTCCGCCATGGTCTTCGCGCGAGTCTTGGGCCAGTGCACGCCCTTGTAATCCATCTGTGCCAGTTCCGGGCTGAACTCTTCCTTGAACGCCTCCGTCGAGATCTCCTGCAGGCACAGCAGATCCGCGTCTTTCTCCCTCAATTCGCTGAAAATGCAGTCCTTCCGGTATTCCCAGTTCAATGCGCCCGTGGGCGTGTATCCGTACGTTGACGGTGTCGCGTACTTGTCGCACAAGACGTTCCAAGAAAAGACTCTGACCTTTTCCAAAGTAGGCGAAACATCTTCTTGTACAGTAATGAGCTTTCTCGGGTTGGGTGGCATCGGAACTAAAACGAAGGTTAGCGATTGTTGGCGACATAAGACATGACCGATTGTACATACTCGGGGCTTGCTCCTTGAGGAGATTGATCAGGCTCTTGGTGCCCTTCTCCATGATTTCCTGTTTCATATCCGGGTCGATGGGGTTGCCCTCGATGCCGAGAACGTCGAGCAAGTGTAGAGAGCCGAGCTCGAAGGGGAGTGTCTGGATTTGGTTGTCGAAGAGGAGTAGCTGGTTGAGGTAGGTGCACATGCCGAGTTCTGGGGGAAGAATCTTGATCTGGTTGAACGACATGTTGAGGTAACGGAGCTGGCGCAACTGGCCGATCGCGGGAGGGAGACTCTGAAGCCTGTTGGAGGCGATGAAGAGGTCGTGGAGGAACTGGTAGCGGAAAAGAGCGGGTGCGAGATTACGCAATCCCTGGCCGCTGAGGTCCATATTGTGCCAGTTCTGCCGTTCCCTGTTCTTCTCTACGCTATATGGTCGTCTCCTATCGTCCGCATCGTCGTCGCCGTTCTTGCCCGAAGATGGCGGAGGACCGGCAATGCCACGGTTCTCTGAAGCCTTTAGTCTGGCGTAGTAGTGCGGCTGGTTCTGTTCGGTCATGGCACGGTGGGCTTGTTTGGACTCCTCGTAGAATCGGAGCTGCTCCGCCCAATGTTCGGTGATTTGTTGTGCTTGTCCTCCTCGCGTGGCTCCTCCTTGCCCGTTTTGCATAGCATTGCTACTGTACGGACTAGAATTCCCCATGACGCCGGAGGAGAAGGCCGAGTGGTGGCCCATCACACCTCCATTGCCATTGTGCGCAGCATGTTCGGCCTGGGCAGCTTGGTGGTGCTGGAGATGAGTCTGGTGATGTTGCTGTTGCTGCTGTTGGTAGTTGTACAGCATCGGGATGCCCCGGCCGCCGTGGCCCCCATTGATGCGGGAGTTGGGGCCCTGCTGGTGATTCTGAGAGAACATCCCTAGCAGATTGGCCCGTGGGATCGGATTGGACGGTGTAGGTGTATTCGAGTCTTTGGCAGAGAATTGGCGCAGGAGCGTGTTCAAGGGTATGGCGTCGGCGGCGGTTTCTTTCGGTATGAGAGAGTTGAGGTAGAGATCTCCGACAGAGTGGTCCAGATAGCGAGTACCATCGGCCATCTACCTGAGATTCGCGGGTGGGGTTGGTTTTGGTGGTGCCTCAATTACGATGCAGCCGTGGTGAACGAGGCAGTGGGTTCGCAGCAACAGCTTATGTGAGATTGGAAACGAGGGAAAGCCGGGGTAGCTCGCGTTTGCGCATGGGAGTCGAGGTACGGGTCCAGCTGCATCGAGTATCGGCTCAGACAATGGAGCTTCCGATTACCGCAATGTATTGTGCTGTCCTCGGCCGCCCATGAACCACGTCGATGATGTGAGGGTGGGCGGAAGCTCGCGTGTGTGTATGTGTCGTTTGCGTGCGTGGAGAGTTGAAGGGTGGTGTTGATTTTTACTCGGTCTGGTGATGTTGTCTGTCAGGAAGGGAGGGGTTTGAGATTAAGCTAGACGGCGAGTCGAGTCGAGCGAGCTCGCCCGATGGGGGAGAGCGTACGTGGGAGGCAAAAAGCAGGTCAATGGTGTCGAGACGCGCTGGATGCGGCACAAGAGGGTCTAGATGAGAACGTGTCTCGTCAGCAGAGCGAGCTTGGAAGAGTAAGACACAGGACTGAAGCAAGGCCCAGGAGCAGGAGTCGGATAACGGAGTAGGGGCTGGGCCGCGTCGTTGCGACAAAGGCTCGGCTCGAGCAGTGCCCCCCCTGGTAACCCTCAAGGGCGGGGAATGGGTTGATGACATACCGTAGTGAGCGGGCGCGGTGTGTTTCTGGCAATATCTCTAGAGCAACCAATGGATACTGGGACTGAAGAATGCGGTCGGAGATGCAAAGGATCCAAAGATAGGGCCAGGTGGTGGTGGAATTGACTCGATCTTGACGATAGAGCAGACACTGGGCACCAGGCCCGCGAGGTTGCGAGCTCTGGTGTCATCACGTGATGAGGAGAGCTGCACGGACCAGCAACTAGACGCAAGAGCTCCACCCAAGTCAAACGTGACCGCACTCGTGACGCTGAGTCATCAGTACGTACACTTCCTTAGCTAAGCTTCAGAGGCACCTAACTTGATAAGGTACCTTACTACACCATTGAGTTTAGGTGGTGTGACTTGTGGTGTGTTGTGACGAGTGCGGTGGAGGAAATACAAGACTTAATGACCTGTAGTCATCTTATCAAAAATGATATCGACTGGGGCCATTTGAATGTGGGCGTGTCTGATGGCTTTTGGGAACACCCCGTCGCTGGTTCATCAAATCGGTTGTTGAGGCTCATATGTCACGTTGGGAACTAGCACGAGTCCAAAGCGACTCTTGGTATCTTGATATGGCATGTTGAGAGGTTTCATACTATGATGTTTGCCAAAGGAAACTTGTCACAAAATCTCTTGACTTTGTTGCAAAGATTGGCATTCAAGTCCGCTAATATTATCCAGGACTCAAACCTCTAGGCAAGCTTTCAATTAAGGTAGAATCCTTAATCTCGCAAAGGTTGAACTAGTTCGATAATATTGAGATTCTGTGAATCTGTTCATTCGTAGATTCAAGAAGGAGGCATGAGCTGCCGCGAAATGTACATGGCTCGCCTTGTCGGCACAGACAGCAAATTTGGTGGGATCCAAGCAAGTTTGCCAAGATGGGCCAGGAAGAGATCTTTAAGGGAGTGATGACGCCAGCTTGCATTGTACAACTATTTGAGAGGACTGAAACCAATAAGTGGAAGACGTGTAGTATTGGCTAGAGTTAGATGTGGATTGACAAATTTGCAATGAGAAGTTGAGAACGAGAACGTGTTTCACGAAACGTTTTGCTCCCTTTGCAATATGAATCCATCCGCCATTGACATTTTCTTACAAACATTAAAGACTTTGTGCTGATTCCTTCGGCTCTTCGTCTTCCCAGGGCAACTTCCGCCTCGACGCCTGAGTCGAAACTACGAGCGGTGCGACTGATAACCATGAAAATCACATGGGGATCAGATAGTCTGGGGACATAAAAACTTCCTGAACTAGATTCACGGACCAGGGTACAAGATCAGACTTCTCTTTCAAGATGAACAGTCACACATCAAGCACTGGCGCTGTATATGCTTCATGTTCTACGGCAATGTCACATACAAGGGACCATGATTGGGGTCTTGTGAGAGGTTGAGCGACGGCAGCTTGGCATGGCGTCAAACCTCTCCATCTCTTTACTTAGTTCTTTCTTCCATCTCCCTCAGATGTTGTGACACACAACTTTCGGACCTTGAATATCTTTTGCCTGTCTGGTGCTGAACTTGTCCAACGCTCCATGCCCTAGTGAGTTTTTGATCCCACAGCCGATGAGCGATACAGTGCCCCGATCCAACACAAGCAGATATTCGTCGGTGTTTGTGTAGAATTTTCTTTTGAAAATGTTCAACGAGTCGAGGTTGGAAAGGACAAAGTGGTATCAAGGTCTCGCGAGACTTTGCCTGTGGAAACTGGGTGGAAAGAACGAGAGGGGCAGGCCAGCAGGGTCTCTATCATTTCATGATACCTCGAAACCGGGCGACCAACATGCCATCCCGAGCCGCTTTCCCCGCGGCCACCTTGCCAGGCCCCGATTTCGTCTTCAACCTTGATGTCAGCCTGTCATCTGTGCCGCAGGGCCAAGCCGGAGCAATAAACGATTCCCCCATTGGGTACCCTCGAAATCGAGTCCCAGAAAACTGGTACCTTTGGTTCAGAGCACCATCACATATCATACAACGTGCTGCGATGATCCGGGGTAGATCATAGGATCAACAGGGCATTGAAAAGGCTGCGGAGGCAAACCGGAAAGCCGGGACAACTGCCCGGGAAAGCGGCCAGATACCGGATATAACAAGCTAGATGCTCATCTCATCGGCGGAAAGCCCTGGACCTTGGTCGCCTGTCCATGTTCGACTTTGGTAAGTCGACCTTGTCATTATCAAAATGCGACAGACGGAGACTAAAAGCGTGAAGATAGTGGCGACAGAGCTGGTTCCCGTGAGCCTCGGCTCAGACCACCTGGCGACTCAAGGACACGCCAAGACTCGACAACTAGGATGGGATGCCTTCTGCCTTCTGCACCTTGCCCTCGTCAACCGTCTCGAACACGACCACTGAGGGCTGACTAGTCCATGCCGGGTGTTGTCGAATATCTTAGCCAGCCACTCAGTGACCAGGGTCGGTGGGATGCGGGGGAAGTGCGGTCCGGGTCGGTTTCGTTATCTTGGCCTTGTTCTGTTCTAACGCCATTCTAGACTCCACAAAGTCTTATCTGAGTTATCGCGACATTCTCAAATTCGAAGGAGTTAACAGATACGGGTCAAGACCGCTGAAAGACCAAAGTCAGCATGCGTTGAAGTTGATAGATCAAGGGTGGGAGTTCTTGTAGCCCTTCGTTGGTGTTCATCCCAACATCTCATAGACCGAAACGGCAAGGAAGCACATGCCATGGTGCCAGACATGCAGCTCAGTCGGCATCCCACTTGTCACTTCCGCCCACACGCGTCCTCAGCGGCACGCAATACCCAGATGGTAGGCAAAGCTCCGGGTCGAGGCCATCGGCGGCATATCCCAGACTTTGAAAGATTGGCTGCTGCAAAGCTTGCACACGAACGATCGGAATGAAAGAGCTGCCATAAACCCAGGCTGGCAGTGCCGAACGGCGGCCAAGGCCCGAATTGGGAATTGGTGGCGGGCGCGTACGGAGCTGGGAGCAGAGAAAAGGGCCCTTGCAATATGCAACATGCAGCTGCAAGTGCAAATATGCGCGGGCAAGTTCGCAACTTCTGAGCCCCTCCCCCCTCCCCCCTCTATGTCATGTCGGCATCGGACATGGCCACGGGACCACGGCGGAGAGACGAATCATCGAGGTCCCCGATTGACAGGCTTGCTCCGGGCTTTTGACTTGAAGCTTCCTTTTTTCGGATATCGGGGGAATTCGATCTGCTGGGTCTGCTAGGTACTCTAGTCTCTGCTTGAGGAATTGGATGGATCGTGTGCCGTTTGTCCGGTTTAGGTTGTATTATATAGATAACCTGTCAGCTCTTCTCTCCCTGAGTGCACCATACAAACGCCAGACTTGCATCTGTCGGTCAGCGACTGCTGCTGGATCATCAGACGACAGGACTTGGTGTCTTGAGAGAGAAGAAGAAGAAGTCAATCCAACCATAAGGAATATAACCTCAGGTTGAAGGCATATTACCTGTCTTAGGTAATCTGGTGAGTCGCAACTTCCTTCCGACGGGTGCTTCTTGCCCATTTGAATACGGCAACTAACACGCCGATTCTTGGCAGGAGCCCCCGAGTTGACGGAGGAAGGACCTGCTGGACCTGCACTTTCCACCCTTCAGAGATACATTGTGTGCCTGCGCCACTGCCACTTTGGACGGCAAAGCTTCGATTTGTTTCCAAGCTGCAACTTTGTCATTTCAACCTCACCTCATCCGAAGACCGTCTCTTGAATATTCCGCGTGAGAGAAACGGCAGATTCACCAACCCCTCTCTCGGCTTCGCAACCAAGTTGAAAGTCGAAAGTCGCGGTGTGCGCAATTCCCTCACCTCGACCGGCCATCCGACGAATCAGGCACAGCTGCCAGTACCTAATTGTAGTATAGGTAGACTCCGAGTCCTGGGGTTCTGGCTTCTGCACTGCGGCTGCATGCTGTCTGGGACGCCGAAATCGCTCACCCGCCGCTGAAGATACCATCCTCCGGCTTTGGCAACCCGTCCCATTTGGAGCAACAGACGCGGCATTTGATTTACTTGCTTGGCTCTTTTCGTACAGCCTCCGAATCCACGGACAAACTTCCGTCCTCAGTCTTCGTCACCCACCGCCTTGGGAGTCTGGCAGTCGGGATATTGTCTTCATCATTCATGTGATAATTGAGACACGGCGACGATCTGCCTCTACCGGTCGACCGGGTATCCATAATTCGTTTGATCTTCTTTTGCGGATGAACGACAGCGATCCCAATTACACCAGGCATCAAGCTGCGGATTAGCGCTACGGCCCAACGGCTGCGACTCTACACGGATACTCAATTGAGTCAATTATTCTGCCTCGACGCTGGCGACCTACCCCTCCGTACGGAGAGTATCACTTGCCATCTGTGCGAGTATTCGCTCATCGAATTTGACTCTGCACTCTCGGAGAAGCCCCGATCGACCTGAACTAGCCTGGCCCTGCCTTCATACCAAACCCCCAGTACATGTTCGGGAGGCTTGTAAGCCGAAAGGGGAGAACCTGCCTGGAAACCCAGCGGAAACATTCGTCACAATTCATCCACGTTGCTTCGTTTCTCCCTCTGAACCGCCGATCTTCTCGCCAGACACCCATTCTGCGAAAGAAGGTTCAGAGGATTCTGTTGCCGGTGCTGGGCGGAATCCACCGACCGGGACGGGGACAAGTTGCAACGAGGCCGCACCCACTACCACGTTACGCTATCGGCACTGCACCCCAACAGGCAGGACGCAACACACGCGACAGACAGCCTGCACCGCACCATTGACAGCTGCTGCGGAATCTGGCAATCTGCTGCAGACAAATCGCCCAGCTGGCTGCGAAGGGAAGGTCCCCCCACGCTCTAGAACTCTCCCCCAGAAGACATATCGAGGGGAACGTCATTATCTCCGACAAGCACGAGATTCTACTTTTGAGCCCTTGGCCAGACTCACACTCCCAGCCAGTCATTACCAATCGCCCGTCGTCTTATAATAGCACCGTTCCGTCGTTGTGGCACGCGACGAAAAAGCGCATACCACTGACCAGTTCGGATCAGCAACGGGCCACGGGGTGGCACCGCCAGCTAGAAACAACACCAGTGGCCACGCAAATCACAAGTGACAGAGTCAGCTTGCACGCACGGAACGGGACGAAAC